CTCTTACAAAATGCTTTGAGCCCCTCTCGCAGGATCAGAACATTGTCAAAGCAATGAAAACTACAAGAAAGAGATGGAGAACAATTTAGGGCAGGGCCAAAAGGAAAGGGTTTGTTGAAACCAGATTCAGCAAGTTTTCCTTGACACATGTTTCTTCATGGTGTTATAGGGCAGAGCATGTAGTGTTGCCCTGTAGACTGTATAATTCATATATTTTTGGCAATTTAGTTACATCCATGTCTTACTCCGTCTTGTCACTACAGACTCTTGACATTTGTTTTTGTTCTTATTGATTGTGTACTGTTTCATTAAAGCTCATAGCGACAAAAAAAAAAATTAAAAAAAAAAAGAATTGCAATCCTGCAGGATGCATTTTTAATTATTCAAGAATCTCAAAGGAACTGACTTGATTATGTTATTTCCGTTCTGCTGCATATTATTAATTCACATAACATTTCACAGAGCAGTTATATTCATATACTGTCCATGAGAAGTGATACGCATCCTAGAACTCGTGGTAAGTGCAATCCCCCACAAAAAAATGGGTTTTAAAGGGGATGGTACTGTGCATCAGAAATGCACTTTAGCAAATCACTGTGCTGCACCAATCAAATGGTTTTGACGAGCAGCATATGATTGAGAACAGACTGACTTAATTCTGACAAGTGAAGTGCCTCTAGTGGCTATCAGGAAGAACGCCACTAGTGGTGTGTTTAAAACGGCACTGTTACCAAAAATAAACTTAATCAAATCTGTTTCTATATAGCTCCTGTGCCTGAACCTCTTTTTATTTATTTCCTGAGTGTTCTAGTTTATAGTATATTAAATACATAAGATAAAGTTGAGACAATGTTTTTTTTTTTCCATGTGTATAGCAGTCAGATTCACAAAACTTAAATGAAGGTTCTGTTTCAGTTGCCAATACAATTTCTCCACAATCCATCAGTACTATCAGTCCCACAGAAGGGAAACTGCAGGTATCATGGGCAGAGAAGAACAAAATGACTGCTCCCAGATATTGAGATCCAACACAAGTAGGAAAAGTTATTAAATATAAACAAAGGCAAGTGACAACGAGGGGAGTATAATTAGTAACATACAGAGGGCATAAGGAAAGGAAAACAAAATGGGAAAAAGAAAAAAAGTCAGGTCCATTTTAACCCTGCAAACATAACAATTCTATCTTTACTAAATGCCAATATTTTACATTTTTGCAGGGTCAAAACTAAGGAACCACTGCGCCCAGACCACTTCCTTGAGATGCAGTGGTCAGGATGCCTTTTAGTGTTCCTTTTAATGGATTATAAATGTGTAAAATAGTGCAACACCAGCAATCTATGTTCACCTTAACATAAGGCAATGCTTGCACTAGCAATAACCTGCAGTTCAGATATGTGCAGCCTTTGTAATGCTAATCTAAATCTGATGCTAATCTCAATGGGAGTGTCCCCATCACTGCATGATATCTCCCAAGTGGCCCTCTTTCAATCCCAATTTCCCCTGTATATCTTTTTAAAGCAGTTCCACATTTTTGGTGCATATTAATGGACAAGGGAGCCTCACACTAATGTTTCTTACTAAAATGAATGTGTTTAGTATTTTACACAGATTATTTTTTTAAACTAAAATTTCATTTTCTTACATGTCTATTAGCTGGTCACAAAGTTGCCTAGAATGTTCTGCAATAAATCCTGGCCACACACCCTAAAATGACAGTGTCCCTCTTTGGCAAATTGTTATGCTATGATGCAAGCTGATTTGCAAAGAGCAACGTGTGATCTGCTTAAAGGAACACTGTACTTGCTAGAACAACTTCATGTTATTGAAATTGTTACAATGCCTACCGTAGTTCCTCCTTTAAATTAGCCCCTAGAATATTTTATTTTACTAATTAGAAGACTTGCAAGTGCAGCTCCAAGCCCCCTGAATAGGAGAGCTGGGACTGTTACTTTTCTGCTCTCATATCCAAGTATACTATGACGTCACTCACATATCCTCAATACCACGGCTTGTCATATAAATTTGTTGCATTTAATGAGTCTCTGTGTCAAGAGAATCATTGACCGATCGCGGCAAGCTCCACGCATGCGCCTAAGATTCCCAATACTCCTGTATAAGGAGCATTTGATTGGGCTGTCATCCTGGAAAGAATAGGCAGCAGTACCGAGGGAGAGAAAAGGGAAGTAAAATATTTTTAAAGTCTCCACTGAGGGGGGCCTAAAGCTAACTAGGGACATTAAGACTATTGCGTTAGGAATACAGATTTGTATTCGTAATGCTCTAATGTCCCTTTAAGTAGGATAACACAGAATTGTCAAACAGTATACCTCCAGTTATTGCTATGCAAAAAAAATAAACAAAAAAAAAGCTGTATTCTCATGCCAACTAGTGGCAGAGAAGAATAGGAGTTGTAGTGCAGCAACAGCACAGGACTGCAATTCCACATCTCTGGGCTAATGGGTTTGGAAGCTAGTATCTGGTGTGGGGGATGGGGCACAGAATGCTGGAGTCTATAGATCTGTGTGTGTCGCCATAAAATCACTACACAATCAGTTGAATGAGAATTGCCAAAAAGCAGCACTTCAGTGTGTGTGTTTTCCTGTGGGGGTTGCAAATTCTTTCCTTTTTTAAAGGACATAGAACCCCCTGCTAACATGGCTTTTAAGATAAGCAAAAGTTTAAAAAGAAGAACTGAAGTTGCAACATTATATTTGCTAATCTAACATATAACATTGGACTATATGGCATATGATTTTTCTGTTTTTGAAAAAAATACCCAACATAACAAATAGAAAAAACAATTATTTAAAAAAAACAAAAACATTTATAGTATAAATATTTTAGAACGCCCTTTTCCACATTATTATTTAGGTTTACTTAAAAAAAAAAAAAAAAAAAAAAGAATACTTTTGATATACAGGTCTAGTTAATACAAGTTAGAATTATATATTACCTTTCAACTGCTATGTAAGCAGTAATAGAGCTAACATTTGCTATCTATCTATCTACCTTATGATTTTATTAGTTTTCCAAAAACAATACACAGTGTGACTAGATCGAGGCAGTTGACATGCTTAAGAAATTGTTTAAAGCGGGAAAGATACATTAGTGCTAAATGCCATTCAGTATACATTGATCATGACAATTTCTAGTTAAATTTGTTGCCCAATGTGTCTTATTTTGTTTTTGTTTTTTTACTTAGAAATTGTTTACCAGAAATGTTATTTAAGAAATAGTGTTAATGAGTAATTTGTACTATATCTGCTTTAATTTTTATGTGCAAACTGGTACAATTTTCTGACAGAAATTCAGAAATAAGGTTACAAATAACGACTATGGAGACATTTCTTGATGAACTGTTGTAGCACCTGGATGTTATCTTTTTAGCACCTCAGTTGCAAAAATGAATATATTTAAAGGTAATGATTAAATATTTTTATTTATATAACCTTCAAGTTACTGTAGCAGTACTCTGCTACAAAAAGCAGCATGGCAGCTCAGAGCAAGCTATATTTACCAATTTTATTCACATATATCAGACAACAACACACAGCAAGTCTGGTAAAAGAAACACTTTCAAATGTGATAAATCTTATTTTCATTTTTGTTAAATCTTATTTAAAGGTACACTAATGATGATTTCCATTTTAAGTCCTTTGCAACAGTTTATTTTAAAGAACTTGTTTGCAGACTGTATGATATGTTCATAAAAATCATATTCTTGAGTGAAAGGTTTTCTTAAATGTTACATGACAATAATGATGGATAATAGCCCAAAGAATTGATAGAAAAAAGCATTGTCAGAGAATATTTGTTAATTTTATTTGTTTTTTAGAAAGCCATAACTAGAGGACATAACCTCAACATGCAGAAATTATGACTACAGAGCAAACAACTTCCTTATATATTTTCCAAATTTTAGAAAGCTACGTTTATATAAAATTGTAGACATTAAACCACCCATTACCTAATACTAGCATAAATAACGAAGAAAGTTTAAACTTTTTTTATGTATCAAGATTTCTAATTGAGGGCACGTGCTTATTTTGATGTTAAAAAGTCTGAAAATCACACTATCTTCCATCTATAGAATTTGTATTTTCTTATTTAGTAACATAATTGGTAGTTTTTTTTTGTGTATTAACTTTTCACTGTTGTTCTTTTAATTTCTTTCATGACAATTCAAAGAATCAAGGTAAATAACATTTAAGTGCTAATCTCCAGATTATAAACAATATTTTCAGGAAAAAAAAAACCTAAACTTTAATAAGAAATATTATGAAGAAACATAAACATGTAACCAACATATATTTTATCAGATTAAAATGTTTCTTTCCCAGGATATTTTATTTACTCAGTTTAAAGGTAATAAAAACATTTTAAAAAAAATACAAAAAGAATATTAAAATAAGCAAGATTAGAATGCAAATGAATGTTTTTGCTGTTGTTTTTTAAATATATACTTCTAAAACTAACGAATCTGCATCTTCAACTGTATATCATTAAAGTATTTTAGTTTTTTTAAACTTTTTTACTTGTCGATTGTTTCAAAGATTTTGCTACTTAAAGAATTGTTTTTTCATTTGCAATTCTAATGTTAAAGCCTTATTTTTTTATATTAGATATGCAGGACAATATAAATTGGCATGCAACATTTATATGAATGGACCCTTAAGGTGATATGCTAACTTTGTGACTTTAGATTAAGTTTAGGCTACAGATCTAGTGTTTTCACTTCCAAGAATACTTTATCACATTGAAGCTAAAGAAGCATGACCTAAATGTCATACTGGTTTGTTTTGAATGATTTGGTCTACACTTAAGAAAGTCTAGTTTGATGTTATGCTGGATTCATTAGCTGTATTATTGGTTAAAGCTTTCTACCTTTAGAGGCTCACAAATTAATCCAGTTTTATATTGCTGGAGCAAGTTAATTTTGACAGATTTAATTACGCAGATTAAGATGTTTTGTTGTTTTATTTTTCTAATTATGAACGGTTGTTTAATCTACTGTCATATAGATTACTGTAAGTGTTGCCAGGTACTGTTAATAGCTTTACTACATCTGAGCCAATGCAGTTAGGGGCATGTTTTTTTCAATGCAGTACATGTTTTATTTGATACCTTGAGTTCTCCCTGACTCAACTGACTATACTGTAACTCCCATGATTTCCCCAAAACTTTTAAATGTAGTTCAGGTAATGTCAAAGCTGGTCTTTGGTTTATCAACACAGTAAAAATGTAAGCTCATTTGAGCAGGGTCCTTAACACCCTCTGTTGCTGTGTGTCCAACTCGTCTTGTTACAAGTACATGTCTGTTAGTCCACCTATTGCACAGTGCTACGGAATTTGTTGGTGTTTTATTAATAATAATAATAAAAATGCTAGCTCAAGGACCTGCAACCTAGGCCGTCCAGCAGTTTATTAGACTATACGAGCTCGCAGGGAAATGTAGTTCAAAATGTTGGAGAGCCAAGGTTGGAGACCTCTGAACTAGACTGATATTATTAATAGGCTAACTAAGAAGATGTCAGTTTGGAAAACGTTTATGTGATCAACACAAGTTTATGCAAACCTTGTTACATGTTGAAAGAAACTGTATTTAAGGTAAAAAACCTGATTCCCTTAAAAAAAAAAGACTTGATCAAGGTATAGCTATGCAGAAGAAGTAAAAGTATAAGAAGATGTGAAATATTGACTAAATTGGCGAGTTGTACTGAAATAGAGCACAGAAAAGCAGTACTTTTAACATTGCTTGTAACTATTAACCTCAAATTATCTGTTTATTCAGACAGTGGAATTATGAGTGTTTTGTATTATGCATAGCATCTCCTGGAAACAATCAATGCAGATTTGTAAAAACAAACAAACTAATTCTAATGCTCAAGCAATATTCATCAACACATACATATATAAGATGTATTGTAATGAATTGTATACAGGTACCTGAGCATAGAACATTTACTTGATTTACTTTAAAATGTCATGTCTCTACTGCACAATATGTTTAAAAAGACTAACACGGACCTGGTTGTGTCTGTTTACCTATAGTTGCTTATATTCAGTATATTGATTCATAAATATTTTATTTTTAATGTGTGTTTTGGGATTATAGGTAAAATACAAGCATTTTGAATGATATGTTATTTTATTGAGACACTTTTCTTTGTATAATGGTTACATATATATATATATATATATATATATATATATATATATATATATATATATATATATATATATATATATATAAAATTGGCAACCAAACAATGACCATAAATGACCTATCTGCAATTTATTATGCCCACAGGAGCATGAATAATCACTTTCAATCTATTATATGGATTATCTTGAAAAGTTTGCCTTCTTACATTTTCAGTTTTTCCACAAATAGGTAGATAATACATTTCGAATCATAGGGAACCCTTTTATTACCATCTGAAGTTTCACTTTTAGTGCTAAGGAAAACCTATTTTCAGGGTGCTGTAATTAAGAGATAAGGGCACTCTATACAGTAAAATTATTTAAAAAATAAAAGCGAACTGTCTCCGTGTGTAATACACATACATATATACTTTGACTTGGTTTTAAAAAATAACCTTCAAAACGATTGAATAGATTTGAATGCTACAAATTTGAATAAGGGAATTGATGCCTATAATATAAACAAAATTTAATGTTTTAATGTGGAAGGGTAAAGTATTTAACTTTTAATTGCTGTTAAATGAGTAAATGCAACTTTTAATTTTAAAGTAAAATATTGTTCAGGTAACCATTTAGAAGAAAGAGGGGTAATTTCCTGTTAGAGGAAGTGTAAGCAGAGTTATACACACATACACACCAAACAGGGCAAGCAGATATCTTAGGAATGTAAAAGCCTAAAAGGGCAAGGATCACTGTAGATAGCTCAGAGATCCCTCGCCCCCTACCCCCACCCCCTTTTTTCCTCTCCCCTTTTATGTTTAAAGTACTCTCCTCTTAGTATACTTCAACAACTTCAATTTAGTTAAGAAAGCAGAAATTTGTTGAAATACAAATCAGATATATTAATTTCATATATTGTTTAGTTGCTTAACCAGCTTATTATACTTTGTTCGAAAAGTTTAGAAACAATGTTCTACTGAAAGAGTTTGAAAATCTTTTTAACAAAACCTTTGAAAAGTTTCAAAGTAATGTTTTCAAGCAAATTATGCCATATAAATGCTGATCTATAAAACTAGTTCCAACCATATCTCTTCTTAGAAATTGTCATGCTTCTAAAAAGGAAGCTTAATTCCCCTATGAAATGCATTTCTGAGCCAGTGATATGCAAAAGCAAACATAATCAGTTAATATAAATGCTGTACAGAAAACAATTTCTAAATAAACAAAATGCTAAATTGACTTTTTAAATCAATAATAATCAAATATGGCCATAATAACCCTAATACTTAAAGTGAATTCTTGGATTTGCTGTACATACTATAAGTTTTATAGCAAATAGATCTAAAATACAGACAAAAATAATCCAATAAACTACTTTCATTAAAAATTTTAGTCTTAGGGGTTAAGCAATTTTGTTTAGTCCAGCAAATTCTGTTTTGTCTGTTTATATGGATTCTTATTTAAAATGTACAATGATCAAGTGTCAGGAATAAGTGAAATATTTGGTTGCAAGAGGATAAAAAGGTTACATCAAGCAGGTCAACTGTAAAGCTGAGAATCAAGTTGGACAGCACTGGGTTGCAGAAACTGTCTGAAAAAAAGACCAAAATATATTGTCAACAAAACACATTTTAACCTTTTTTTTTTTTTTTTAAATACAGAGATATAGATATGTTTGTGCTTAACTACGCCTATTCATTCTGTTGAGTTATTTCAAACCTCTATCTGAGACACATAGTTGTTGTACATTCACTTTTCTGATTGTTTGAATTTAACCTGAAAATTCCAACACTATATAAGCAAGTCTTCTCTTGTTCAGCCATCTAAAAACATGCATGTTGGACCCTCATTCTTAGATGAGCATTTTTAACATTCTGCTCCTCCAGAGCCCCTCTCATTAGCATGCTGACCTAAAACCACATGGCCTGCTAAGAGACTGATCAGCTGAAAATGTAGAGCTCATCTCTTTTGTTCATTCTAAAGTCTTTTATTCATTGAAATAAATATATTGAGTATCTTCTATTTGACTTAAGTAAAGATTACCTTGTATTGATATGTAAAAAAAATTATTTTCTTAATACAAAACCTCATTTCGTGGATTTTGGATGATATATTGGCATCAAATAAACAATTATATGATTAAAATAAGGTTATTATTATTATTATTATTATTATTGCCATTTATATAGCGCCAACGGATTCCGTAGCGCTTTACAATATTTTGAGAGGGGGGGTGTAACAATAAATAGGACAATTACAAGAAAACTTACAGGAACAATAGGTTGAAGAGGACCCTGCTCAAACGAGCTTACAGACTATTGGTTAAAAAGGTTTGCTGCAAAAGGAGCTTTGGCTAAGATTTTTTTTGTATTTCTTTAAAGCAACACATTTTGTTGTGATGAAACCTGTATATAAAATTAGGTGTATAATTAACGGTATATGATTTGTGAAATATAAAGATTCAACTTAAAGTCATTATGTTCCTTGACTTTGCCATTTCCAAGTATGCTAAAAATATAAGCCGCTTCATTCATGTTTTTTCATTAATATAAAGTTATTTCTTAACTTTACAAATATATATAAAAGACACAAAATGCATTGTGTGAAACTGTTTTTGTTTTGTGTTTTTGCAAGTTCACATTATACATTGTCGGAAATCTTTTTTTTAAATTGCATTAACATGTTTCTCGAATAAAACATTCCAACACTCACATATTAATAATAACAAAGTATTTAACCAGGAAAGGTACATTCAGATTACTCTTGTTTTCAAGTACGTCCTGGGGATGTTACATTAGCCCAACATCAAGGGGTTGTTACTATTACAAAATTTAATGGTACTCATTTTATCTACCTCACGACCAGAAAACATGTCCAGATTCCTAGTAAAAATTAGCTTATATAAATATTGCTTTTATTATTATTAATTTGTAAAGCGCCAACAAGTTCCACAGCACTGTACAATATTACCCTTTCGTTTAGTTTATTAAACATTTCCAAGAAAAGAAAGTTTTATTTTCTCTTCAAATTGAGATATAGCATTATCCATTTGTGTAATATTGCACCACTTTTATTAAAACTTTCACTTATATTTATAGTTTAGGAAACAGGGTAGATTAAGAGAATACACATATTCTGTAGCGCCCTACCTAAATACCGTTAGAAAATGTTAAGTGATTTAATCGTACTGACCACATTTTATATGCATAAAGTAAAACTTTTTTTCATAAGTTTAAAATGGCTCCCTCCTGTGTATGTCTATATTCACATACTTGTACAGATATGTGTCTGTGTGTGTGTATATGCAACCCATTGTACAGAACTATGGAATTTGCTGGCGCTATATCAATAATAATAATATATATATATATGTATGCATATGTAAGTGTATGTGTGTATATATGTATGTGTGTGTATACATATATATATGTGTGTGTGTGTGTGTATATATATATATATATATATATATATATATATTGAAAAAGGATAGTAGGTGCACTCGTAGGTCTTTTTAAAGTGATTCCTTTATTAATTGCATATTACATTAAAAAGTCCCGATCAACATTTCGACCCCAATAGGGTCTTTTTCAAGCAATATTTCAATAAAGAGACCCTATAGGGGTTGAAATGTTGATCAGGACTTTTTAATGTAATATGCAATTATAATAAAGGAATCACCTTAAAAAGACCTATGAGTGCACCTACTATCCTTTTTCAATATATATTTGTACGCTGGGGATGCACCAAGGCAAGATTTAGCTTAAATATGCTTTTAGGGTGAGTGCCAAGACAATTTTTTTGAACTCTGGGAGTTCAACTTAAATTTCTTCTTTATTGAATCAAAAACGCATATGGCGATGTTTCAGCTCTAGCATAGAACTTTGAGGAAACTCTCAAACTCTGAGGAAAGTTCTTTGTTAGAACTGAAACGTTGAGATCTAGGTTTGTGATTTAATAAAGAGGAATTTTACTGGGAACTCCCAGAGTGCTGGTATGATCACTGCTACATACACATAGTGTTGCTGAGCACCGGGTAACAGATGTCAATTTAAGTTGGAATGCAGAGCACAAGGGATTGAAATATATATATATATATATATATATATATATATATATATATATATATATATATATATATATATATATAAAAAAAATATTTCAATATACAGAACACAATAAAGGCAACTCTAAAATCTATCCACAAACACATGTCTGTATGATAAAAGTTATTTACAATATAAAAATCTGCTGGTTCATTAGCTTTTTAACCCCTTAATGACACATCTTCTGGAATAAAAGGGAATCGTGACGGAATATTTCCGTCATGTGTCCTTAAGGGGTTAAAGCCCATAAACCAGCATTTCTACAAATGCATATTAAACAGAAAAGTATCTCCTTTACGCCAAGAAGGTTAAAGAAACTATTCAACATTCTTAAAGAAAGCATGGTTTGAACAACTTGTGCATATTGTTGGTCTCTTACTAGCATTATACTGACACTGCAGACAAACAAGCAATATAGCAGATTCCTTTAGGTCTTAACATCAGCACAGCATTATCACAATGAACAGATGTAGTGTGGTGTATCTACTAATACAACTGATATATGCATGAGGTCTTTGGACTTATTCTGTGATAATGGTTGTTGCAGGCATGCCACACTCCAGTTTCTAAAATAGGCTGGTGGAATGTCGGTCAGCCATCTTTGATGTTCAGCTTGTTTAGTCTCCAAGCACCATTTTAGGAATGGGCAACTTTCATTGTTCATTCTGTGAACCAAAGATCCAAATTACTCACCAATTTTACTCCTTGTACATGATTACGTAATACATTATACCCCTGGAAAGACTCACCAAACCAAGCTGAAAATAAGTGTTAACATATTTTGAACTTATAAGGCAAACACATGCCTAAATAGCCACAAAGGCGTAATATATGCTTGCTTTTTAAGTAGTCTGCCTTACAAAGGATGTAAACTACGGATTTAAAATACTGAATATGCACAACACTTTGTAACAAATTGATTTTTGGTATATGGTCTGTAAAGGTAGGCTTGTTATCACATTCTAGCAGCTGTAGAAATTAGTCTCTTAAATACCAGAAATGCAAGGATACATCAGATAGAATTTACAAAAATATAAACCAGATTTTTTTATTTTTTGTGATTTCAGCTTTTTGTTTTTCCCACTGCAGCATTGCCCACTGTCTCCCACTTCAGTGAGGAAGTGACAAAAACCTAGCCACATATGCATATTTCCAAAAAACTACTGCACAACATGTTATTATTCAAATAAGACGCTCATGCCTACACAATAGTAATGTGAGGTTTTTTTCTCACTGGACCTGTGAGGAAAATTAAGCATAAATAAAATGGACTCTGCTTTGCCTTCCACTCACTTTTAATAGTGTAACAATTTTTATTCGTTTTCAAATTCACATATTTATTCTCTAGAATAAATATAATAGATTACTGAATACACTATTAGATTGCTGAACATAAAGGCTCAGTAACCGTACTTTAAATATGACTGGATTGATGGAGAGCAATTTTTGAGGGTGCTAAGAGGGATTGGAGCCCATGAGATTTAAAGTTTTTTATTTTTTGTAAGCAGTGTTTTTACAACGCATTCCAAACATGCTGGACACAAGCTGGGGTAGCTCTTTAAACACAATCACAGTATGTTTGTATTATTACAGATTATTATCTTGTTTTTCTTTATTTTGAACATTGAGAACTAAGATACCAAAATATGGGATGTTTTCACTGTTCAAAAATTTTTCCATGTGCAATTGTTTTGAATAATGTTATCCCTTTTTTAATAGAGTAATACATTGCTGATATTACTGATAACAGTAAATTATATATATATATATATATATATATATATATATATATGACTGTTAGCTAGTTTTAAACAGGCCCCTTGTCTCTTAATATTTTTCCTGTCTTGTTTTGTTAATTGTATGAATCCGTTACCCCTTCTAAATGATGATTTACAAGCTTAAAAGAGTTATAAGAAAACCAGCTAGTTAGAAAGACACCTGCCATTTGTAATCCCATCCCATCCCATCCCATCACAGACATTATTGCCAGTTGGTGCTATTTTAAAAAATTTATATTTTACTTTTTTGAGACATAGGTGACAAAAACACATTTCAGTTTGTATGTGTAAATATAATACACACACTTTTTTTTTAGCTTAAGGCATATGCATTGGTTACTTTACAAATGCAACATGCTTGGTTTATATTTTTTAAGTGGAAGCAATTTAGCGAACATTAGAGCACCATAACTTTTGTAATTAAGCAATGACCTGCAGCATATAGTCAGTGTGTGGTTTTGGTTTAACATCTAAATGTGTTTATTTACATGAAAGCAAAACAGGCGCCTTTATCTAAATGTGTTTTTACAACACTGGGTATCAGTAAATATGGAGATTTTCAAAATCTCTATAAAACTTAGGAACACTACAGAAATGTATATGTTACTTAATTTTATGTGTATTTAACTGGTTTTAAGAAGATGGTTTAAAAATTATGTACCCAAACTCAGCATTCTGAAATTCTCCACATATACTGCTGGCATATGGTTTGAATTTCATAATAGGAATCCCTCCATTTTGGAGGAAACGGTAGCATGCTGAAAGTATGTAGTTTCTCCTATAGTCACTGGAGCACTAGTTTTGTTTTGTAGAAATCCCACAATGGATCTCATTTACAACCATTCTTTTTATAGTACATCATATGAATTCGCATGTTGTTTGGAACATTCCTTAAAAGTGCACTGTAGAGTTCGATGAGACACTGCAGGGCTACAATGTTATTTTTCAAGATGCTAATTAATTGATTCACATGCTTTACCACTGCAAGGGATATATCCACCATTAAAAGCACATTATACACCTTCTGCTATGCCCCGGGTTGTGATTGCTATTTCAATTGCAGCAGGGCAGTGTTTACTTCGTGAGGTTATTGTTGTGAAAGTGATTGGAGGTTCACAACGAACCAGTTTAACGTCAAACGCATACATCCGACCGAAGCTCGGTGCTGTGTAGATGGACTGAACAATTATTATTTTGTACCACAAGACTGCCTGGGCGCGTCGCCCGTCTTTAGTCGCCACGTGTTACTGTTTACGTGGGGGAGCTGACCACACAGAAAGTTGGCAAAAATCACAATGCGAACAGCCAGGCACACGAGGGGTTAAATCAGAATGCTTTAAATGTATTTCTAATAAAATAACTTATTGAAGTAGTTTTTTTTTTTTTATATATATATATATATAGTAGATCCCTATCCGCTCTTCCCTTCACATACATAGTTCTACCAATAAACACAAAAGGCGCTGCTGGTAAAACTGTGACTTCTAGAACGAAGGCAAAAGTATAAACGAAAAGGGCCGTTTAGAACGTTGCCACCATTTACTGTAGAACACCACATGGACCTGCTTTAACCCTTCCTATTCTTTCCAACCGCCTTTAAACAATAAGGTCACGGTAAACAAGGCGAGTAGTGATGGGATGGAGGGAGGGGGGCGTGTGAAGGGCTGACTTGGCGCCAGAAACGCAAGAGCTTAAGGCGCAGAGAAGCCAATGAATGGGGAGAGGGGAGGAAAGAAAGCAGCGAGCCTGTGTTAGGGGAGCAAGCAAGGCAGGGGAGGAGGAGACATTCAGTCAGCTCCTAGCCAATGGGGCGCCAGTAAAAAGACGCTTTACACACATACAGTGGCACTCAATGCCGCACCATACTATGTATTGGCTACTACCATCTACTACACTCAGCCCCCTCCCTATACCCTTGCTCTTTCTGCTGACTGGGCTCTAATGGCAGGATGCAGAGGAGAATTCTGATCACCTGAAATTATTACTTTTTTTTTTTTTTAATGATTTCTCCCCACAGCCTTCCTATATAAACACCCCCTTCCTTCTGTTATTGTTTTGCCTCCAGGTGCATGTACTGCAAGGGTTTTAATGAAATATTCGCATCACACACCCCCTTTTCCTTTCTCTCCTCTAGGCGATATTTAGCCTTCTTGTGTGAAAAAATGATTTAAAAAAATAAATAAAAAAATCATATATATATTAAAGATTGTGGAGTAAGAAAGTTTCCTGACCAGTCTGATGGCTAGCAGCTTTACAGCATGAATGGGGTGTTTGTAGTATTCTTTCCGGGATCCTCCATTCACGTGTGCCTTTTTTTTGGTGGTTTTATAGCATATCCTGTGGGTTTATGTAAATCAGAGAATTCCACACTCGATAACACTTAAAATAGGAAAACAAAAAGCATGCATTTTATTTGGAACAAAGGTTCAGTTATCTTGAAAATTGCTTTTTAATATATATATATATATATATATATATATATATATATACCGCCCAAAACCTTTATTACAGTAAATACAAGGTTATAGAATCATAACCTATTGTCTTGTAATTGTATCTAAATGGAGGACCCCGCCCTCAGTATACATTGAAACCATAACTGCTTTTATTACAACAACCACTCCTCCCCCTTGTACTCAAATGTATGCATTTAAAAAGCACATATATTAAATTGTTAAATCTACAAGTCAACAGCTAATAATGGTAAGTGAACTTGCAGAACTATTCTTTTCTTTAACCATAATTTTCTGCATATACAATATACGTAAATCTTTGTTTTTTTCCCTAAACACACGTCCTCCATTAACATTCCTTCTATTGATACATAATCTTTACGCCATACCCACCCCCCACACATATACTGGCCTTCCTTCCATGTTGCTGATAAATACATTGACCAGTGTAGGGGGTGGGGGAAGAACAGATTACAGAAAACAGAATAGTTAATACATATTTTATTCAGTGGGGTGAAGTGTTTTTTTTTTTGTTTTTTTCTCAAATATATAAATATAACACCACACGTGCACGTCTAATAAAATAACTAAAACCTGTACATATACAATTAAATATATAATATAACTAGGCCTTCCTCTGTACTTAAGATGTAATTAATTACTCATTTAGATCATATCTATTTCCCTAATACAATAAAACAATTATAGAATATATAAAAGGTTGCATCTTTAAAAATATGTCTGTTTAAAAACATGTAGTTACCTTAGTGTACACAATATAAAATTACGAATGCAATTCATAAATACAACATGCAATTAAAATCAATTTTAAATTCCAGTTAAAATATATATATTTTATTTCCTTCAAGTCTATGTTACAATGTTGACATCACAAATGTAAATCTGTAAATATCAAAATATACTTTCAGATTGTTTTATAACGCTCACACAAATTGTATATACATTAATATATACTTTTTGTACAAAAACACTTGCATGATGTAAATATCATAGTTATAAAAACTGATTGGAAGAAAAGTGGATGGTTTAAATATTAATATTTCCATAAAAAACAGAATATATATATATAATTTATATATATATATATATAAAATCTTAGTTTTAAAACACACGAAGCCTCAGTCATCGTTTTGCTAGATCTGTAGCTACTATACTCATTCAAAAAAAACAAACAAAAAAAAAACATTTTTAGTCCAAGGGGAAATAAATTCACAAGTCATAGATGCTTGATCATATATAAAAGCAGAACAAGATCCCTGCTAATTGACTAACAATAAGGTCTAACCATGTATATAACCAATCACCACCCCCCCTCCTCATAAAAACTATTATACTTACAGATCTGTTATGTCGAACTTAAATAGTAAAAGTATAAGTCTGCAACAAGTGAACAAAATGAAAGCACACTGAAAAGAGGCTCCGGGTGGTGAAAAATGAAATGCTTTAAATTTCAGTAGGTTCCTGCTACCTCCACTCTACATTTTTTGTTTTTACTGTGTGAACCACTTCCCATCCCCTTCCCCTCCCCCCGCCAATCCACCATTGTATTCCTTGCAAATAAAGAAAAAAAGTATGAATGGCAATGTGCATGAGATAAGACGATGTGCTTACGTTGCTCAAATTTCAGAAGGGCTGTCATTTATTAACATATCATCATCCTAATCTCGTGGTGTTACTTTGTACACAAACTATTAATCAGGGATAGAGATAAATGACCAATGTAAGGAATAAGCAGCTTTGTCCCCTCTTCAGAGCCCTTCTTCTATTTTATTTATAACAGGGAGCCTCCGACTGTTGATAGATCTGTATCCAGTGCTGATCAGGCTGCAAGATAATATAAAAAGGAAGGGGGGGGGGGAAAAATATCACATAACCCCCAAATATAAAATAATTCAGATTACCATACGCGGGGCCCAGGCAGTGGAATGCCCTCTTGTATACGTTACTGGCATACACCCCCTTCCTTGTCATTCATCGGTGAACAACCAATTGTAAGCAGGATCTCAGAAAGCTACCAAACACGAATCACAGGCTTTACTGCAGCGTATTACATACATGAAGTGTGGAGCAGTGTGGCACATGAAGACTATAGAGCAGCCTTGAACCACGATGCCACACCTCCTCCAAAGCAGCCAACGTCTCCATCCCCCCTCATTCATTCTTGAAAGCGATCTACCTATTCAAAGTCCTCCAAGCCATATTGGCTAACAGCAAGGAGAACTGCAAGACCTCCTCCCATTTTTGCAAGAGGGATTTTTTTTTTTTACGCACACCCAGAGGAGGAGGAAGAGGGCGTGGGAGGGGAGAAAAAAAAAAGAGAGAGAGAGGTGGGCTTCCCCTTCTCTTTTTCTTACACAATGTCTTATTAAATACAGAAATAAACATATAGAACGTTTAAATGTATCAAAACTTCACCAACGTTCTATTCTGGGACAGCCCTCCCAGAGTTGAGGGGAGTCTCCCTCTCTAGAGTGAGGCACTTTCCACACTAGAGCACAACTCTCTTACTATTCAGCCCCCACCATGCCTACTGACAGACAGACAGACTGACACCGTCACCCTGCCCCCCATCCAAACTTGTCCTGTCGTCTGCTTCCCCCCTCCCCCTTCATCTCAATCTTTTTTTTTTTTCTCCCGTTTTATTCTCCTCCCATCATCCCCTTGTCCCTCTACCCAATCTCTCTCTCTCTGCCACCCCCCCTGACTTTTTTCCTCCTCTTCTTCTCTCCCCCAAATCTACTATCTAATTGAGGAGCTGGGATTCCTCACGTGAGAAGTTGATTTGTAGTTTGAACACGTGGCTCATTCAAAAAGCCGGAATATTAAAGTGATTTTTTTTTTCTCCCCCTCTTCCTCTCGATTTTATTTAGAGGCGGCGCCTACATTAACGTAGAGTGACATTTTCACAGTCTGACTGCCAAAAGGATTTGGGGGGGGAAGACAAAAAGTAGTTTTTTATTTTTTGGGGTTTTTTTTTTCCTCCCTCCTAAGGCCGCCATTCTAGTCAAAACGCTTTTTTCCTCCCTTTTTTTTCTGCACATCCGGATAACAGCCCATATTGCTCCTCTTTTTTTTTTCCCTCTCAATTCTATCTTTGAGTCCGGCTGCGACTACAGAGCTGATCACTCCTCAGCGTGCACTGCTTTCCCCCCCCTCTTTATTCCGTGCAAACATTGCAGAAGGTTGTTTGGGGGCGTCTTGGGGTGATCTCGTGGTTTTTCGTTCCTTTTTTTTTTAAAGATTTTTTTTATTTTACATTTTTTTTTTTTTTTTTACAATGAACAAGCTGTATATTGGAAACCTCAGCGAAAACGTAAGCCCCCCGGATTTGGAAAGTCTCTTCAAGGAGTCAAAGATCCCTTTCACTGGCCAGTTTCTGGTCAAGACTGGATACGCGTTCGTGGACTGTCCTGATGAGAATTGGGCTATGAAGGCCATCGACACCCTCTCAGGTAATCCCACTGGGAGAGGGAGGCAGGTAGAGGCTGCAATCCCCCCCCTCTTCTGCCCTGTGCCCCCCACACCCCCTTTGGCCTCTAACCTGGCACCCTGCGCAAGAAGGGTGTGCGCCCCCAACTCTGCTGACCTGGGAGGGTCATTTAAAGCACTGAGCCTGCAAAGGGCATCAGGTTGTACAACGACCTTCAACCCTGTCTGACTACTTTTTATTTTAAGGTTCTAATTTGCAAATAACGTAGAGTCTACACTAGTGCATGGAGGGGGAGTACACGCAGCCATTGCTAAAGCTCGCTTGCCCCTGGGGTGTGTTGTGAGTGCATGCTGTTGGTAGTGGTGGGGCTGTGTGTGTGCATGCAAACTGGAGTCCTTTGGGTGGATATACGGGGTGAGCCTTGTTGTGAGTGAAGTGTACAAGGGCACTTCGTGATCACACGCAGAGTGGGGGGTTGGTACCCCTCGGGATCCTCTACATCCAGGTGCTCTCAACGGCTCATTAACTCCCAATTCCGGTCACTTTGCTCGTTGAACCCACACCCATTGCCTTGCACGCTAAAACAAACCGTGGCGTGGGTGGTGGCCCACTCTGTGCACCACGTTCCACGCACGGCCGTGGGATAGAACGCTGGCTCTTCCTACGTGTTCTATTTCGAAGCTCTGCAAGGGTAGGTAGTTTGCGGCTTCTACAGGGTTAACCTCCTTTTTTTAATGAGTGTACCCCTTATCGCAAGGTATTGACACCCACGCGTGTTTATAATATGTAACCGAGATGGTAGGGGGAGAGAGGCTGGCTGCATTCTTTTTGCATGTGATAACCCTGCTTGGTGCTGGGGAATAACTATAGGTACTCTGCCTTACTACAGGGTGAGTGATCACTCTTGGCTACCGTGAAACATGTCCCGTTGCCGAAACCATGAAAACATTCGTGTTCTAGTGAGGATTTAGCAGCTCTTTCCACTCATTTGAGGTTTTTTTTTTTTGTTTTGTTTTTTGATATATGCAATTAGGGCATTCTTTAAGTCGGGGTGCAAAGATCCATAGGGGCTCATTCATAAAAAAAAAAAAATGTTATCTACACGCGTAAACACGCACATGACTCGATCACGAGCCTCGGCTGCACACTATCCATCAAGGGACAGCTGCTCTGATCCACATGCTATCGAGGATTGTCTTAGAAAAAGTGCAGAAGCTCTATTTTGCAACTAACACAGCTGCCCAGTACCTTACTATACCCACTCATTCTCTTCCACCCATGACCAAACACCCCCTCCATCTCTGCGCCTAAATTATTCATTATTTCATTGCTGATCTCACACTAGCTGCTACTTCCTTTTAGAAGACCTCTGCTTATTTTATCCTTAATATCATTCAGACCATCATTCACGTGTGTGTGTGTGTGTGTGTGTGTGTGTGTGTATATATATATATGTATGTATGTATATATATGTGTGTGTGTGTATATATATATATATTAATATTAAAATCATGGCTGATGCATAATTCTAGATCTATGGGGGTTGATAAAAATAGCTTTACCCTCTCAATTGGATGGAAACATGTTGCTTTTTTTGGCCTTTATCATCCTTCTAATAGGGAGTAAGATAAATGGTATCGATTTGTACTATGAATACCCCAGTAACTCTAATTCCCATTTATTTTCTTTACAGGGAAAGTTGAATTGCATGGCAAAGTTATAGAAGTTGAACATTCAGTACCTAAAAGACAGAGGTAATTTTATTTTTTTCCTTCAAATCGGTGGGTGTTAAGGTGTGTTTTAAGATTTATAGTTTTACTACACTTGTTTATATTTAACTTTTTTTTTTTCAAATCTATATGCAAATTGGGTTCTTAATTTCCTTGATTGAGAGTAAACCCCTTATTTGGGCATGTGTTAATGCATTAACATTTAGAATTTTTCCTTGGCATTTTCATCCTCTTGTCTGACTGTTGGGATTGTATGTTTTGGTAATAAATACAAATCTTTATTATCTGTCCCAGGTTATTCTTTAACTTGATAAATATGGAGTAATATTATTTTGGTAACTTTTCTTAGATTTCTTGGATTGAACTTTAACCCACAAGGGCCTGCAATCCAAACACGTGACTGACTCCATATTTTTCCTGTGTGCTTTTTAAATGTATATTTTATCAGCTTTCTTCTATAGTACACATCTTTAGTGTGCTTGCATGTTATTATACACACAGTGTTGTGTATTTGTCTTATATTTGCTCCTCTTATTCTCTATCCAGATAGTTTACTGTAAATTAATAAATACTTGTTTTAACATGCAAATGTTTATTTTTTTAAACTTAAAAAAAATGCATTACAGAAGCTGCTAAGTATTTTTTTTTTTTTCTCCCCTCCCTGCTCTTACTCTATGCCCCCATGCTGTGGAAGTTGTTTTCCTATGGCCTAGCTTTTCTGTAGGCTGGGCCTCACTTGTAACTTGCTGCCATTTTGAGGCCCAACTGGGATACTATTGATTGTAACTCTACATGCCTCTTTTGAATTACTCCATTGGTAGATCCTCTCACGATATCAGAAGCAAGAGCTAAATATTGTGGGAAGTAAAAAGTAAAATATGGCCCTCAAAGTAAACAAATAAAATATTTTTATATATATATATATATAAAATTTAAGAAAATGAAAAGCTTTTAATTTTTATATTTCCTAAAACATATGTAGAAACTCATTTGTTGTTTTACAATTTAGCTATGTTTTGTATGGTTGCAATATCTTGTCTGTATATTGCTTACAGTTTGCAATGTTACTTTTATTTTATCATTCCCACCCCCCCGCCCCCCCAACACCATTTAAAAAATAAATAAAATAAAAAATGGTTTAAATGTTTTATATATATATTATTATTTTTTTTTTTTTTAAACATTCCCCGCCTCCCCCCACATATGTTTGATGCTTAGTGTATGGATGTCTTTGATCCTAAATTTATATATTATTTTTTTTGGTCCCTTTTTGTCCCCTTTATATAAAATGTACTAGCATTTATACCAAATTAAGTTAAATAGCAAAGTGTTTAATGAACTTGTATACAGATGACCAAGGACACTTAATATATTTTTGTGTGTATGTGTATTACAATATTAAACTATAGGTAAACTTTGAGGTAGTGAGATTGTTTTTGTTTATTTCAAAGGAGTTTTCTTCCTCTCCCTAAAAATGTTGGAGGGGGCAAATTAATTGTTTTGTTCTTTGCCTGCTTTATCTACACACTAAACGTGTACTGAATGGGTTAATTAATGTGTGGGTGGTAGGAAAAGTATTTGTAAGGTAAATGTATATACCCAGTTAAAGCACACCCACCCACCCTGCTGTTTTGTTGAAAAAAAATAAATCCAGCGGGCCACGGCAGGCTTTTCTGTTCTATATTTCCCCCTCCCCCTCAAATGTGCAGTTTTTATTCTGGTTTTGGGTGACCCTCATCGTTTAGCTGCTAATAGAGGACCATGATTTGATTAAAGTAATGAATTAAAAGTTTTGGTCCCATTTTACCACCTCCCACCATTATATGCAATAAGGACTAAATAAATAACATACTTGCATAATGTGTTTTTGTAAATGCATATATATCCCCTCCTACAACACCCTCATCACTTTAATTCTTGCAGAAACCATTCAGGCAGTGCATTATGGGTTCAGAGAAGGGGGTTGGGGGGTTGGGAATGTACAATCTATATCCTTTCATGTAAGGGAGGGTCAAAAGGTGGTGTCAGTTAGGGTTGCCATAAAGTTGCTGCTGCATTCTGATAGCCAATCATTGCAAACTGTGCTTGATTTGTTATGCAAAGTAAAATTCTTAGGCCAAGTAGTCACTGTTTTCCAAACCATGTTGGGACTTCTAGAGATCTAAGATGGACACTCCCACAGTGCTGGGATGACCTTTATACCTGCTGTGAAAGACAGGATGGGAATATAGGGATGCAGGAGACTTAGTGAAGCATTAAAAGAAGCTGTAGGAAAGAAATATTGGTCTGGCCAGGGCTTTCCTGATACTAGGAGAGGCATAGTGTCTGCCTGGGGGAGGGTAGAGTAGTGGAACAGGACTTGAAGCCTACTGTTGGCTCATGGTTACCATATAGAAGTCTCTAGAGATTATCATAGGAATGCAGTAGTGGTTTTTTTTTGTGTGTGTGTTTTTTCTTCTCCTCTCTAGCTGTGTTGTCCTTAATGAATTCTAGATGGCGATTTTAAAATTCTATACAATTTATTATATTTATCTTCTACTTAAAGCAATATTTTTGTAATGAAATCTGCAAATTTTCTAGAAGTAACCCGTTGAAATGTTTTGTGTAGTTACACAAAACCACAAGTTACAAGAACAAAATATGTCCTCTCAGAATTTTGGCATTGATAAACCTAAAAAAGTGTATTCATATCCTGTAAATTTAAAGGATGTTTCTTGTCCTAATCAGCTACAAAGTTTAACAATTCACACAGCAACATATTTTATCATAAACAGTAAAATTTTGTGTTCTAAATCTTTTAGCTAATGTGACTTTTTTTTTTTTTATATTTGACTGGGCAATTTTTATTTATTTATTTTTTTCTCTTACAAGCACTGCAAAATTTACTGTACATTTTCACAAGAAAGTTCTATTTATTAACCATTTCAATATTGTACAGCTTTGAAATGTCTATTGCCTAATTTTATTCTTGTTGAACTCATCCCATACCTACAAGTGAAAGAATCATCCAGTTTGCTTCCTGCATACTAAATATATATTTGCCTGTGACACCACATACTTACACGCTAGAGGGATCTCCCAACTAGATTCAAAGCCCACATAATTGAATTTTGAAATACATTCCCGCCCCCAGGCAAAAATTAGATGCTTATATATTATTTGTTTATATTCACCTTTTACCATGCCAAGGCTGTCAATCTTTAAAAAATAATGTCCCAACACTTTTCTAGTATTCCAAATATGTCTGGTCATATATGCATTCTGCACATGTAAAAAAAAAAAAAATTAGGAAAACAATTCTGTACTTTGGTTACTAATTACCTATTTATCAAAACGTTTTGGTTGGACTTAGTGCAATTGTTTGCATCCTAGTACTGTTGGTGTTCCTAGTGGTGTAGTTGCGTAGGGCACCAAAGTAAACTGAGGGTAACCATGTTATTCTCCATTTGGTGTAAAAAAAAATAAAATAAAAAAAAAAGCGGATCGGTTAAACATTCTTTCTTTACCACCTTGTGTATTAATTTTTGCTTACTTGTGCAAGCTGGATCGATTTGGAACCCTCCCACGATTGAGATACATTCCAGTTTACTGACCACTAGCAGAAAAAAAAAAAATGTTAGACTTCTTTCCACTATTGTCCCCCCAAAACATTTTCCTCCTCTCACCTCTTATGGTCTTGCCATAATATGAGTTGTAACAAGGTTGATCTACAAATAAACCAGTTTTCTAAGTGCTGGTGTAGTTTGATCTGTGCCACATGCCACTCAGAATTATTGCCGTTTATCTCTGCAGTAATTTAACAAAACCACTGACATTAAAAACAAGTACTTATGTCTTTATCATACTAGTCTGAGTAATTGCATTATTTGCGTGGCCTTACTTAAACATGCAGGAAGCTGTTCTGTGTTGCATTCTTCTTACTGATTTGCAGGGTTTACCATATCTCTTATAACCTTAAAGGGACACTCCAGGGACCCAGACCACTTCTGCCCATTGGAGTGGTCTGGGTGCCAACTCCCATCATCCTTACCCCTGCAAGGTAATTATTGCAGTTTATAAAAACTGCAATAATTACCTTGCAGGGGTAAGTCCTCCTCTATTGACTATCAGACCGTCACTAGAAGGATTTCTGACTTCTTAAAACAGTGTTTTAAATTGTTGGACGTCATCACGCTATGCATTGATGCGTATTAGGTCTCCTCTCCTGGCTGACGTCGGTAGGGGAGAAGCGTGGGCGGAGCCTGACCCAGCGCCGAGGGAAATGCACTATCTAATGACTGGAGATCGGTCCAGTCACATACATGTTAGTGTGTAATCTATGTATCTATTTTTTTTTTTTTTTTTTATAGAAAATAGATAATACGTTGATCTTGAGGAAGACCCGAACGGGTCAAAACGTTGATCGGATTATTGTAAACTTGTGATTAGTGATTTCGCGAACGGTTTGCGACATCTCTCCTTGTGATGTATTAAATACCACTATGTATGTATGTATTCAAATTTTTTTTTTTTTTTTTTTAAGAGTTGAGGTAGATTCTGTATTGGTGCCCAATAGAGCATAAGAAATTTTAAAATATAACCCTGTTTGACATGCAGCTAAGATGGAAGAAACCAGTCTTTTAACCAATCATACAGAGTTATTTTTATGTTGTCATTCATTAAATGTTAACTTGCTTTAGATGTTATCTCCTGCTCTGTAAATTGACTTTGCAAACAGGAGGCTCCTGCAGGGTCTAGTAGGCTATTAACAGATAGTGAGAGAAGAAATTCTTAACCCATTGTACAGCGCTACGGAATCTGATGGCGCTACATAAATAACGAAACAGAATGTGCAATAAAGGAAGTGTAAACATTAGATCACTCTTTACAGGAAGCACTTAATAAGGCTGTGTAAGTTATGTTCTGAGAGGTGTGGCTAGGGCTGCATATAGAAAGTGATTTAACTCCTGAATGAGAACTGAGCAGTGAGACTGCAGGGACATGGTCTGTACACCAAAGCCACTCCATTAACCAAAAGTTGTGGAGCAAATATAGTGGCCCTTTAATGATTATAATCTCATCCCTGATCAATTACCTTTTTATTTTTCTGCTTGTATTGGATCTTGATATCTTGATCTTGTGGCTATTTTTTAAATTATTTATTTATTTATTTTTTATTCTCCCCTCTCTGTTTTCCCTAATGTGGGATTCATTTTGCTGATGGGTGGTGGGTACAATTAAATGGTAACTAAAACAAATCTTGCTTAAAGGGTTACTCCAAGTAATATGACCACTTCAATGATTTGAAGTGGTCATGGTGCCATAGAGAGATTAACCACTGTGCTGTTGGAGGTGTAAATCCAACTCTGGGTTGCCATTAACCAGCCACTAGATATCTAGGCTAGCTAATATCCGTTCTGTGCTCCTTTTGTTGCACACAATGAGTCATTGACGGAGTGCAGTCAGAGGACGCTCTGTCAATGAATGCCAACCCCCAAGGCTTCTGCAGCTCTGCAGAAGTATGTCACTGGACCACCAGGGAGCATTGGAGCCTGTTGCTGGATATTTTGCAGCATTAGTGTGGAACCAGTACAGGGTACTCCTCACATCATAACCACTACAGTGTGCTATGCTGGTTGTGATTCTTGGAATAAGCCTTTAAGCGCTGCGCATTGTTTGGTCAACTATACTGCTATAACCAAGTAAAAGTAGTTCCTACCATACCTTTTATGTATTTTGTGAATGGAAAAATAGAAATATAGATATTACGTTAATTGGTATTGTTACTGTATTGTAATTTACACTTTGTCCAAGCGAAAGCACATTTTATGCCCAGATAAATAGTATGGCAGCCTAATTCTGTGCACTTCTATATTGTAAGCTCTTGTGAGTAGTGTCCTATTGGTCCTGCTGCATTTTGTAATTGTCTCACTTTTATATATTTTTCCTCTTTATAATATTGTAAAGTGATGCGATCTAAGTTGGGAACTATATAAATACAAATTTTACTGTATATTGCATATTATAAATACCTGAATCCACCTTCCCCCAAATATCCCTATCTGCGCATACACATTCCATATTCAGTAGGACATTATATTGTCTGCAGATTGTTGAATTGCAACTCCATCCCTACATCCTGATGTAATGGCTACAGTGCCATTGGGCCCATTGCACCATCCTCCTGTTCATTATTAAACTATTGTTGAGCTTTTTGACCAAATCCAATAGTCACCCAGAGTTTGCCTGCCTCCTGCTAATGTAGAAATTCCACTTCAGTGTTGGCAAATCTCAATTTCATCTATATTGATCTCATTTACAGGCAGAGCTGCTCTGTGGAAACATGGTTAGGGTGCTTAGACTACTCTTCTTAAATACGCTTTACTATAGTTTGACCCATTGTAACAAAAATCCTTTTCTCTTTTTTTTTTTTTTAAATATTCTGCCATTTTAGCAATCTGTTTTTACCTTGGTAATTTCTTGCATGGCAAAGAATGAGTTTTTTTTTTTTTTTTTTTTTTTTTTCTTTGAGGTTGTGTAAAATGCACCTTAAACTTCCTAACCCTGTATAAGGTCCTAGTCACTGGTTAGGTGACTTACTCTCTAAAGGGTAAATAGCCATTTTAGTTCTGTCAAATCATGCAACACTTCTCCCTCCATATTTGCCACACCTCCTTGACTGAGAAAATCAATCTTGTTCCGTCAAGCCAATGCTTTCCCTTAGAAAAGCATTGGGTGGCTTGTGCGCATTTGATTAAAAGTTTTTTACTCCGTTTCACTTGGAAGCGCCTCTAGTGGCTGAGTAGCAGCCAGTAGAGGCATTTAAACCCTGCACTGTAAGCATTGCTGTTCTGCAAAGAAATGTTTTTTTTTTTTGTTTTTTTTATTTGGTACTCGATTGCAAAATCCAAGACCAAAAAAATTTAAATAAAATCTCTGACCCTCTGCTGTTTGTTTTTATCCAAAAAAACATTTTTGTTTACCGAAGTATTGCTTCTTTGTAACTACTTTTTTTTTTTTAAATAATAAACTCGTGAATGAAAAAAATCTCTTAACTGTATTTGCAACCTGGTTTAGGGAATATTCAGTATTGTGTAAAAATTTGTTAAAAAAAATATATTTTGCTTACTATCAAGAAACATCTGTTTGTTGTGAGAGATTGCAATCTTTTTCTGTATTCATATGCAATACATGGAGTGAGGAATTTTACAGGGGTGACTTTTTTTCCCCCTGTTTGGTATCCAGAGCTGCATGTCCCGCGCACCCGGCAATATACGTTTTAAATATCTTACAGTTATAGTGTAGTTCTTGCCCAGAGCTGTTTTAAAAGGATACTAGTGTTCAAATAATAATGGGAAATACATACACCATTTTGATAATTGGATAAAAAAGATTAAAAAACGTTCTCAATAAATACTTATCCTCTTTATCATATCAGATAACATAGTTTTTTCTTCAAACAATTATCCTTTTGTCAAATATATAGACTCCAACCAATAACTTATGAATGATTATGTTTAAGTATGTCTTGTTACGTGTTAATTAATTGCAACTTTTTTTATGTTAACGGTAATCAAGTAATTCTATGTATTTGTGAATGTAAAAAATATTTCATTAAAGAGAAATTTAAATATAAAAACCTCGCAGTTAGTCTAGTTTTATTCTTGCCCAGAGCTGTTTTAAAAGGATACTAGGCTTCGGAATACAAATCTGAATGCATGTAAAGGGGTCAAACCCGATTCCAGTGCCAATCTGCCTCCTTAGACGTTATATTACGGAGAGGCCTAATGCGCATTGTTTCAGTGCTTTCCTATGGTGATATCACTGACACTGGATGTCCTCATGCAGAGTGTGAGGTCACCCAGCATCCATTAGAGGACGGCTGGGGTCCGGTAGCATCCAGGAAGTGCCTCTTGTGGCTGGCTGATAGCTACCAGTGGTAGTTTTAGTCCTACAAGGTAATTATAGCAGTTTCTCTAAAACTGAAATGTTCTACATTGTAGAACTAACTGTGACCGTAACACTGCACCCAGAATACTTCAATAAGATAAAGTGGCCTGGATGACCATAGTGTCCTTTTAAACATTAAAACTTGAGGGGTCTTATTAGTAGTTTACATGGCATGCTTAAAGGGACACTATAGTCACCCAGACCACTTCAGCTCAATGAAGTGGTCTGGGTGTCTGGGACCTGAGAAACTGCTATGTTTACATCTGGGGTTAAGCCAGCCTCTATTGTCTGTCTTCCGGACAGCCACTAGCGGTGCATCGGCAATGATTGAGGCATAGTATGCCTCAATCACGCAGAGCGACCATAGGAAAGCAATGGAAAATGCATTCGGTGACATCAGACAAGGATGCTGACGTCGGTGGGGGAGGAGATGTAAGGGAGCCCGGTGGTGGAAAAGGGTGAATACCTGAAGGGGTTTTAACCCTTCAGCGCCGCGGGAGGGGGACCCTGAGGGTGGGGGCACCCTGAGGGTACTATAGTGTCAGGAAAACCAAGCGGTTTTCCTGACACTATAGTGTCCCTTTAACTTGTGATCAGACTATGCATGAAATAGACCAAACTACATTCTTGATAAGAAAAAAATAAAATAAACACCCTCATCGAATCATTTTAATGGGTTTGAGTGTTACATTTTCAGTATGTGGTGGTAAAGGTTCTTTCAGTTATTCATAAGGTCTGGGTTGTCTGTTTTGATTTTATGTTCAGAAAGAATGTTTACCAAAATCACTGTTTAAATTTGTCGGTGCTACTGCACCTGTACTCAATGTACAATTTAAAACATAGCCGATTCAGGGCTCTTGTTGCTCTATGACAGATACTAGTGGCATACCTTTTTTTATTAAGACTTTAGAAAATCAATGTTCTAAATATTTTGTGTTGCTATGCACAGCAGAATGAAGCTGGACACTGCTAATGCATTTTTTCTTTCTTTTCTGAGGGGCATCACTTTGACAGTAGGGCAATTGGTGTGCATGCATCCTGTGTACCCTGATGCTTCTGAAATATGAAAATATACAGAAAGCCTACTGCATTCCTAAGCTGAGCTTGATGCAGTTGTATAAAATATTAAAAAATTATGGCACATTTGAGATGACATACACAAAACATCTTGTACCTACCTTTTTGATATATAAAACAGACTTTAGTCATGTTTTGTTCAGTAAAGCCTTGTTCACATCCCAAGCATTCTTGCCTTCCTTTCAAGATCGTATCCAACGGAGTATGTCATTCACTCAGCTAAATTTGATAAAACTTGACCGCTTCATGACTAAGTGTGCTGCTTTGTCAGCTGTTCTATGCAAAACTTTTGGCAAACTTACAATAGGGGATTTATAAAAGTAATGCTTAGACAGAGTGGGACAGAATTCTTAAAACTTCTGTTTTTAAACCAGTGGATTTAGAGCTGGTGGTGGTTGTTTGTGTATTTTTTTTTTTTTTTTTTAATTTGTTACATTTATACCTTTTGGGTATTTGAATCTGGTAGATTTGCAAAGGGTCAATGTGGTTTTCTCCAGCATGGTAGTTTTTGGGAAATGACCTGTCAAATTAATCTTGAATTTATACCATTGAATAAAACACTGAAAATCTCCTATAACTTAGGTAAAGAATTTCACGAGATGCTTTTTCTTTTCAGTTTAGACTTTAAAGTTTTGGCAAGTCATTCAGTTCAGACATGGCAAACGTTGCAAATGATGATGCATCCAAACACTTTCATTCTCCTCTTGTCTGTATGTGGACAGAAGTGCGTAGGACAGAGCGTATAATAACGTTTGACAGAGCTGCAGGGTAGAGGCATAGATATCTTCCTTTAAAGGAGCACTATAGAATTAGGAATATGACATTTTATTCCCAACACTTTAGTATGCTCCTCCCCCACGGTCACGAGTGCGTTAAAAACCCCTTTCACTTACCATTCCCGTGCCATGGTCTTTGGGGCTGGATCTCCACCCCTGCAAGGCCATGATAATGGGGGACCCGTATGTGCCTCATGTGCATTAGAGCATCTACATGGTTAAGGGGGCGGGGCACTGCACTCAGACCACTTCAAGAAGATGGTGGTCTGGGTGCCTATAATGTCCCTTTAACATGTAGTGTTTTATTTATTTTTCCCTCACAAGTACATATTTCTTAAATATTAACAGAGCAGATGTTTAGAAATTCTAATTTAAACAGTCTTTGCAATAAAGGAAGTTTTATAAATCAGAGCTTTCTTAACAGGATATGTGTAGGGAGACTATGATTTACATGCAGTGGAGGTGTGGTTAGGTCTGCATGATAAACTCCTAAATGGTAGAATATTGAGCCGTTAGAATGCAGGGGCATGGTCAAAACCACTCCATTAAGCTAAAGTTGTTTTAGTACTTAGTGTGTCTTTTAACAAGACTAAGCCACATCAGGATTCCAGTGGTCTGTAAGAAATATCTACTGTTAAACATGAAGCACAACTTTTGTGTATATAATTACTGAAATACAATTTAATTCTAAAATGAATAACTGTTATTAGTATTTGTTTTGATATGATAACCTATGGTGTTTTCAAAATGACCATTCCAGATTTTGTGGACTACATCTCCCCTGATCCCTTGCCAGCATTATGGGAGATGTAGTCCACAATGTCTGGAGGGCCAAAAGTTGCCTACTCCTGTTCTAGACCCCTTCTCCCTTCTATCAAACATTCTGTATAGTCTTCAGATTTCTGGAGAATATGTTCTCACCAGTCTCTCCAAAATGGCCAAGCACCTTCAGTGAGGCTTGATGGTAGGAAGGGGTGACATGTTTTGCAACAAAAGTGAACCCTTCTCAAAAAGATATTTTGCTGCTGGGCTCACAAAGGGTTAAACTGCAAGCAGTATTTGCAGCTCCCTTGTATGTACATACACGTTAATGATTAACCCAGTAATGTAGTTCTAGAATGGGTACTGTGCACCCTTGCATGTTTTGTGCAAAAGTGAGTGTTACCTTCTATAACTTTACCAAATTCAGTGCTGCAACAAGAAAATTGTATGTTTTTAAGGTTGCATAATTCTAAACTGAAAGTGAAAGTGTATGTTGTGTATTGCTGAATCCTTATAGCTGGTAAACGTTATGGGGCCATGGAACAAATCACCATGACTACTGCAGAGCAACGTAACACATGGCAAATGAGAAGGTTACTAATATATTCTGTCATCTAAGCTAGAAATGTAGCTTTTGTTAGCTTCACTATTAAAGTGTATGTTAGACCTAGGGAAAGCAGTGGCACTGTTAATTTACTACTTTTGGGCTGGGGTCATATAGGTGCCTGTTGAAAATATGGGAAAGCAGGTTCAGGAACAACCCAGAATGGGGGTAGTGCTTTTAGTTTAAACATGTATTTGTACAAACTTGTAGCCAAACTTTTGTTTCCTCGTGTGAATTTATACTCTAGTCTATACACTTTTTAGAGGGATATAGCCATATGTATAGTGTTTAAAATACATATCTGCAAAACACCAAACCTAAACCTTTAACATATTTGGCTGCTTGCATATAGCTTGTTTAAACGTATCGGTCATTTCACTTTATAAAAAGCCAAATTTTATCGGAGTATCTTGTGGCAAACACCTCTGTCAACCATGTGTATAATGCATTTATGTACACAACCTCTGCTTGCACTTCACAAAACAAACATAATTAAAATTTAGCTCTAGATGAAAACTTACAACTTTATTGATATAAAAATGTATTGTAATCATTTATACAGTTTGAGTACTTTGTATGAGTTAAGAGAGAAGTACTTTCACCCCGAGCAGTCTCACTTGATGGGACAGTAAAGTTTCCCATACCTACATTTCCTAAAGGTAGGCATTGTTATGTTGTTTGCTAAAGTGTTTTGGAATATATTGACTTTATTAAGCCACATGTTATAATTGAATACCCTGCATTGAGATAGATAGATATATTCTCACACACAATATTATTTGAATGTACACTTTCATTATGCTTCAGTTTTGTTATGTTAAAATTAAATTGCAACCAAATACCCTTCATCCAGTTGTTTGTTCCACTGATAACAATTTAAAAGCCCCCTTAAAACTCAAGTAACCCTAAGTTTATCTAAACCGCAATCTTAACACTAGAAGAGTTTCCTGACTTTAAAATCTCCCACAATAAATTGTCATGAATTTCACATTTGAGGGCTGAGCTGCGAATGTAAAAATACAGTTGCTTTGATTTCCTTACGAGTCACACATTTTATTTAAAGGGGTTTTTTGTTTGTGTTTTTTTCCCCCTTCTCTCTTACCCTTTTCTCTCTCCTAGCTGGTTCTCCTTTTGACTCTTGTACCCTTTTTCACACTTGGCTAATTCTGAAAAGGCAGTAGCAGACATACTTTGTGACCTGTTATAATGCTACCTCCCCTATTACAGTAGCTACACAAGGCTATCTGCCCTTTGTATTTGTCTGTGTAAGTTGTCTTGACTCCTTGAGGGCCATGGCACATTGGCAAGAGGACAAGACCTTTCTTATGCTAAACAACTTAACAGTACATACAACACAAATAGTCAGCCGTCCACATAATGTGTGTTGATTTGTTTGAAACATTCTTTTTGTGTATATTTGCACTTTTTGTATGCCCTCCCATTTAAAACCCCCTTCTGTTTTGACTGTGGAACCCTATGAAATACCAGTATTTAAAAAAAAAAAACAAAAAAAAAACAAAACATTTTTTTGCGTGCAAAGGGGCATATTTTTAATCTTCTGCAGTTTGTTTCATCATAGTTTACCAGAGGTTTCATTTTATTCCTGAACAAAGCTTGTGTTCTGTTTCTGTTAATAAGAGGATTGTTTAATTGGTGGGAGTAAAGTGTGGTCTACTTAAGTTGCAAAACTATGGATCTGAAATAATTTTCCGTTAATGACTTTGTGCAAAGGCAAAGAAATATTTTTTGTGAATTGATATAACTTGCATTTCTTTTTTAAAGGACAACGTGTATATAGGTCATAACTGGACTATTTTCAGAGTACTCTTGTCACTCCACCTCCCCCTTCCCTTGTCGACACATACTGGAATGTTTACTATGTTGACGTAATACATCAGCTCTTACAATTTTTGTGAAGTTTGGTGTTGTGTGTTTGTGTGGTATGAAATGACAATGTTTGTTTTTTGTGCCTGAACTTCTATATCATTATATCTTGTGTTTTTGATACTATAGATCAGTGTTAATTTTGTCGACTTACCATTTTAATCAGATTTTAGTCGACTTAACCATTTAAGATTTAGTCGACAAAAACAAATCCGATGACTAGAAATTACACGACTAGAGGGGCAGGAAAAACTGACCCCAGAGTCAAGAGTGGACTAAATGGGTAATATGGGGTTAACCCAGAAAATCAAAATTGAAAAAAGAATAACAAATTTTTATTTGAAAAAAGGAGGTCCCAAGTCAACAGACTATGGGTTACGATTCTCAAAGGTTAATTACCCACAGATAACATGTATAACCCACTATAATTGGTAAGAAACAAATATTAAATATGCCCTTTATATATTAATAAAGTTTATATCTACAGAAAAGTGAAAGGGGAAAAAAAGGCTGTGAAAAACACAAAGGTGACTTGTGAAAAGTGTAATATTAAAAAGGAGAAACCCAGTGGGTCTGCCACTTGGCTTGTATATATCAATCACAGCAAGTGTGAGAAAATATACTAATTCTTGATCAACCCAAGTAAAAAGATAGTATCAAGAAAGACAGCTGTTTAGTAATAAAATGTCACAAGTCACTTTGGTGTTTTTCACTTTGCCTTTTTTTTCTTTTTCGCGATTAAGTAGAAATGCCCTAAAAATACTAATAAAGTCTATATTTAAATTTTTTTTGTTTCTTACCAGTTGTCGTGGGTTATACATGTTATATGTGGGTAATGTAATCTATATTTATTTTTTTGAGAATCGTTACTCAGTCTCTACTTGACCTCCTTTTTTCAAATTAAATGTAAAAAAAGGTTTACAATTTTTTTTTTTTTTAAATGACTAAAATGGCGCTTTAGTCAAGACTATGACTAAAATTAAATTGAAACTTGCCTCCAAAACCAACACCACTATAGATGGTAAGAACCCTCTGCCTTTGATCCAACTAGTTAATGCTTATCTATTTAATAAATAAATATATATATATATATATATATATATATATATATATATATATATATATATATATATAAATTTGTCTTTTTATTTGCCGCTGGGCGATGGTTTTGTTATAAGCCTTTGAACTATCAGGTTATCATTATAACATTTTTAGACCAATTCTTACATTCAAGTGCCATGCATGACAATTTTGTTTAAAGAATACTCATAACCAGTGTAGAAGTAACTTAGGAGATTGTGCACCAAGCTGGAAAATGTTGGAGAGTTGGCAAGGGGATTGCCAATTGAAAGGCAAATGTTCCCTCAATTTGGCTATTGTGGCATGTGCGCAATTATTTTAAATAATTGAATAAACTTTAGAATTGTCCATTTTTCGTGGTGCAATGTCATTCTCACCTCCCCCCCACCAATGACACGCTTGTAATGAAGTAAATTATTTATAGTAGAGAAAAGCAGACATTTGGCAGAGGAAAAAGGGTCATGAATTTCACATTTGAGGGCGATGTCATTCCACATATATAAAGATGACCGGTGAACCTATGGCTTGCACAGTGGCCTAAATGATGTATAGAGTGCCCTGATGCAAGAATTTAGTTTAGTAGATCTCCATCTGTTGTACAACTCCCACAATACTTTGCCAGCTGTTGATCTACCATTTGCCTATCCTTGCAGGGTTGTATTTAGCACTGAGCAGTGTTAGTGTTTTATATAATGTTTTATAGATCTTTCATTGTTAAATATTCTGATAATATTGATTAATTCAGAGAATATGATTTATTTTTGTGGGGTGTAGTTTAAATATGTATATGTCATATGCCACTAAGGGTGGGTTTCTGCTTACCATTGGCTAGTAAAGTGGACATTTTGAGTATGTTGGGATACCCTAGGAAACGTTTGGCTTTTTCTTAATTTTCAAATTGTAGACTGAGTTGACCCTCTTGAGAATCAAGGCTCGTAACATTTGGGTTTGAACGGTTACTGTGGTTTAAATACAAGCTGCTGTTCTCATTTGTACAATTTTTATTTTTATTTTTTTTTTAAACCATAGATTTGTGCTAAAACATAATTAGTAAGGTCTGTATTCTCTAGCAAGTTAAGTTCTAAATACGGCCTTAGAGGATATATACATAAAATTAATTTGCCTTTAAATACGGTTATGCGGTTCATGCAAAACAGTCTTGAAATGTTGTACATCAGTACTTTTAAATGTATAACAAATTTTTGACTGCAATCTCCATTGCTTTTCTAGTAACACAGGTGAAGCAAATAAGATGCCTACTTGTAAATGTACTTTTTTTACAAGTTGCCCTCTTGTTTAAGTGAGGTCTTAATTGTGGAGGCTGCTTCCTTAACCCCGTAAGGACACAACTACAGAATTGTCATGTGTCCTTAAGGGGTTAAATCTTTGGAATCGCTTGTTACCTGTGTTCTCCATGGTTCACAAGTAGTAGCAAATACTACTTTAAAAATATATATTTTATATATCCATATTGTGTAATCTATATTCTATTAGTATGAAGAAATGGCATATACGGGCTGAAAATTATGGGATGTGCAGCCTTGTGTATAATTAATCAGCAGACTGATTTTCTAACCTTCAAAAAAAGCGCATTTATAAATATCAGAATTAAATATCCGAACTGTTTACATCCCACCTTTTAGCCCATCTGTCAAAAAATTCCTAAGATTGCTCTGAAGCCTAAATGTTACAAGTTTTAACAATGAGGTTTATATTTTGCTAGATTAACATTTGGTATACCAACTATTTTGCAGTCTCTTCATGTTGCCTATAAATATATTAAAAAAAATAAAATAAAAAAAGTTGCTTGCAAATTGCCTGAATTTTGTGTATTTGTTTAGTTTGTTTCCTTGCGTGAATGAGGAGTGTGTGTGTGTGTGTGTGGTTTAGTCTTGGAAAGGAGGTGTGACTGCACACACCCTACAATGCAGCAGAGAGCATGCATGTATGTAACATGAAGCAATGCAGCTAGGTTTCAGAAATAATATAGCAATTGTCATTTGGCTTAGTGGTTATAAACACACATGTTTTTATATATATATATATTTTTTTTTTTTTTAATAAAGGGTGATGAAACGAGTGCCTATATTTAGTCTAAAAATAAAGTGTAGGTTAGATATTAAAAGCCTGCTGCTTCCAATTTTACACTAAGGCCTATCTTTACTTGTTCTTTCTGGCCATGAACAAATCAATCTATTGGTAGTAAATAAATTATTAAATATATCCTGCAGCAGGGCATGTAGAACCCAAAATTTATTTTGTATTGTTTTTGTAGATTGTTCCTTCCGTTTCCATATTATTCTATTTTCTGTTTAACTTTGAATCTGTTTGATTTTGAAAATGTGCAATAAATGGTGTTAATCAAATTTTGATTTGAAGGCCATGTATTTAGCTTGTGGTGGATGTGTGTGTCCTTCCATTTGCTTGGAATAGTCACTGAGCCCCTTTCAAAGCTTAGGTTCCACAAGATGCCATTGTGTCCCCCTTCCCCCTCTCTAAAACTACTCCTATATAAGATCCACAGTCCCCTTCTGTTATGTAGCTTGCTCTTACCTCGTTTGTGGCTTTCCCTGCTCTGCCACTTTTGCATAACAAGGTTTGTACTGTCAAATATTACCATAGACCTTGCCTATAAACATTTTTAGATTTTTCCTGTCTTCTTGTATACGTTATGATCTATAGCTGTTCTAGTGACTTTAAGTAGCTTTAAATACCTTTTGTCAAATTATGATAAATATGTTGGTGTTTGGGGGCAGCATGTGGCTATTATTATTATTTATATAGTGCCATCAGATTCCATAGCACTATACAAAGGGATCTCGTTGACCTCACTGAATTTGTGTGCAGTTCTGTTCTGGAAGGATGATATTTTTTAGCAGCATCCAAGAGTGGAATATGACAAATACTTTTATTGATGAGAACACCCATTAGCCACAGTCACCAGCCGGATGATGGAGATGTGTTTGCTTAATAACACTAGCAAAAACTCCCAGTCTGGTGATGGCTGGTGCTTTCATGTTTGGGCCAAGATGGTTGTAATATACAGACTTTTGTAAACTGGATTTCTTTAAGGGAGAAAAACCTTAACGTATACTTCGGATTTCTTTGTTTCTATGAATTGAAACCAAGCATTCAAAAGGTGTGTGTGTGTGTGTGTGTGTGTGTGTGTGTGTGTGTATATATATATATATATATATATATATATATATATATATATATATATATATATATATATATATATATATATATATATATATATATATATATATATATATATATACACAAAGCTTTGCATTTAGAAAAATGAAATCTATTTGTTTTGAAGCCCTAAAAGAATAAAAGAATTTGTAACCATCCCTGCAAAGTTATAGTTTGCTACAGAATTTGAGGAAAAATTAGCTTTCGTGGCTTTCCAGCCCCCATTTTGCAGGCCATGGCTGCTTTGCATTGCTACCAAACCATTGATCTTATAAATTGGGCCCCACTGTTCCCAAGGCAACGTAAGCGGCTGCACTGCCAAATGGGCAGGATTATATAGCTCTTGGTGATGGGGGAGGGGTGTAAAGGAAATTCTGCATCCTGATGTTTAATGTAAAGGAAGTTGACATACACATAAGTGTGAACGTGGGCTTGCAAAGATCATTGACAAAGGATGGTGTCGTGTCCATTTAGGATTCAGATGAAGGAGCAGAGATTCAAAAGAAATTTGCCTTGTCTAATCTGACTACTTGCCTAAATGTTTAGGGCTTGTTTCTACCAAGGTCTATTGTGACTACATTTTACTCGTACTTTTATGCTGTGCGAAATGTTTTTAGTAAATCTTGTCTTTGTTTTTGTTTTTAATTGCATTGCAACCAATGTTACCATAGATCTGGTTTTTAAAAATGTAAAGTGGATCTCAGGTGAGAAATGAAGTTTGGGGTCTTACATAGCAGGCACGGGGTTAAATGCTTGATTATAGTCAAGCTTTTGTCTATTGCACTAGGTGTTAGATTTGTGTTTTTCCTTCAAAACCGGTATGGTGTGCTTTCGGTGAATGGCAAACTGTCCTCAGGACATCCTGAATGCTAAAATAAGTAAATAAAATTTGAGTGCTGTAATCAAACCAGTGTGGTAGGTGGTATGCTGTATGAAAAACCTGGCTTTACCTATTACTCCACCAACCTTTATATACATTGATTTGAATGGAACATTTTAGTGGCTTTAAATTAAAGAATATTTGCATAAGCCAGATAAAATGAGTATATATCTGTGCTCCAGGCATTATTGGCTTATTGACTAATAATAACAAAGTATTTATTTAACCAAGAAATGTACATTCAGATTACTCTGGTTTTCAAGTACATCCTGCAGATGTTACCATAGCCCGACATCCAGGGGATGTTACCAATACCCAATTTAATGGTACTCCTTTAATCTACCTCTGCAGGATGAAGGGCAGAGTCAAGCCTGCCGGGATTCGAACCTGCAACCCAATTGTCACTGTAGTGAGATCCACAGCTACATTGTCAGCAAAAACACTGCATTAAGGAATGGGTGGCAGTAATTGCTAGGTCCACGTGTCTTCCTTTATATATCCTTACTTTCTGCTTCTTGTTGTCCTCTAGGGATGCACGTACTGTGCCTGAATTATCAATGATGTAACTATGTAATTTGATTTGTTGTTGCCTAGTTTCTCCACTTACTGGCCATCTACATGTCAGAGAAACTAACCTTTGCTTCACCTCCAACAACCTGTTCTGCAGTTTACCATGAAGGAAGGTGCTCCACGGAATTTTTGTACATGTGCAAATAAACTTTCCAATCATCCTCCCCTTCCCCCTCACCCTGTATACTTGTGTAAAGTGGGCAGGAGTTTCAGCAGGGAGGATAATTCTTTATCGTTCACTCCCTCCCTTAATTAAACAAAATTGTGTGGTTGGGGTAGAAACCTTTTTATACTCTCCTGTCTTCCAACCCTGGGACACTCAGCAGCAGATGCCCTACCTCTTCTGAGGTTATTATTGGTATTTATATGGTGCCAACTAATTCCGCAGCGCTTTACAATATTTACGTTATCAATGCTTCTGTCTCTGCCCTATACTTATCATAGAAAAGCATTAAGGACCTATGGTGCGTGCTCTGCCAACTGGATGCTTCTTGTAGAGAGTAATTAAATCCAGTATTTCTATAGAATCACTAACTTCTTTCAGCATTGTGCCGCTGTTTGAAGACATTCAAAAGCTTAACAGGAAAGGATCTAAAATAGGAATAGTCACAAATCTACACCAACTGCTGCATATTCCAAGTCCTAACACTCTTTACTCTACACGTTCTAAACCCATGGAACACTTGGTTTAGACAAAATCTTTGTCTTTTGGTCACTGCTTTTGGGAGTGGAGGGGGACTTTTTTTAGTTCACGGGTAGGTTAACCTTCAGCACTCCAGATTCGGTGGCCTATCTTCCCTGGCACTTTACCTGCATTATGGGATATGTAGTCCAAAACATCTGGAGTGTCAAAGGTTGCTTAACCCTGTTTTTATTTTATTTTTATAAAAATTTTTTTTGTTTCTAAAGACTTAATGAAGACCCTAATTAGTGGTAGGGAAGTTCAGGGATTTATGTGGAGGATCTGTGGTCAGTCTGGAGAAATATCAGGATAAATGCGGTCCATTTAGGCTGGGGGGAGGAAGGGAGTTGCCTTAGTAATCAAAATAGCTCATCTGTTTGACAGATGGTTAACCTTGACAACTTGGAGGTGAGCTTGGGGACAAAGGCAAGATTTAAGTGATGTGACAATAGATCACTTGTCTTCTTCCAGACCAGGCTCTTGATGAGTCTTCACTAAATCTTGTAGGGTGATGGACTTTGCTTATACCATTTACCACAGGGCTTGACAAATCCCTGGTCGCCATGGCGACTAGAAATTTTGCTCTGGCGACTGGGATTTGACAGCTCTTTAATTAGGGAGTTTTGAAGGTGGCCACCGCGGGAAATATGGGATCAGACTACCCTGGGAAGCGTGGAGTCGGCCGCCCGCCCACGGCAGCATTGTTGGCGGCACGCGAGGGAACAGTACTCTTATTGCAGCTCCTCTCTGATCCCTTGTGCTGTTTAATGATGCCGGGAGCCGGAATATGACGTCATTCTGGCCCCGGCATCACTACAGAGCGTGATGGAGCAGAGAGGAGCTGCAGGCAGACTACTGCTTCCTCGCACCCAGGAAGATAACAGCTCTACTGAACCGCAGGGAAAGACCCACTCAATTCTCCCAAAGGTAGGGAGGCTGAGTGGGTTTAAATAAAATAAAAACAAATAAGTATGTCAGCCTGTCAGTGTTTGTGTGTGTGTAAGCCTGTCAGTGTTTGTTGCGCGGTTTGGTACCTCCCCCCTCCGATTGCATTAGAGCAATGTGATTTTTCTTTTTAAAAATTTGTAAAAAATTTTTAACACGTCGTTCCAGTTTTGTTGCGTCTGGTCCCACCTCCACCCATCAATCTTTGATTAGTGTATGACATATATTTTAAAAACATACCGTTAGTGGTAGGGTTATACTTTGTATGCCTTTGAATCCAACATTGCAATGTTAGAAGTAAAGTACCTTTATTGTGTTCACAGCAACTTCTAGATAGCTTTTTTTAAAACTTGTGCGATCTCCATTTCTTAGTCTACATTGTAGATTGTATTTATGATGAACCATAAAAGTGTGTGTACGCACACTCACTCATTTACTAAGTGGCAACTTCAAAGCTTCCAGATTTTTCGTTTTTATTTATTTTTAACACGTAAACTATGCAAAAATAATGTAGGTTTTGTTGCAGTATATGATCATACATTGCGTAAGCCTGCCACAAAGTCAATATACCCAATATTTGGCAGGTCCTACTTTAACAACCTAAAGTCTGCTATATTGTGGTGTGTGTGTTTGTTTTTTTTTTTTGTTTTTTTTAAGCACTAAATTCTGTAGAGGCGCTCTGCTCAAAAGAGCTTACATTCTAATGGGGTTTTTATTTTTTCCCCTTCTGATTTTGTTGTACATCTGCAGCTTTAAAATTGTCACGAGGCAGGGGCATGGCAAGTGTCCCTTTTTATGATCTATACATTCAATGATTAATTATACATGTGTAACACTATTGTGTAAGCTTTCCAGGATGTACTTGAAAATTATAGAAATCTCGTGGTATTCTTTATGAAATGCTTTTATAAATGAGTAACAAAACAAAAGGATTGAATGAGCTTGGGAATAGGTGGGACTTAATGGTTTAACCGTTTATGTATTTAGCCTTTGAAGGTTTAAGGATTAGGCTTGTGACATGAAGCCCTGTTTATGATTTAATGTATAGTCTTTTTTATTTTTTTTTATTATTAATAATTCCTGGCTGTTTATATATGAAATCTCTCTAATTTACTTGAAACATTTTCTACATTACTAATAGGAATTTATGTGAGTTACTACAATCAAGTTATTATTTCTAATGTGTATGTGTGTATATATGTATGTGTGTGTGTGTGTGTGTGTGTGTGTATATATATATATATATATATATATAATCTTTCATTTTATTTTTTATTGGAGTGCTTCTTTAACTCCTTAAGGACACAACTTCTGGAATAAAAGGGAATAATGACGGAATATTTCCGTCATGTGTCCTTAAGGGGGTTAAATGGGGTAATGTGTTCTTTTAACCCTTAACATTATGAGAAGTCCATGCAATATAAACAATGGCAGCTCAGTTCTGCATGATGCTGAACGTTCCCAATAGAGATGCATTGAGTGCATACATCTCTGAGGAGAAGCTGGCTGGTACAGCATGGTGGTACTTGAGTGGCCTGAGATCATTATCATGATAATCGCAGCCAGGGAGGAGCAGCAACCATGGGGAGACCTGAGCAGTAAAGGATATTGGGTTAGAGATGATTTTAACTTTTTATTCAAAAGGCAGGATGGGTGCGCAATAATCTAAATATTTAGGGGGTTATCTAAAAACCTTGCAAAAGCTGTAGATCTTGTGTGGAAGTAGTGGGGAGTTGTGTGTAGTGCACTTTTTCTTATACCCCCTTTACACCCCAATAATGCGACATGAGATATACTTGGAGAAAATAGGCCACAGCTTTGTATTAAAATATCTGACCACACAATATTACCAATAAAATAAATATATATAATTTTTTTATTTTAATAATTTGTACATTAAACCATATATTTTAACCATGTTCCATAAACATACCCGTCCTTGCCAATCAATTATCCGTAACCTTAGAACTCACCTGGGCACTTGCCCTCGTCCCAACCAACACCTGGCCTTCCACCAACACCATGCTAACCACAATCCGACCTTGAAAACCAGGTTAACTTGAAAATATGACTCTTTCTATTGAAATCTGCAGTTTTTGTCAATTGGAAAATACTCTTCACATACAAAGCAAGCCAAAAGTGCCTTTAATTTTCCCTTTATCTCCTTTATATAAACCTTTTTATCACCTTTTACATAGGTGAGCTCTAGATGTGTAAGTGCCGATATGTGATAGTATAATTTAGTTGTGTGTGCGTTTTATTCTGAATGATGATCTCGCCAATACCTTTCAACACAGCATTGAATCACTTGGTTTGGTTGAAATTGACTGAGGGTGCCGCTCTGATCTGATCTTTATAACTAAAATAGATAATACCTTCACTAGTAAATCTTTTGAAAGAAGGAAAAAAAAAAAAAAAGCCACATATAATGGTAGTTGCTCATATTAAACTAATATTTGAGAAAATGTTTTGCCAAAACCTATGGATACATGAAAGTTTATGCAAATACATAATTTTTTAAATTTTATTTTTAATTCTTTTAGAATACAGACTTTAAGAAAATCTAAATTTCTTTAAAGCAGCACAGTCACTGTCTTGGAACTCTGCAGAACTTGAATCTAGTTATAGTTCCTACTTTTTGTCTCAGTATCTCTTGTCTGGGTTGGAATTTCACGATATTACCAACACGATCAATATGGGTATTTCATAAATATTCTAACTTTATAAAATTACTATTGCTATTTTCAGGGGGTGTGTGGGGAGGAGGGGGTCTTCTAGGTCTTTCAGTTTTATTTAGCTTGTGAACAGAAATTAAAGAATCACACGTGGTTTTATATGTAAGCTGATCGTTTTACCATTTTCTAAAGCTATATGGTAATACTTAGTGACTTTATTTTATTTTTTGTTTGGTTTTGTGCAGTTTGTAGACAAGGTGGACTTGATTTTAAATTCTGATACAAATAATTTATCGTGATTTTTAACTCAAGATTAATGCTTGCTGGTTAAAATCTTTTTGGAAGCAGATGACCATGTCACGTTTTAGATTAACCTTTCACATTAATTTGACACATCAGAAGTAGTTTGTTAAATACCATTGGAAATTCACAGAGATGAAATTGCAAGGTGAACTGTCTCTAGTTTTAATAGGTCAATCACTCAGATTTGGAGATCAACTTAAAACAATTGGTTTAAGGTCTATTTCTGTTTCATTGTTGCATTGAAAAAGGTGCATGCTAACTCTGCAGACACAAGTTACATTAACTTGGGTTAATGGAATTTATTTACCAAAAATGTAACTATTGCATCATTATACAGCCTTGTGCTAAATAATCCGTTTCATGCTGAATAATCTTTGAACTATAATGTGTGTTAAATCAAAAACTATATCTTTCAATTGTTCTCCCCCCCCCCCAAAAAAAAAACCCAAAACATTTTTATTAAAATCCCCAAAAATCTAACTTTTTTTTTTTTTTTTTTTTGTCCACATTAATTCCTTACTAAGAGCTGTAGGATTAATTTAAATGAACGTTCTAGTGTTAGAAATACAGACATGTGTACCTAACCCTATTGTGCTGGAGTACATGTCTAGGTACCCCCCCCACGCAGCCCATATTTCAGAATGGAGTAAAAGGTATTTTACTCACTTTTTTCTCTATTGCTACACCAGTCTTGTGGAAATTTAACAATGTTAAAAAAAATAGCCAGACAGATTTGAACTTTTATAAATGGAGTGATTCTTAGTTGTGATCTGCTTTTAACCATGGCTTCTGTTAAAGTCGGAATGAGGTTAAAGTTTTAAAAGCAGTGTGTGTCTGTAAGTGTACCATGGACCCTCCTGGTTTGCAGTGGTTAACTTTTTAAGGCTTGTGACTTTACATTTTAAGGTGTGTAAAATATATACACACCCCACAAAATGTAAAATCACAAGCCTTAAAACGTATATAGTGTATGTATATATGTATTGTCGTGTTTATGCATCTATAATACAACCATTTTTAGTATGGTTTTTAGAAGATGTGCATTTTCTTTACATAGACAAGTTGAACAATCAGTGTCCTATATTAGCTCTGATCACATTGATCTCTCCCTCATTGGATAAGCTGCACATTTTAAATATGGAAAAAGGCAGAGAGCAGTATTGTTATAGAAAGCTGGCAATCTAGTTTATTTAAATTTTTTGTGGTTCTATTTGTGAATACAATAACTCTGCTTAAAGAGGGCTTGTCACTTTTGTAAGTATTTCATAAAGATATATTCCTAAATAATTGAAATACTCATAAAGTCTGCTTTGGAATTTTTCTATAATTTGAATACAAATAAAAGATTCCATAAGACAAAGTAGGGACTACTCTCAGTCTTATGGACAAGGCTGAGGTCTACAAAAGGCAGAGTTCTGCTGTCGAACCCAGCAGTCATCACAAAGGCTGTGTGATTCGGTATCAATCTACAGAGGACCCTGCCAGGGACTGCTCCAGGGAAGTAAAACCTACATCACTCTGCAGACACTGGCACACCTGATCCATCACTTATCTGGGGTCTTTACGAAACATATAAAGAATGGCTAAAAAGGAAGCCTAAAGGGTGGGGTTACTATGGCCACTGTTTGCTTTATAGAGTACATGGTGTATTTAAGCTACTTTTAGTAAAGAGGTTGCCTGTGGTAGCTGCCTCCTGTGTGTAGTAGTAATATTGTACACTCAGATTTCAGATATGCTAGTTTTGTTTTGGAAATAGTTGCTGAATATTTGCATTTTTCGCAGTGCCACAATTTTTATTTCAATACCAAGTATATTGAGAAGTCATTGCTTCTTGAGTTTGTCAGACCTGATCATGGCACGTTTTGCTGTTAAATCTAAGTTGTGTGCAAGTTTCAAAGCTTTGATCTGGTATTGTACTCACTGGATAGATTAATCCTGTAGCTGTAGTTTTTTTGGCCTGCTAGGTGAAATCTGCATTTGTCTTGTTCTTTACTGTCATTAGAAGGAGGATTATTTCATATTCTGTTTATAAATTATTAAATGGTTATTTTATATAAAAAAATTTCTTCCTTCCTCTCAGGGCATAAAATACATATATAAAAACACACGATACGTATACACACACTCAAATAAAAGAAAGTTGTTTTTTTGTTTTTTTTTATTGGTGGGGGGGGGGGTGATTTTTTTTGTTTTTGTTTTGTTTTTAATACATTGCTAATATTTAATGCAACAAGAATGCTAAGATGGCGTATTAATGTTTAAAAGAAGTTGTCTTAGTTCTTGGTGTCCCTCAATTGCTTTGACTGTAAATTTAGATCTTTGTCAGGTGTCATGGTTTGTGAACTTCTGCCACTTTTACTGATACAGCTGCTGAATATTTTAACAGGTTTGAATGACTCTGTTTTAAATAAATACCGGGGTTTTGGTTTTGTTTTGTTTTTTAAGATAGGGCGTTCTGATTTTCTATATTGTTTAATGCTAATTTCCTCCTTTTGCTTAATATTACAAGGTTATCAATTTGTTATAGAAGGCTTTCTTTGATAGAACACTGCGCCAATGTTGAGTCTTTTTAAAAACTGCATTAAGTGGCTTTACGTTGGTAAACTTTATTAGCAAAATCATGAAAACTTGTGGTGTTTTTTTTTTTTTTCTTCTCTCCTCCATTTTTTGTTTTTGTTTTGTTTGTTTTTTCATACACATTCTTGAATCCCAAAGATCATGTGGCATTTGAAACATTCGCTTGTTCATCTTTTGAGCACTGTGTGTGCATGTTCCAAATCACCACAAAGGTTTGGCTGTAAATCTCAGAAGGAACTACTTCATTGAACAGACTTTAACCAGCTCGGTGCCAGGTTTCTCCAGAACGAAGTCCTTATTGATACTTTATTGCACAAGAGAACAAACTGGGGGATGGGGTTGAGCGGGGCTTTCTTTAACCTTTTCTGATGTTCACAAAGGACCTGGAAATGCATTGAGCTAATTGAATGATTTCAACTTCAAAGACCAGGAATGATTGGAATTCCTTAGCAGTTGTATATGATTTAGTCAGCCCCCAGCCAGTCAAGACTTCTTACTTTCAGTAACAGCAATGTTTCTTTAACAAGGTCTGATCTTAACTTTTATTGTTGTGAATTTTAACCTGCATTCACAAGATTTCTTTCTTGTTTTCAGGAGTCGGAAGCTACAGATCAGAAACATACCACCTCATCTACAGTGGGAGGTAGGATGGCCTTTAATTTTTTTTCCACAATTTCCAAATGTGTATATTTGTGTTTCTCACAAATTCAAGTTCTGAAGTATATTTAGCCAGCCATAAAAGTTACTTGCCTCTGCAAGCCTGGATGCTTCACTGCCCACTATTTAGAAGGGAATTTATTTTCTCCTGGAGGGGTGAGGTGGGGGAGAGATTCTGACCCCTATTCTTTAATACAGTTTTAGCAAAGTTATGATTGTTCTGACGACTTTGAGTTCACATTTTTGCTTGACATTCGCTGGATGTTTATAATTTTAAGGATAGTTGCTTTGGATTCCACAGCGATCAGGAAATTGCTCTGCTTTGGCAGTGTCAATTTATTTTGGGATCTGGAACTTTAAGGAACTGTCACATCTATAAATAGATCCTTTGTAATCACCATTCCTTTTATGTTAAATGTCTTATCTACAGCTTTCTGCTATGTTATGGAGGTGGACTACTAATCTGGTGGTTTTTTTTTTGTTTTTTTTTAATTAATTTTTATTTATACCAGAAGAGATGTTCTAAATTGCTGTTTGAATTTTGTTAATTGAGTCCATACTGTTTTGGCAATAAGATGTGGTTTGGGATAATTTCCCCTTTGCAGGAGCAAAAAAGTGCAAGTAAGTTGTAGGTGGAAGAGGCAGTATAGTAAATTGCCATACATAAGGCTTGTGGAATGTGTGAGAACTAAATCAGAACGGTTTTGTAATGCAAGGAAAATAAAAATTTCACTCTGTAGAAATACATGTATCTCCATTGCATGAGTCAAATAAGAAGATGCAATCTGTAAATTTTCTTTTCTTTAACTGTGAGATCAATCCCCATTTAAAAAAAAAAAAGTAAAATACAAAAATATATATTTTTCTCCCTCGTATTAGTGCTACACAATAGTTTAAAGGAACACTCTACTCATACGTACTTCAGCATGCTGACGTGTGTTGTGACAGGACTGAGGACTTAATATGAAATCAGCACTTTTATAAAAGCAGAAATGCCTCCTCTGTTTCCATTAGCACCATGGGGGTCATATGTCACAGAAATGGCAAGAATTCTCTACTCAAGCACACCTGCCTTCTCCCCATGTCTGAGGGATTCCATGGCTTGCCTGGCTATCCCATTGAGAGGCATTAAAATTGGAAAGCTGTGTGAGTGAGCCCGCAGCTCAGAATCACAGCATTTTCAAAGAAAAGTCTTTGGTCACTTACCCAGACTGAAAGGGGAGAATAGGGAGGTCTTGCAAAGGCTGCAGAAAACTTTTGCAAACCATTTTTAGATATACCCGCAATGGAAAAAAGGGTTTGTTTGTGGCACTGAAGTGTTTAACTAAATTTTATAATTGAGTAGAATGTGTGTATGTGGTTTTATAATTTTTTTTTTTTTATGTTGCCTTTATTAAAAAAAAAAAAAAAAATTCCAGGTAGGTAAAAACTCTTTATAACAGGTCTTAACAACTGATGATTGAAACAGATACATTATAATGTAATATTATGGAATCATAGGACAAAATGGACAACAAGGTCTTCTGCTCTCGTCCTGTAAAGGCATTGTGTAAGATTTAAAAGACGAGCTGGCACTGTGATTTTGCTGTCCACGTGGGAACTATGCTTCCATTTAAAGCTAGATTTCAAACCGTCCCCTCCTTTTTCACAGCACCAGCACTGCCCTATTGGTCCTCTGCGTTCTGTAGTAGTGAACATTCTTGCAAAATACTCGAGCCATCCCACATTTTAATTTGGATTTGAAAAAAATTCATAGTGTGTGGATACGCTACTTTAAAAAAATAAAAAATAAAAAATACAAAACCGATTAAGCAGAACAATTTCTTTTCAGTCCTAAAGTAGCCTGTGATAATTCCCATTTGTCACTGGAATAACTTTTGGTTGGTGTATGGATTCATTAAACACCAGAATTGAGATAAATCCACCTTTTCTGATTTTTGCTTTGCTGATTTCTTCCCACTTACCAATTCCGAAGCAGCTTCCCTTCCAACTGCTATGGAGCAGCTCCAGCCAACGGCATGCCGGCTTTATTCATGGGCAGACCTGCTTTCATGCTATTGGAGACTTTTTTTTTTTTTATGACTTTTTTTTTGACGAAAACTCATTGTCTTAGCAATTTTTTTTTTTTTCTCCAGTTCACAAAAACAGTACAACAACGTGTGTGGTTGCATTCAATATGTTATATGTAGAGCGTGAGAGCAGTCGACATACAGGGCAACGATTGGCCAATTGGGTCATGAACTGAAGAATTTTAACAAGCGTGAATACACTTCTTTTATAGTGCTAAGGGCATCCAGACCTAGTCTCCTGTGTATTTGCGTTGCTTGATCACTTGAGCTCTATGTAGGATGTAATGTGGCGTCGACTATGGGAATGGCTGATCTTCGATGCTTGAAATTATAATGTATATTAAATATATGGGGATACCTGTCGCTTGTGTCTAGCTCAGAGTAATTCTTAAGGTGGGAGGGGGTGTGCCAGAGGTTTTGTATCTATTCGAGCTGAGGTGGTGGACTTATGTGAGATGTGTTTACTTTTGCATGTTGGTGATTGACTGCAAGCAAGCAAGATAGCTAACAATTATTTTACAACAAATCTCTCACATGAGTCCACCACCTCAGAGAAGCGTAAATAAAAAAATTTTAACTTATGAAGGCTGTTTGAGAAATAGACTTGGATCTAGTGAGTTAAGTCGGGAAAGCAGCATACAGGTTAGGAGCAGACCACTTAGGGATAAACGGCCTCGTTGCTGGGCTCAGCCTATGAGGTCCACCGCACTGTGCTCCAAAGTCTAGAGTCCTGCTGGAAATGTATGGCGGCTAGCAAGGTCTTCGCTTCAGCAAGGTCCTGGATCATATGACGTTCTTCCCCGTGGGAGATTGAGTTTGCGCGCCTGCCACCATTGGTATTGGATATTGTGCTTTCTGAGCAGGGATGTAAAGGGCGCCATTGATATTCTCCATGCCAGCGTACCTCCCGATAATCAACATAAAAGGTTACTGAAGGAAAGTGTTAAATAAGAAACTTTAAACCATTCTCGAATGATTTAACCCCAAAGTGAGACTGTAGCGGCCGTCCAGAGGTAAGCTGATGCTCTCAGCCAATCGGTGACCCCACATTCCTAAAACTGACTTGAAAAGTAACATATTCACCCCCACCCTCAAATAGACAGTTTTATAAATGGGGATTCACTGATTGACTGAGAGCATCAGCTGACCACACTTTGTGCTTCCTGAAAATGAGATTCAGAAGCCGGATACTGCCTGGGTTCCTGAGGATTGACGTAGGAGGCTCTCTTTGGGGTTAAACCGTTCAAGAACCGTTAATCCCTTAAAGTGAGATTGTGGTCTGGGTGCCTATAGTGTCCCTTTAAATGTCAGTTTTTGGTGCTTTGTTAGTCTGTAAGCAGACTATAAAACTTGATCTTTTAATATCACATATTGGAATATTGACACCAAATAAAGTCCAACAATCTCGGTAATGTGCAACAAAAAAAATCCTTCTTGCCTAGTTGTCGGAGTATAGGTTTTATGGCTTTTGTAACATATGGCCTGTCCTTGGCTTGGTGGGTGGCTCACATATCAGGATTTCCTGATTATTTTATTATTTATATAGCGCCAGCAAATTCCATAGCTATGTACAATTGATCACTTGTGTGCGTCACAGTCAGCAGCACTTACTTGAACCAAGTCACTTTTACTGTATATCATTGTGTAATGTACATGCTTTGAAACCTTAGGAATTTTTTTTTTTTTTTTTTTTTTTTGGACAAGGTTCTAAAAATGACAAATTGCAGATCTAGTTATAGTAAAATATTGCTGTGGGTGTCAAGACTAATAGTAATGGTACACATACTTAATTTCTAGTGTGATCCCAGCATTACAAAGGGCATATTGTTAGACATGTTCACAGGTCTTGGTAACACTTACAATTAGTCTCTCATTGCCATTATTATAGCACTGATACATACTCATCACTGCTGACCAATCCTTCATCGTTTAGGTCAGCAAGGCTTTTTTGTCCAGTCAAACAATTCTCACAGTAAAGCATTGCAGGCATACAGCACACTTGTGTCAATTGCTGCTATTGTACTGGAATATTTTGTAGCATTTCCGCTGGTCTTATGGTAAACACACTCTATGCTGTGATTCGGAGTACGTTGTTTGATCTTTACCCTGTTGAAAACGCCTCTCATGGCATACTACCTAGCTACACTTCTCAGCCTACCCTATCTGTAGAAGTGTAGGTTGTCCTTCTTTTTTTTTTTTCCTCCTTCTTTCATTTGTTTTGGTTGTACTAAGCATATCTCATACATCCCTGCGCTGCAGATATAGCTCAGCTGTTGCTATTGTACTGAAAGCTAAACCTTCTGCTCTTGCATTTGTTTATTAAAACCACGAATAAAAGTAAGGCAGTAGAAGCTAGAAGCAAACAGTTTCATTCATGAAACTATTTAAGAGCAGTCAGGTAATCTGTGCACAAAAGTTGTACGCTGCTGCTGAAACACCCTGTGCATATGTAGGAAGGTAGCAAGTGCTTTCGTATAAAATTTTGTTTTGGATGCTTGTACAGAATAGATTAATGCAGTTCTATGTGAAGTCATATATGGCTGACTCGATAGAGGAAGTAACTAAGGTGTGTGTGTGTGTGTATATGTATATATGTGTATATACACATTTTCTTTAGTTTGTTTTTATGTGCTATTAAGCATATATAAAGTAAAGTTTGTGTGGGTGGTTGTGATGCGAGTTTGCTCCCTCAGATCTGGTCAGGTCTCCAAAATTCCACCTAATAACATACGCCTCATGTGGCACCACCTCATTTTTCCCCATCTAGAAAACAAATTTGATAAGACAATAGAGGCAGTGGGTTCTCACTTGGGTAAAAATGTATGAACTTTACCAACGTTGACCCTTTAACTTTAGTTCATTTTTACATTACATACTTATCATGTACTGGGGAGCAGTGTGTATTGTATAGGAGTAGGCTTGTGCCTAGTCAGGTCTATAATTTTTGTTTGCTTGCAGACAAGGTCCTGAAAGCCTGTAGTTTAATTACAGAAATGTTTGATATAAATACATTCACTTTGCCCTTCTCTAATAACTTGAAAGGAAGAACCCAATAGATGTGCTACTGTGTGAGCTTGAATGTGAAAAAGAAGTTAGATGTTCTGACTTTATTCCTTGCAAATTAAGGAATACAGCTATAACTTTTTTTTTTTTTTCAACACCTTGAAGTGGGTTGATGCTACCAAACTCTCTTACTTAATCATTTTCCAGTCTGTCTTGCATAGTTTTGCAAGACAGATTTGGACAGTGAAGTTTTCTGGGTTTACAGAAAAAGTTTGACTGAACTCTTTCCTAGCGTCTTGGATTTGTCAACCCTTCCCCTCCTCTATCTTCCCTTTCCCCCCTTCCCTTTCCCCCCTTCCCTTTCCCCCCCTTCCTTTCTCCCCCTTCCTCTCCCCTTCCTTTTCTCCCCCTTCCTTTCTCCCCCCCTTCCCTTTTCTCCCCCCTTCCGCTCTCCCCCTTCCCTTTCTCCCCCTTCCTTTCTCCCCCTTCCCTTTCTCCCCCTTCCCTTTCTCCTTCCTTTCTCCCCTTCCTTTCTCCCCCTTCCTTTCTCCCCTTCGCTTTCCCCCCTTCCCTTTCCCCCCTTCCCTTTCCTTCCCATTCCCCCTTCCTTTTCCCCTTCCTTTCCCTCCCTTCCTTTCCTCCTTCCCTTTTCCCTCCTTCCTTTTCCTCCTTCCTTTTCCCTCCCTTCCTTTTCCCTCCTTCCTTTTCCCTCCTTCCCTTTTCCCCCCTTCCTTTTCCCCCCCTTCCTTCCCCCTTCCCTTCCTTCCCCCCTTCCCTTCCCCCTTCCCTTCCCCTTCCTTCCCCCTTCCTTTCTCCCCCCTTTCTCCCCCCTTCCTTTCTCCCCCTTCCTTTCTCCCCTTCCTTTCTCCCCCTTCCTTTCTCCCCAGCCCTTCCCCCTTCCTTCCCCCCTTCCCTTTCCCCCCCTTCCCCCCCTTCCCCCCTTTCTCCTCCTTTCCCCCCCTCTTCCTTTTTCCCCCCTCTTCCTTTCCCCCCTCTTCAGCTTTTCCCCCTCTTCCTTTTTCCCCCCCTCTTCCTTTTCCCCCCCTCTTCCTTTTCCCCCCCTCTTCCCTTTTCCCCCCTCTTCCCTTTTCCCCCCCCTCTTCCTTGCACCCCCTCTTCCCTTTTTCCCCCCCACCCTTCCCCCCCCTTCCCTTTTCCCCCCCCCTTCCCTTTCCCCTTGTTGAGATGGTCGCGAAGCCAACCTCCCATTCTGCAGAGCCGCCTGCACGCTCTCATTCCCCTGCGCTGGTTCAGCGCCAGGAGGCTGTAATTAAATTCCTTTTTCTTCCTCCCGGGCACTGATATATATTGAAACAGCCCCACTGGACCCAAGGAAAGCCCCTCCAGCGCCCACAAGGTAGGTAAGGATGGTGCTAATATGTCTTTTTTGTGTGTATCAAATAAATAACGTGTGTGTGTGTGTGTGTGTGTGTGTGTGTATAGGTCATCAGCTCCCCTTTGGTCACATGGGAATGGTGTTTTTACTTCCCTTTTTTTCCCCAACGATGAGCACGCCTCCATAGCTGCAATTATCATTCTTATTCTTATCATCCATAGGAAAGCATTGGGAAGCTGTTGAGCATGCACAGCGAAATGCTGCACAAATCGGCATCTCCTCATAGAGATGTTTTAAATCAATGCGTCTCTATGGGGAACGTTCAGCTCCTATGCAGAGCGTGGAGATGCTGAATGAAGATATGAGACTCTTTAGTGTCTAGATAGCAGAAACTTTAGTTAAAAAAATAAATAAAAAACATTTCAACAACAAATATACAAATCTTAATGGAACATGCTATAGACACCAGAGCCACTAAATTAAGATAGTGGTTCTGGTGACTATAGTGTTCCTTTAAGAATTGTATTTTTGTCATTGGGGAAAAAAAACTGGCTCCTAACTTTTTTAGATGGCTCCTATATTTAAAGCAAATTTGTCAAGCCCTGGGTTAACCTTCCCTCCGCTTGAAGTGTATTGTGCTTGTGTTTTTCTGACTCATTTGACGAATGAGTAAGTCCTTGATCAGAGTTCCTGGCAGAGCCTGACCCACAATCTGACACATGCATATACCATCCCCGGAAGCTGTGACATCATTAATAGAGCAAGCAGTTCCAGCACATGTGTTAACATAACTTAATAAGCTTTAACTGAGCTCAAGGAAAAATCAAATGGTTAATGCTGAATGTGTTATTTTCATTTTAGTGACGTATTGTGCCCTCTTTAGCTCTGCAAATGTTTAGCTGTGTATGTAGAATTTATCAAGTCCAAAAAAGCTGTCTTGTGTATAATAGACAAGTTTTTTTTTTTGTTTGTTTTGTTTTGTATTACTGAGGCAAACACGCATGTTGTGCATGTGTTCGTGGAATTATTCACAGCTGATATTTTTGTTGTGTATTAAGACGTGTATCCACTAAAATTACTGTTTACAACTTAAGGAATTAAGATTTTTTTTAAACTTTTTTCCCCCTCTCCTTCAAGAAAGACTGACATGTGAATTTAAAAGCAGAATATTGTGCTTCAGTTAATCTCTTCCCAGCAGCCCATCTCCAAAAGCTTAATTTGGCTAGATTCAGGTTTTCCTGTCTGTACATAGCCATATCTGTTGCGGGTGAGCTACCCATTAATTTATACCTGTTGTACATGCCTGAACGATTGTCAGTGGGGGTGTTGTTCAAAGCTCCTGGCCCTAGTAGACTCATTGCTGTACACACAGGGCTTCCTGCCAGAACAACAGCAGTGAGAGTGTATCGCTTCATCTCTACTGCTATTGGCTTCGTTTCACTTTTGTTTGCAACAAACTTGCCAAGTGTCGTGTGTGTCTGTTAACACAAATATGGACCATTGTGCAAAATATTTTATAAACCTGTATTGTACCCACCAATGTGAATGCAATGTTTAAACACTGGAAAAAGTTTTTAACTATGCATTTAAATGTTCCTACTGTATTGTCCTGGATCTATCGGTAAGTTGCATTTATTCCACTGTAAAACTGTTGTATCTCAATCTTTTTGACAGAATTTGCAATTCTTTCAATGGGGTGATCTTAGTTAAGTGAGACTTCCAGGTTCCTAAACTTTTTCAGTTCCCATTATTGTATTGGAACTGGGTGCATATGTATGCTCCCCCCCTAAAATCCCAATCTAGCTGTAATTTATTGTAGTTTAGGCCTACATAGCAGACATACATTTTACATGTACAACATATCCAGATGCTAATCAAAGTATCGGACTGTTGTAAATGCTGAAATGGCTACACGTAGCTCTAAACAGATTATTTACTAAAGTGAGAATTCAGTCTATTTCAAGTTTAAGGCATTACAGTCAAACTGAAAGCATAGTTGACGTAGAGAATTATTCTTGTTTGGCTAGTTTGACCTTAAAGGAGCACTATAGTCACCTAAACGGCTTTGGCTTAATGAAGCTGTTTTAGTTTATAGATCATGCCTCTGAAGTTTCACTGCTCTCTTCTCTGCCATTTAGGAGTTAAATCACTTTGTTTATGTAGCCCTGGGCACACCTCCCCTTGTTGTGACTGACACAGCGTGCGTGGGGAAAAAATAAAAAAACTGGTTACAATTTCAATCAGGTGTACCTCATACGCCCGCTGTAAATTTGAGCACTGGAAGCGATCATGACACTCACTCGCCCCATCCCATCCCATCCCATGCTCTGCCTGTACGGAGTGCCTCGAGGGGTCGAGGCACTCTGTTTTAAAAAAAATAAATAACCCCTACTCTCCCTCCCCATGTACTTACCGTTCCCCCGCCGGCGATCGGTATTCAGCCCAGACAGTGCACCTCTCCAATTTAGGACCCCCAGGGGCCATGTGACCCCTCTAAAAGGGCGGTCACATGGCCACAATAGGTGTCTACAGTGCTGCCAGCAGGGGGACTGCCTGAACGGACAGGCAGTCCCCCTGCTGGTGAAAAAGTAAAAAGAAAATTAAAATAAAGTATGTATGTTGCATATAACCTCATACTAAGTGTATTTATATAAATATTCTATCTCTATCAAAAAAGAATGGCTGCTCACCGGACTTAAAAACAAAAAAATTTTTATTGAATGTTAAAAATCGACCAACGTTTCAGTCACCATTTCTGAAGAAAGTCCCGAATGGGGACTGAAACGTTGGTCTATTATTTTTTTTTTTTTTAACATTATTCAATAAAAAAATTTTTTGGTTTTTAAGTGAGCAGCCATTCTTTTTTAATATTTGTGTCTATTGGAGCTCTGGCACATGTACCCGGCGTTGGAATTAACTAAGCGTGAGTGCAAGGGTTTTTATATATATTAGAGTAAAATTATATTTGAGTATATATATTAGAGTATATAAAAAACTATATAGTGTGTGTGTGTATATATGTATATATAATTTTATAAAAAAATAACTAAACGGTAATTATTTAAAAAAAATTTAAATGTATAATTTGATTCTAACTGTATTTTGATATTAATGTATATCCACTTAAAGACCGTGGACGTATTAGGTATGTCCGACAAAAAAGTCGTGATCTGCAGGGGAGGGGAGAGGGAAAGTCCCCCTGCAGCAGCTCTCGCCACCATGATCATATCGCCGCAATAGGACTCTAGGAGCTGCTATCAGGGGGACTGTCTGAGCGGTCACGCAGTCCTCCGGGCTGATAAAAAGTAAAAATAAAATATATTATACAGGTGGTCCTCATTTAGCGACCTACCTGTTTTACGATGGCCTAGTCGTAAACTTCCCCGAACATAAACGAATGCACCAGAGCAGGGAATCCTTGAACTCCTCACTTACCGACAGATTTGTTGTGCGAAGTGTCTTTAATTATAATATACATATATAGGGGTGGTTATGTATGTGTGTGCATATATCTATCTCTATACACACACTTATAAATTGAAGAAAACATTTTCTACAAAAACACCAACTTTGGCCTGCGTTTGTGACTAAGTGAATACTAGGAAAATACTGAACATACCCCATTTTGAATACTGGGTTTTCTATGTTTACAAATGGTATGCCATTATGGGGTAATTTTCATTCCTGGGCTGCTATACAGTCTCAAAGGCAGCATAGGCTCAGCAAACCAATCTGGAAAATTTCAGTGTGCAAACATGGGGAAAAGGGGATAGCCCTACATTTGACCCATGTAAGTTTGTGTGTGTATCACTGAACTTGGGAGATGTTGCTGAACACATATTGGGGTGTAACCCTTACAGGTCTCTGTACATGTATTTTTAAATTGCTGTGTCAAAAAATCACTATTATTTAATTTGGAATAGAATGGTGGTAAAATGGTTGCATGAAAAGAGTCAAAATATCCCACGTTTAATACCTTAGGTTGTCTTCTTTTAAAAAAAAAAATATATACATGTGAACGGTTATTCAGAGATTCCTGACCGATATCAGTGTTACAATGTAACTTGCGATAATTTTGGAAAAAAAAAAATGGTTTGGAAATGGCAAAGTGCTACTTTTACTTATTGCCCTATAACTTTCCAAAAAAGCCAAGAGCATGTTAACATTGGGTATTTCTAAATTCAGGACAATATTTAGAAACTATTTAGCATGGGTGTTTTTTGGCGGTTGTAGATGTGTAACAGATTTTGGGGGTCAAAGTAAAAAAAAGTGTTTAAAAAAAAAACAACAACTTTATAGTAAATTATATGATGAAAATAATGGTATCTTTAGAAAGACCATTTAATGGCGATAAAAAAACGGTATATAATATGTGTGGGTTCAGTAAATGATTAAGAGGAAAATTACAGCTAAACACGAACGCAGAAATGTAAAGAGGTTCTTAACGGTAAGAAAATTGAAAACCGGTCTGGTCACTAAGGGGTTAATAGATTTTATCTCCTGCTCTCTAAATTGAACTTTAATCAAATACAGGAGGCTCCTGCAGGGTCTAACAAGCTATTAACAGAGCAGGATATAAGAATCTAAATACAACAGAATGTGCAATAAATTAAGGATAAACATTGTCTGACTCTACAGCAGGCTTCCCCAAACTTCAGCCCTCCAGATGTTGCTGAACTACAGCTCCCATGATTCTCAGCCTATCTATTTAATTCATAGAATCACGGGAGTTGTAGTTCAGCAACATCTAGAGTTTGGGGAAGCCTGCTCTACAGGAAGTGTTGAGGAAAGCTGTGCAAGTTACATGTTGGGGAGGTGTGCCTTTTAAATGAGAAATTAATTTTGAATTCGTAAAGAGGCTCTGTCAAACAATTGTGGTGTTTTCAGACAAAATCTGGCCATTACCGTATATACTCGTGTATAAGTCGATCTCATGTATAAGTCGAGGGCAGTTTTGTGACCAACAATTGTGAAATATGCTATGCCTCGTGGATAAGTCGAGGATAAAACTTGGGACTATGAAATTCTGTGATTTTAGAATTATATACACACACTCATACAAACACACTCTGCATTATATACACACACACTCATACAAACACACACACTCATAAACAATCTGCATTCTACACACACACTCATACAAACACACATACTCTGCATTATATACGCACACACTCTGTGTGTATATAATGCAGAGTGTGTGTGTGTTTGTATGAGTGTGTGTGTAGAATGCAGATTGTTAGTGTGTGTGTAGTGTGTGTTTGTAGGAGTGTGTGTTTGTGTGTGTGTGAACTGGGTGGAAGGAGGGCATTTTTATTATAAATTTTTTATTTTAATATTGTAAGTTTTTTTTTCTTTTATTTTATTTGAATATTTAAGGTTTTTATTTTTTATTTTTTTTATTTTATTTTATTTTATTTGAATATTTAATTTTTTTTTATTTTAATATTTAAAATTTTTTTATTTTAATAGTTTTTATTGTATTTTTTTTTTGTATTTTTAATTTAATTTTTGTCCCCCCTCCCTGCTTGTTAGCTGGCCAGGGAGGGGGGCTCTCACTACCTGGTGGTCCAGTGGATGGGCTGTGCAGGAGGGGGGGGCTGACAGTGAGAGGTTACTTACCTTCCTGCAGCTCCCTTCTCCTCCGTGCAGCTCTTCTGACAGCTCCCACTGGAAGTCTCGCGAGAGCCGCGGTGACCCCGCGGCTCTCGCGAGACTTCCAGTGGGAGCTGTCAGAAGAGCTGCACGGAGGAGAAGGGAGCTGACAGTAGCTGCAGGAAGGTAAGTAACCTCTCACTGTCAGCCCCCAACAGGACCGCCGGGCTTGTAATGAGCCCGGCGGTCCTTGTCTGTATTATGGCAATGTAAATTGCCATAATACAGACATTAACTCGAGTATAAGTCGAGTGGGGGTTTTTCAGCACAAAAAATGTGCTGAAAAACTCGACTTATACTCGAGTATATACGGTATGTTTTTATTGGAATTTCATTCAGACTAATTAAATTTTGATGTGGTGAGCGACTGCATTTTGCAGCAGTTTAGTATATAACTCCCTCAATTGGCAACTTTGTGGGATTGCCATATTTAAGGATAACAATTTAGGGAGCTGTTTAGTAGTTAGCTCTTTTTTAGTGTCTTTATGGCAATCCCACCAGGATTAGGGACCTTTAAGAAGCTTAAAGACCAAAATTACGAAATGCCCTTACTTTCCTTTGTTTTTGTGTTTCAGGCAACTTTACGAATTTGAAATAAAATTTTTTTTTTTTTGCTAAATTAGGTTAAATCTTCGCCCCTTCCCACTGTGCCACAAGTAGGGGCATGTCTATCAATTGAGAATGAGTCCATGGCTACTCAATGTTCTAAAGACAAGCAGCTTGGTAGCTATTGCTGCCCAAATTCTAACCCAACCAAGGGCGACCTGACAGAGGTCTCCCATGCCCCCAGTAGTGGGCCACTTGGGGAAAAAAAAAAATATTCAATGGGGAACCTAGTGCTTGGAGTTAAATTACACGGTGTGGGAACGCTTTATAAGGTTTTCCCTGCCCTACAAGCACAGTCATTTACACATTGTTTGGGCACAAGTCAACGTTCCAGTACATTTATTTATAATCCTTGAGTGTTAAATTTTGCTGTCGATTTATGGCACCTCCACAAAACAGAGGCTACTTACTAACCCAGCTGCAAATGGTGGGTCTTCCTCACCCTCACTGCATTCTGCCTCCATGGGCCAGTAGAATGCTACTCATAGAGAGGCATTTAATGAATTGCCTTCTGCTATAAGCAGGTCTACAGTTTAGGAAATGGCACTCTCTCGGATGTCTGACAGCAGTGCTTGTTCAACCTAGGATAAAAATGTAGATTTATTTTGAAATCTGAACTGCATAGCGGGTTTGGTGTGCTCCTTTAAGAAGTAGTTCAGTTACGCCAGTAACAATCGATCTTAAAATTATGTGGACTGTTCTAGGTTTCTTCAAATCTGTCCTTCATGTTGGCCCACCAAAGATGGGGGCAGTGAAAGGTTGGTGACGCTCGGCTATCAGCCTACCAGAACCCTGGTTAACAAGGAAGTGTTAGCTAGATTAGGAATGGTTTGCGAGACTTCATGTGTGGCCTGGTACTCTAGTTGATGATTAAACTGTAGTAGATTGAATTGAACCAAGTGATGCCAAGATGATACTCTAGCCGTTAGAACTGCAAGGTATGAAGTGGTTATAATAAGTAATCTGTTTATGATGTGGTGTTAAATTCTTATATTAAACATAAAGCTAGTGGCCTCAGAAACCAGTTCAGCCCAAGGACAACTAACGGAAACCAGTCCTCAATCGGGATGATCCCCTGTATAGATGAAAATCAGCAGGCACATCCCAAAAAGGGTAACTCATATCATGCTTTAAAGGATACTTACTCCAAAACTGAGTTTCTGAAGTGTAAAACATGTTAAGAGTTTTTGGGGTCTGTCTGCTAGCTGTCTGGTGGGTGTTGATTACAAAGGTCTATTGAACACTTTTTTTAATTGTGTGTTTTTCTCACTTAAACCGTTAAATTCTACAAAGGGTGTATATCTGGTCTTTTACAGTATAAAGAAATCATGTACGGTAAGAGGACGTATTTTATTGTTGCTTTAGCTCCTCTTTAAAGTTTTTTTTTTTTGATCTTCTGTCTGAAAAGTAATGACTTGTGGTCTAGTCCTATAGAGAATATATTCTAGCAATTCATGTTGTATGTAACACAAGGAAACAATTTATAGGCAGAAAGTGCTAAATAGTTTCTAAGCAAATTTTTGCTGAAATCGATTAGGAATATGGGTGTGAAAATTACCATGTACTACTTTTAGATCTACCTTAAAGGGTTACTCTAAGAACCATAACCATTTCAGATTCCTGTCAATCAAGCATTTGGGAAAAAAAAAATCTGGTCTGGATATATCCATCTATACAGGTTGTGTGCAGCATGCGCACATCTTTGACAGCGTTTTCTATCCAGGAGTGTTCTGAGCAATCGACCACACGTCTAAAATGATGGCAGCCAAGGAATAGCTACTAGAATCAGTGATGATTGGAATTGCTCTCTACTAATAAACTACTTATCCACATTGTGCAGAGATTTATGAAGTTGTTTCTATACTACACTGCTTGCAAATTGCCATATTTAAACCCTAGTTTCCTGTCAACACTTTTATTGAAAGGAAATAGATTTTAAAACCTAGTTTTTTTGTTGTAAACTTAATTTTTTTTTGGCCTTCAAAGCTACCTGGAAAATGACTTTATTAGGCGTTTTTGTGGGCAATGTTCTTGATGGGTGCTGGGTTGGTTTCCTTTTTTTTTTTGTTTGAGGTGTCTGTTAGTTTGAATTGCCTACCGAGGAAAACTGAATAACTTTAAAGCAAACCTGTCATCACCTGACCTTCTGCTCCTGTGCCACATTATGCTCACTGAGCCCCCATATCAAAACAAAAAACCCTGCCAAGTGACAGTGCTGCTTTACACCACAACAAAAAGGAAGAACTGATTTTTAAAAATTATGTATTTTTTTTTTTTGGATTTTTTATTTATTTTTTTTGGTTAGCCTTGGTTTTCTTTTTATATAAAAATAGAAACCACTTTTAAAGATCATGCTTACATAGAGCCGAAGCATAGCTCCTCTGATGCTAAAGGTTATCGATCCACAATAAGTCAATCTAAAGAACTCCACAAAGGACAAACTGCCGACCTCGTGAACAGAGGTAAATAAAGTGGTGTCCCCAGTATTGCAATCTGCCACAAGGCAGAAAAGATCTAGTTTTTTTGTCTTTAGTTTAAGTACAAGAGGTACTAAGGGAACCTAAGAAACACCATGGTGCGTTAATTTTATGTCAATGCTCCTGTGCATTTTTTTAATTTTTTTTTACAGTTGGGGTTGAGCATTGGTAAAATAGAGATGGTTGTTTATTGATTAACTTATTCTAGACAATTAATCCATATGGAATAGAAGTAAACACAAACCATGATAAGCCATAAATGTGTTCTCGACCTCGTATTTCCTTCCTTCCTTTTTTTTTGTAATTCTTTCTTTTGAGACATTGAGTTATGCGGTACAGAATGTGAACAAGAATAAAGGAGTTGGCGCAAAAGTCCAGATGTTAATCAAACAGTTGAACAGTATGCTCCTGGCAGATCTGTCTCGTTTTTTTTTTTTTTTTTAAATAAACAAGCTAGTCTAATTAGTAACAACAAGCTATATCATATAGTGCAGTAAAGCAAACAATAGGTAAGTAAACAGAAGTGATATACAGTTTTTGGTTTTATCCCTATTGTTATGGTAGATCTAGGCTAGTAAAAGTAGAGTAGATTAATACATGCTAGGTTTAGCTTTATATGTAAGATTGGGTAACGTCTACATAGTCTAGTTTTTAGTAAGTGAAACATTCTATGCTTTGGCAGGAGGCCGGATAGATGCAGTAAGGCATATGTATGTACTGTGCACATAGGATACAGGCTAGGCATGAGTAGCAGATAAGGCTGACTTTTGATTTGTACAATGCTATGTCACAGTGCTTGCTTGGTAAAAAAAAACCGGATCGGGCTATGCAAGGTAACAAGGGTTAATGTTTTGGTACTCTCAGGGTGCCGGATCAAACCTATGGAGCCTTTGTCCTGCACAGCTGCTAGTAAAACTGTTATAGGTGCTTATAAGGTATATGCACGTGGTCAATGACTAACTGGCATGGCTTAAATATAGACTGGCAATGCATGAATTGTAAACCGCTGACATCAGGCAGAGGTAGGGGAAAACAGAGCATTAGGGAAAAACAAATCATTAAAGCAGGGTGAATGTAGTGGTTAAGAACCGTGCTCAGCTGCAGTAAAGAGTTCTCTTAGCTCTGACTCTTCACCCGATGCTGCTTACGTGCTGGAGCAGATAGTTCATTCTTTGGCCCGGTAGCAAATCCAATCTGAGCGGGAGTGCAGCCTGGAATCCCATGCCTCCGTTGCTTGTCTTGGGTCTCCCAGAGTTCTTTCTGCTGGTGAGGTTGGTCGGGTTCCTGCACACGAATACCAGTTGGAGGGGCTTGTGTGTTGGCAGGGTCAGAATCTGTTGTGGTGCTGCAGCGTGCAGGCTGCTGCCAGGTGGAGTGGGTGAGTACGTCTAGGTGTGCGTTTAGTTGCAGCATGGCGCTGTGGAGGTGGGGAGCCCCTCCACCTCTGAGGTTACTGGTGAGCCGATGCTCCATTTCTGCGTGCGCGAGTCCCAGTGTGGTCTCTGGCCTTTCCGGGGATGGTGGCGCGGTCGGTTGCCGTGTGTTGCTCGCTTGATGCTCCGTTTGCTCTCCATATTCTGTGGCTGACGGTGCGGGTTGGCTTGTGGCCATGTAGGGCTGCAGCTCAGTGTTTTAGCCGGTTCTCTGTCTGTTGAACATCGTGGGGGGCTGTGCCCGGGTGGGTCTTCGGCTTCTGCATCCTAATCCGGTGCCAGTTAGCTTTATCTGGTTGGCTTAGTGTGGATGCCAGTGCCGTGGTGCAGACCGTTGGTGGCTGTACAGGCGGGGTCCTTTCCTCCAAATTGGCCCAGAAGCGCTCACAGATGGCATCAAACCTTGCCTGAAATGTCTTTGTGCTGGCATCTGTGCTGTCCGCCATTTTGCTCTGGCCTCGTGTCTCTCGCCTGTCGGTCCCTCTCCCCTGGTTAGTACCCTATGCTGGGGGTGGACCGGGATAACCCTGCCAGTCTAGAGGGGGGGGACGAGAACCCCGCTGCAGGAGCTCAGTCTGTCTTGGCGGCAGAGTAGCGGCTGTCTCCTCCGCGCCAGCCATGTGGGTAGGCCTCATCCTCATCTCGGGGAAATATTACTCACTGTGTGTCGCGGAAGGTATCCACTTGTGCTTCTGACTGTCACCTCCTTTTTGTGTCGGTAAGATGTCTTTTGGTCAGTGGAGTCCGCTCTATACGATTTAGGTAGGGAGAGCTGAGGAGATATGCTTCCTCAGCTCTCTGGCTAGGCCTCGCCCCACTTATTTCCTTCCTTTTAACACAAATTAACAGACCACACAAATATTAACTCTTATCAACCTATATATGGGAAACAGAATTTTTGCTGTCGGGTATGCCTGTTCAGCATACATGTCTTGATGAATCTTAGAATATTCCAGCATGCACATATTGTACATGCTAATTAAACAGTTGAAACAAACTGTGCTTTCTTTCCACGATTATGGAAAGTGTGGTTGGTTTTCTAATGTATCCTGAAGACGCTAAACTTGCTCTCGTGAATACTTTTGAACTTACCACCATAACAGCATGTCTAATCTTTTAAATGATACAGTAGGAATTATGGCCCTCTATCCTCGTTGTGATCAAGTAGAAAAATTCCATGTTTGGCTTTTTTTTTTTTTATCTTGTGTAAATTCTTTTTATAATTTTAGTTTTTCTCCTTCTCTGAAAGTAAACGTTTCACTTTGCTTGTGTAGATGGGTAACAAGGGACTGTTATTTATGAGCAATATGCCTACTGTCCTATATATTGGGATAGCATACAAATACTGTATTTGTCATGTAAAGGCTGCAGCCCCATCTACGAATGCACATGATTTTTAATCTCTATAGATGGCAAGCTTCTTCAGCTGCTTGAGATCTCACTAAATTGCCACCTCATTACCTTTACATTTTACCTGTAGCTGCATTTATCCTTTAATTCTCTCTGGCCATCACCTCCAAATTTATCCTGCTTCCTCTTGTTTCAATTCCCCACATGAACATCTAAATTGTTAGCTCAGGGGCTGTTTAGCCAAGTGCTCTGTAAAAAAAAAGACCTTCACTGGTTAGATCTCAGCTCGGGCAGAGGCTTTATCCTTTGTATTAAACCGTGTGTATTGTACTGTGGTTTTCCTCCCCCAGTTATACAGCACTGCAGAATGCGTTGGTGCTTTTTAAATGCCAGTAATGATATTGGTGACTTTAAATTATAATTATTGGTATTTATATAGCAGCGCTTTACAGTAAGAAGGGAATTTACCAAATGAGACCATAACAAAATGTAACAAAAACAACAAAGTTGAGGATCCTGCTCAAACGAGCTTATTTAAATGTTATGCAGTTTGGTTTGAAGCTGGTTTAGTTATTTCGATGTTTAGATTTCAGACATATGCCAAACTTGCAGTCAGTCTTTGAGTACAGTCTAGGTATATCTGGTTTGGTAAGAAAAGAATGTATTTAGGTCAGATTACAGTTCATCAATGACCTTTTAAGGGCATACAACAAAATTAGTATATAATGCAAATACATGGGATTTAACAATGCAGTAGTTACTAGACATGCAAGTCTCTTAAAACATTTTTTTTTTTACCATCTAGAACTTTTAGAATGTTATATAAAGTAGGTATGCTGTACTTTCTATTAAGACAACTAGACACACCCAGACCACTTAATTCCAGTGAATTGGTAAGGGTGCATTGGTCCTTTAGTTTTAACCTTGCAATGTAAAGCATTCCCATTTAGTACATTTGACAATGCTCACATTGCAGGGTTATAAGACTCTAGTGGCTGTCTGACAGCCAGTAGAGGCACTTTCACTGTGAGAATGTGGTTCTTACACCTAAATTTCAATAGTTGTACAGCACTGCAGCACATGCAAGTTTTTAAAAGTTATTTTTTTTTTGTCCCCATGGCTCCTTAATGAGGAACATTTTTAGAAGTTTAGGCGTGATGTCGCAAGATGCAAATGGTGTTATCCTAATGTCTCCTGACACATGGTCAATACAAGGCTTCTGACAGTTGCTGTCCTTGCTAATGCCCTTTTCAGCATAGCAATTGTTACACTATGAAGTTTAAGTTTGTAAAGTGCCACCAAATTCTGCAGCACTGTACAGTGGTGGGTGGATTAACAAATGGTTGCATCAAGACAAGTTCAGCGCTGCAGAATATGTGGGAGCTTTATAAATCCCAGTAATGAATGAACGTACAGGAACAGCAAAGAAAAACTTTATTTTAAATACTCTTTTGGCAAAACCATCTGATTTTACTTTGATGTAATCTGCCTTTTTTTAAAAAAATTTGTGGCAACAGTAAACAAGAAATGTAAAATAAAATCCAAATTATAGCGAATTCATATCCATAAGCAAAATTTAGACTTAAATAGCAGATCTGGAAAAATATTGGCTATAGTCGCAGCTTGGCACCTTGTTTCCAAATTTTGTTCAAATTTAACTTGCTACAAACCTGAGTTTAAAGATTAGATCCCAAGATTTCTTGTTGCGGAGGCTGTGTGTCTGTGTGTGTGTGTGAGTATGTAAAGAGGTTTGTAGGTAAGCATGTTTTTAAATTTGAATAAATCTTTGTACAATGACACTTGGATTAAGTGATTATTTAGCTTTATTTAAAATGTTATCTAATAACGTGATTGCTGAGCAGAGAACGTCTTCAGCCATGGTATTTTCTCTGTTCTTGAAGCGCCACCTAGGGAAGATTCTCTGTATTGGTAAATTGTTTAAATTTCACTTACGTTTTCGATCTAATGCGATAACCTGGATAGGATTTGTTTGAAGCATGTTGAAAATCTTTTGTCTTTATAAAACATGAGCACAATTACTATGCGTATGTGGCAAAGTGATGAGTAGTAACAGATTTTGTAAAATTATACATTGATGTCCATGGATTAGGGCTTAGACCAGGGGTGTCCAACCTGCGGCCCCCCAGATGTAGCTGAACACCAGCTCCCATGATTCCCGGGCTATCTGTTTCATTGAAAGAATCATGGGAGTTGTAGTTCAGCAACATCTGGGGGCCGTAGGTTGGACAGGCCTGGCTAGACTAAGGCTGACAAATAGTTTTAGGAACCTATTAAGAAACATGCCTAAAATGCAACCCTGTATTATATGCACCACTAATTGTGACATGGATAGGAGAGCGTGCATGTTGGCTCTTTATAAATACCAGTAATAAATAAAATGGATCATTCAGCTTCATTAAATATTCATATTGAGCCCATGTTTGTTCTTATACACCCAAATCATTCTGATTTTATTTATTTATTATAAAGCAAATCCCTCCTGCTTCTAAATATTTTACTATGGAAAATCCAAAAGTACTAAAGACCGCTTCACAAAATGAAAACAAGGGTCTCACAATGCTTTTTTTTTTTGTTTTTAAAGAGGTAGGTTCAGTAAAGTTTTACTTTTACATCTTTCTGTAGTGTTAATTGTAAATTACATTACCTACCCTCTTACCACTTTTTTTTTTTTTTTTTGGATTGCTGACTTATTTCTAGTAAGGCTTCATTGACCTTCTAAATGAAGCCTTGGCTTACCACGGTTTCGGGGGGTGTGTGTTCTTGTTAAATCACCTGTTTGTGTGTGTGCTTTATTCTGCTACTTCTGTCTTTTGAACTCTGTGACCAGGGAGCAGTGCACGTGATCTCTGAGCTCTGTGTATAGAGATCACCGCACAAGATGTGTAACCAGTTGTGGTATTTCCAACTAAATCATCTCCAATCATTGCAGTTTTATGCTGTGTGTAATGGGCTGTTTCTTTACATACATATGTACATGGAATTCTTTCTATCCAAGCCTTTCACGTGGAGGCAAAAGGAGCACAATTATGGTTTTCTGTACCCTACCTAAAAAAAAATACAGAATGCTTTGTAATAGTATCATTTCTTTTTTTTTTTTTTTTTCATCTCTCTACCTCCCCACTCATAAAGCAGAGGTGTCAGATTGCACCAGTTCTTTCTTCAGTAAGAACTTCCGTAAGGTTAGGTGTAAAATGCACTTACCTATACATCTCTGTGCTGTCCAGGGCAGTGTTTTGGCCTTATGATACTCCAACCTCGCACGCGCCTTTGAATATGCTTTTGCTGTGTCAGGGAAGCCTAGAATGCAGTGCAAAATAAAATTCAAAACTTTTCAAATGAGAACTGACACAGCCTGCGTGGAAACAAAATGGTTTCACTTTAATCAGATGTAACTTACTTTAAAAGTTTTTTTCTCCTGCTCTGTAAATTTGGCTTTTTATCAAACAGAGGATGCTCCTGCAGGTTCTATCAAGATATTAACAGAGCAGGAGATTTAAAAATCTAAATTATACTTCCTTTATTGCAAATTGTTTAAACATTAGCTGACTCTTTACAGGAAGTGTTTAGGAAGGCTATGCAAATGGCATGCAGGGAGGTGTGACTAGGGCTGCATAAACAAAGTGATTTAACTCTTAAATGGCCAAGAATTAAGCAGAGAGAATGTAGAGTGAACTATACATCAAAACTGATTAAGCTAAAGTTGTTTTGGTAAATATAGTGTCCCTTTAATAGCTCCAAGTTATGTGCTGTGAGAATGTTATAGTGTTGTTGCAAGGTGGTTGTTTGTGTTTGCCTTGGTAATGGAGCACTAATACTGTAGTTAATAAATATGGTGCAATTACCAACTGCTTTAATGTGTTGAAAGTAAAACAGAGGACACTCAGTGCTTTATATTTAATCTTTGTTTGCATATCTTGTTTTCCATGCTTATTTTTTATTATATTGTCATTTAGTTTTGTTTGTGTCCTGTTGGATCAGCAAATAATTGCTGACTAATTATGACAAGTAACTATCCCCTCCCACTCTTCCAAACATGTGACTCCAAGTTCAAAAAATGTCTTTTTAACCCCTTAAGGACCGAGGACGGTTCAGGACCGTCATCGGCATTTTTGCGTTGCCGACCGATGACGGTCCTGAACCGTCCTAACGGTCAGAGCTACTTACCTGATCGCCGTCGTTCCCCCGGCGGCGATCAGCGTGGCTCCGGTTGTGGGGAGACTGCCTGCAGCCCAGACAGTCTCCCCACGGCAGATTAGGACCCCTGTGGCCATGTGATCGCTTAACACAGCGATCACATGGTCACAATAGGTGTCCATGTGTCTGCCTGCAGGGGGACTGTCTGTGCTGACAGGCAGTCTCCCTGCTAGTGTAAAATCAAAAAATAAATTAAAGTTAGTGTTAATAAAAAAAATAAAAATAATTATATATGTGTATATATGATATATAGACATATATTATACCTATATAATATATGTCTATATATCATATATATATAATGTCATACTAAGTGTATTTTTATATTAACATGTACTTATATTAATATAAAAATACACTTATAATTAAATTACACACGTATATATATAATATATATAATAACTATATATATTGTATATATATATTATTATAAAATATAAATAAGTAATTTAAATTAAATACATTTTTTTTTAAATAATAATAAAAAATTAAAAAAAATTATATAGCTATATGAAATTTTATTCTAACTGTATTTTAAAATTAATATATATATATTTATATCAAAATACACTTAGAATGAATTTGTATATATATCTATGTATATAAAAATAAATAAAAATAATAAGAAATATACATACGTCCATATACAAAATTACATAAATAATTATATAAATATACACGTAGACTTCAAATATATAAATATGCATATATATTTAAATTCTACGTGCGTATTTATGTAATATTTTTACATAATTCAGTAATTTTATTGATTGCAATTTGAGGGACCTGCCTGCCAACCCAGGCCAAAATTCCAGAGAATTTAATTTGCTAACACTGTATTTTACCCTGTAACGTTCTACGACACCCTAAAACCTGTACATGGGGGGTACTGTTTTACTCGGGAGACTTCGCTGAACACAAATATTAGTGATTCAAAACAGTAAAACATATCACAGCGATGATATTGTCAGTGAAAGTTACTTTTTTTGCATTTTTCACACACAAACAGCACTTTTACTGATGATATAATTGTTGTGATACGTTTTCCAGTTTTTAAACACTAATATTTGTGTTCAGCGATGTCTCCCGAGTAAAACAGTACCCCCCATGTACAGGTTTTATAGCATTTTTGAAAGTTACAAGGTCAAATATATGGGTCAAATATTTTTACATTGAAAATGGCCAGGTTGGTTACGTTGCCTTTGAGAGCGTATGGTAGCCCAGGAATGAGAATTACCCCATGATGGCATACCATTTGCAAAAGAAGACAACCCAAGGTATTGCAAATGGGGTATGTCCAGTCTTTTTTAGTAACCACTTGGTCACAAACACTGGCCAAAATTAGCGTTCAATTTAGTTTTTTTACTTTTTTCACACACAAACAAATATGAATGCTTACTTTGGCCAGTGTTTTCGACTAAGTGGCTACTAAAAAAGACTGGACATACCCCATATTGAATACCCTGGGTTGTCTACTTTTAAAAAAATATGTACATGTGGGGTGTTATTCAGAGATTTATGACAGATAATAGTGTTACAATGTCACTATTGATAAATTTTAAAAATGTATGTTTTGAAACCGCAATATCCTACTTGTACCTATAGCCCTATAACATGCAAAAAAAAAAGCAAAAAAGCACGTAAACACTAGGTATTTTTAAACTCAGGACAAAATTTGGAATCTATTTAGCAGTTTTTTTCATTCGCTTTTGTAGATGAGTAAAAGATTTTTCAAGTAAAAGTAAAAAAACATGTATTTTTTTTCATTTTTCATGATATTTTTTTATTTTTTTTAAATTAAAATACATGAGATTATATAAATAATGGTATGTAAAGAAAGCCCCTTTTGTCCTGAAAAAAACAATATATAATTTGTATGGGAACAGTAAATGAGAAAGCGGAAAATTACAGCCAAACACAAACACCACAAAAGTGTAAAAATATGCCTGGTCGCAAATGTACAACATCGCAAAAACAGTCCAGTCCTTAAGGGGTTAATTCTTCAATAATTGTCTATTTTTCTATGTTTTTGCAACCCCCCTTTTCTCCAATAAGCGAATTTTTAATTTAGCAAATGTGTAGTTAGTTGTATATTCCTAAAGCAGTTTCATAATGCAATGCCCTGAACTTTAAAGTGTGAATCCTAAACCTAAATTAAACCTTTTCTGTTCAAACTTAAAATCAGTGCTCTATATATTCATACTATAAATAACAATTTGCCTATTCCTTTTGGCCTTTATAAGCGTATAGATTTGCTTTATTTTTTTGTTTTTGTGAAGTATTCCATAATCGGAAGCAATTTATGTTCTGTGCCAAACCTCTGTAAATGTCACTTTCTACTATACATGTGTTAATTTAGTATTGAATCTATTTCCTAACTGCACAAAAGTAATGTTTAAAGCAGTCGTATAAAAGTATTGCCTGCCCATTTATTTACTCAGGTTTGATGTGGTCCTGTTCAATATAAATCCCTGATGAATGTGCTTTATACAGAATTTCTATATTGTCTGTCACTCTGTCTGTAGAATGTGCACCATGGTAGGTTAAGTCCACAGCAGCTGCAACCTTATGTGTTTTTAACTGGAAGAAAGGCAAATACTTCCTCCCTGGCAATTGAATGGTTACATTGGGTCGCCTGTTAGTAACTGCAGCAACATATGCTGTCTTTCTACAGCTATTGCATGAAACCTGTCAATCAAACAAGACAAGTGGCTGGCAGGGGTTTGTGAGAGTTGAAATACAAAAATTTAAATCTGCCTTATTTCTTCTTCATTAATAATGTTAACATTTAGAAGTTTAAACCCACCTCCTCCTCCCCTCGATACTATGTTTATATAGTGGGGACCTCAATAAGAATTTCAATAGGATTATTATATTTTTCCTGATGCAAATGAGCAATTTCTATTAATATATAAATTTTCATTAAAGGAACACTATATAGTCACCTAAACAACTTTAGCTTAATGAAGCAGTTTGTGTTGATTGAGTATAGATCATGCCTCTTAGGTTTTACTGCTCAATTCACTGCCATTTAGGAGTTAAATAACTTTTTCTTTTTATGCAGCCCTTGCCACACCGCCCCTGGCTATGATTGACACAGCCTGCATGGGAAAAAAAAAAACTGGTTTCACTTTCAATCAGATGTAATTTACTTTAAACAATTGTATCTCTTGCTCTGTAAATTGAACTTTAATCACATACAGGAGGTTCTTGCAGGGGATAAGAATCTAAATCAAACAGAACTTGCAATAAAGGAAGGATAAACTTTAGATGGCTCTTTATAGGAAGTGTTTAGGAAAGCTGTGCAAGTCACATGCAGGGAGGTGTGACTAGGGTTCCTAAACAAAGTGATTTAACTCACAAATGGCAGATAATTGAACAGTGAGGCTGCAGGGGCATGTTCTATATACCAAAACTGCTTCATTAAGCTAAATTTCTTTTGATGACTGTAGTGTCCCTTTAACTTAAACCCTTTTGTAATTTTATTGATTAAAAACAAAAATTCCTCGTAATACAACTGTTGAAGCTGGCAACATTATTCATTGGTTAACCTTATGATTGGTAGTCATATTCAGTCCTTTGTTTCAGCTTTGTGTTCCAGACTCTTGCAAGTGTGAACCACTTTCATTCTGTGTGCATAGTTGCATCCCCCCACCCCCCTTCAGAGCCTTTTTTTTTTTTTTTCTGCGTGCATAGTTGCATCCCCCCCTTTCAGAGCCTTCTTTCTGCTTGTATTTTTTTTCCTTCACGAGGCTTGGTGTGTTCTAGTTTTTATGAATGAAACTCCAGTTCAGAAAGACATCTGTGGTACGACAAGCGAGGGAGTAGAGCACGCACAAATGCTGCAACTTAACACAAGTGACTTTCTCCAGCTTAGATTTAGCAAGACAGAAAACAAACAAATGCTTATTTTCAGCTCCTCCTCCTGAATTGCAGTCTTACCAGCTCAGCTTGGATTCTCTCTGATTAGAAGGGAACTGGATAAGAAGATTGCTGTGGAACAGCTGAAGATGCTTTTATTTTATATTTTTGGTGGGTGGGGGGTTGTGTGACCACAGAAATGGTACAGCTCATCCTTTTTTCCTCCCCCACACACTTCCTAAACAGCTAGTGTCATGTAGCCAGTACAGTTGCTTTCCATGTGCAGGCACATTATAATTCAGGCTTGTTTAGCAAATGTTTTCAAAGTGCATTCAGAAAGAGTGGTGAGCTATAAACTGGTACCAAATGCCACCCGTTTCTCTCCTGTCCAAATTGACGTGCGAGATGTAAATACATTTCTTTCTATGAACATCTTGCATAACCACTTACTCTGAAGGAACTCCAGCGATCGGAGCCGTATCGCACAACTTGCTTTTAAAAGGGTTAGACTGACTCGTATCATTGTCCGAAATTACCTAGTATTATTGCTGCTTATACACACAGCAGTTGGAAACTGCATTTCGTTTTTAAGAGATTGTAGAGGATTCATAAGAAAAGCACAGTCTTTCTACATTTATTGGATGGTCACACAATTCTAGTCCTAGGGACCTCTGGCCTGTTACATTGTGATCCATTTACACACGTTATTGGTTTGTTTTGATTTATTGCGATCTGTGTTCCAGGATTTCATTGTGTTTTGTTTTTTGTTTTTTTTTCTTTCTTAATTTTGAACTTCATTTGAAAAAAGTTGCTTAGTTCATTTGTGTATGTATATTAAACACTAATTTTGTATTTGCGGTTATTCATGCTAAATATTGGAAATTGTCACTTTGTATTGTGCCACTTGCCTGGTAAACTTAGCAGTAAAACATTTGAAGTCCATTGTTTTCAAACTTTCCGCTGGCAATAAATTATTGTCTACCACCAGTAGTGTTTTTTTTTTTTTTGTGCCAGAAAGCTAGCGTAAAAATTTAACTTGCGCTTACTGACAACAGAGCAGATGCAGCATTACAGGAAGTGCTCGTCTTGTCTGGTGTCTGACACATTTTTATTATGTTTTTCTTACTGGTGATGCTTGTGTGTGTAGATGTATAATCACAGTGTCCACTTTGCATTTGTACAGCACCAACTTATTCAGCACAGCTTTACCATATTATAATGAGGGAAATTTTCAAGAATAAATGAGACCGTTGCAAAGTGTTGCAGGAACAATGGGTTGAGGACCCTGTTCAAATCAAACAAGCTTCCTATATCATTATTATTATTGCCATTTATATAGCGCCAACAGATATCTGTAGCGCTTTACAATATCATGAGGGGGATTTAACTATAAATAGGACAATTACAAAAAACTTACGTGAACAATAGGTTGAAGAGGACCCTGCTCAATCGAGCTTACATTCCTTAGTATGTTCTTACTAGCAGCTGAACCCTTTTAAAGAGAGGAAATATATTTTTGACTCCATGCATAGCTTTTCCAACTAAGTTGACCTCAGTTTATTTTTTTTATTTTTTTGTCAACCCTCCTTGTTATCCTGGTCTTTGTGCCTGCTTTGCATAGTCGGCCTTGGTGATCTTTTTATCTTGGGTTAGTTTTGCAATTGACTGACTTGGAAGTAGATATGGCTTTAATAGCAATTCAGTTGTATATAGTTAAAGATGGCTCTTTATTGGGGAAAAATAAATAATTGGCGTTATTAACACTGGAATTCTGTTTTGCAGCTGCCTCTATCCTTTTTTGTATTGCATTTTGCTTTGTTTGGTCATGTAACCTGTGCAAGGCTAAAACCTTCTGACTCTGCCTTTTCTTTGATCTGCATATAGAATAACCTTGTTCAAGGGTTGAACTGTGCACTCCGCCACATTTCTCTCTAAATGTGTGCACACCGCCCTGGTTGTTAGATCGTTTGTTTTATGTATTTTTGTTCAATTATTTACAATATAACTAAGTTTATTCAATCAAATCAAAATGGCAAACTGGGACCATAGTTAGGCTGGAATCTGCTTTTTTGCTCCAAAATGTGCAATTTAGATATTGACTAGAATTTGGCATTTAGTGAATAAATTCCATTTATATGCCTTCTTGTCATACATGCAGTTTTTTCCCTCATGTGCATGCTTTTAAATTTATGCACAAGACACAAGTGACCAGATCCATGTTCAGAGACCATTTAAATGTGTTGGTCATTTAACACAAAGTGACACAATCTTAATGTTAAAAACTGCCCATCTGGTATGCCAATGATATTCAGCAAAAAAAGGCATAATTTTTTTTAATTTTATACATTCGTTTTTTGTTTTTTTTTTTACATGAATACTTGTAATGCTTTTGAAGGAAAATCTATCAAATTGTCTTCCACATTATATAGAATGTTTATTCAGCATGAACTATTGATTAGGTATGTAGCAGGAGGCTGTATGTTCATGTGATAGTTATATTTTTAGTAAATGAAATTCCATTAATCCAAGTTAATGGAACTTTTTTTATTTAGAGAGAACATGCACTTTTTCACAATAAAAAAAAAACCAACTTAGAAAATAAAGTTCAAAAAAAGACATTGACCCCATTGTTGTACACACAATGTACACTTTTTTAATTTGCATATCTGCAAACAGGAGTGATCAACCTATTAAACGATAGTTCACCTTGCAATAAATTCATCATGATATATGTATTTCTGATGGTGTATAACAAAAGCAGTTCTTGTCTGACTGTTAAGTCTTCATATTTAGAATGTTTCTGATTAGTTTAACAACCAGGTTGTAAAATGGTTTAAAATTATGCTTTAAATAATCTGGCTAGTGTTTTTAAGTCTAATTTCAATGTAAATGGTGCCCTGTATAGCATGGCTCAACATATAAATTCCGTGCACCCTCCAGGCTAGAGTGGCTTGTAACTTTTTAAGTCTTTCTGGTAACCTTGGACTTAAAATCTGAATGCATGCTAAACTTTATTAGGATCCAATTTATGGGATAGTTACTATACAGCAGTGCTTAAAAATTTGAAGTGCTGTATTTATTCAGGGTTTTTAAAAACCTAATCCACGTGCTTGAGTTGAGCCCCTATTTTGTTTTTGTGTGTGTATATATATGTGTGTATATATATATGTGTGTGTGTATATATATGTGTGTATATATATATATGTGTGTGTGTGTGTGTGTGTGTGTATATATATATATATATATATATATATATATATATATATATATTTATTCCTACCTAGCACACTCACAAACTGTCCCCTTAGATCAATTGTGAAACTTTGCCTGCAGATTGTGGATTCAGTGAACTTTCTGAACTAATCCTACTCGGTTAATGTTTTATAAATCTATAATCTTGATATTAATTTTTGTCAAGATCTCTTGACGTATCTTATTATTTTTCTGTTTTCGTGCTACCTCATTGTGTCTAGACCACAATAAAATATATTTTTCTTTGTGAATCGTGTATAGAAACTGTTTGGTGACTTTTGTCTTGTTGTTCCAATGTATAAATATTTATAAGTTGGGACAGTTTTTATAAAACTGACAAACTCTGGCTGTGACTAAAGGACTCCACAATAACTCTGCAATTTTAGTTTTGCATTTAATGAACCAATAAAATGTAAACAATATGGTTCTAATAAATGAAGCATTGCTGAATACAAAATCTTGAAATTAAACTTTTTGATTTAAAACATTTTAAGGATCACATTTATTTGAAACCATGGATGCATTGTTAGCATATAAACCCAGAATAGAACAGAAGTTTTGTGTACAGATTGCTTTTCTGAGAAATATAAAAATTAAAATTATGTAACGATTACGCAATTTATTTTTTTTACTTATTCATTCAGCTTTTATGAAAAAAAATGTCAAAATATTTGGGAAATTACAAGATTTAGACCATATACAGTGTTTTTATCTAGCAATATTTCACTCAGGGACCACATGGTGGGATAAATATATCTGGTTATTATGTTAATGTGGCAACTCTACTCCTTCTAGTAGCTCTATACCGGACAACCGCTAGATGCTTTTTAACCAAATGTAGAAATTGCAGTTTCTCAAAAATGGCAATATGCTACTTTGTTGGAGAAAAGGGACAGCAACTGTGCACAAAACATTTGGTGCTTAATTTCTTTTTAAGGGTCATTTAAGGTTGGAGTTGACCCATCTCTTTTAAAATCATTAAATGGTTAATGCATGAAAAATACTTATTTGACATTCTTGTTTTTTCTTATAAACCCCCCAAAGTCTTCAGCTTCTACAGTTGGCTGTGCTCAGACCAGGAAGCAACCAGGCAAAAAAAACTCTGCTCTATTAAATGTGTATTTTTTTTTTTGTTTGTTTTTTTAAATGCAATACTGGTCTTATCCCACAAATCACTTCTAGCATTTCTTCATTGTTGCAAAAGATTTAATTGAACCTCAGCTTTGGCTGCCACGCTGCACACTATGAATCCTCCATGTTCCATTTTGCGTATTATCTTGCCTTTCTTAGACTTCCAATACTTCCTGCCCTTTATTTAAATCATGCACACAAACATCATTTATTGATCTTTCCATACACTTTTCTATGCATCCCCCATATCCCTTCAATCATTCCCATCCCCCTTCCACTTGGCACTGTGCTGTTCTTTTTTCCTGCTGCAATCTTGCATCCCTTAAAGCTAGCAAAATCCCGCCCTTAACATCACCTTTTTTCCCATCTCAATTGTTTCGCTCCCACTCATTTCATACCAACCACTTTTTCCCACCATACTGCAACACTATCCAAGTCCAGTTCCTTTAAAGGAACACTATAGTCTCCTAAATTACTTTAGCTAAATAAAGTAGTTTTAGTGTATAGATCATTCCCCTGCAATTTCACTGCTCAATTCACTGTCATTTAGGAGTTAAATCATTTTGTTTCTGTTTATGCAGCCCTAGCCACACCTCCCCTGGCTATGATTGACAGAGCCTGCATGAAAAAAAAATGGTTTCACTTTCAAACAGATGTAATTTATCTTAAATAATTGTATCTCAATCTCTAAATTGAACTTTAATCACATACAGGAGGCTCTTGCAGGGTCTAGCAAGCTATTAACATAGGGGATAAGAAAATCTTAATTAAACAGAGCTTGCAATAAAGAAAGCCTAAATAGGGCTCTCTTTACAGGAAGTGTTTATGGAAGGCTGTGCAAGTCACATGCAGGGAGGTGTGACTAGGGTTCATAAACAAAGGGATTGAACTCCTAAATGGCAGAGGATTGAGCAGTGAGGCTGCAGGGGCATGTTCTATACACTAAAACTGCTTCATTAAGCTAAAGTTGTTCAGGTGACTATAGTGTCCCTTTAATTTTTAATTGTCCATATTGGCAAGGCTAGATTTCATTTTACCCTCTCACCTAGCTACTTTTCACTTGAATCTATAGATCTTTTAGTCTTTTTAAAAATAAATTTTTAAAAATCACACTGCCCAACCCCCTGTGACCAAATACCACACACATTTTCTTTTCTTTTCTTTCCTTCCCCCGTTCCTCCGTATGTATGAATGTCTCCTCCAGGCTTGACTATTCCATCTTCCCTCACTCATGCAAAAGGGCAATCATTAAGCATTGTCTTTAAATCAGCTGTTGATGTAGCCCTCTTATCTTCTGGTCCACCATTACTTCAATTAATATAGTTTAGGTTTCTGAATTTAGGAATGTACTGTGAGAAATTAAAAATGAGAAATTAAAGATTAAGATGTCTCATTATTGGGGTACATACACTTTTTTAAATTACATTTTTAAAATTTTCTGCTTTCCATGCAATAATGTAGGAAGCGGTTTTATAGTGCCCTTGTGTTCACTGAGAATCCCAGTGAGGAAATCTGCATTCCCATTACTTAAAAATAAAAAAAATCTATAAAAATTTACTTATCCCTTCTATTTTGGAAAATGTATGTGATGTGTGAAAAATAAAATGTAGCGGTCAAAATTTTTAACAAAAAATTTACAATTCTTTCAATGCCAGTATAGGTCTTTTCTGCAGCTCAATCATCTCCTGGAGTCGTGAAGCATGATTTAATGTTTTTTCATTTTATTCAGATGTTTCTCATATAAAAGCATTAAGGATATGTTGCATGTATGACAATTGTCATCGTCTGGAAATCTGATGCTTCTCAGACAAGCTCTGAATTCATTGCTTCTTATCTAGAACCATAAGACATACATTGCCTGGTGTCTGCATGCTTTGCCCACATATACTGAATGTCAGCTTCAGTAGTTGAGTAGCAAAATATTCAGTGTTCTCTCAAGCTGCACTGTTCATTTGCAAGGCTGCAGATGCAGCATCCATACCCCAAAACCACTTCATTAGGACAAAGTGATTTTTGTTTTTTAGACTCTTGGGCAATCTAGTTCTTTGCCCAGTGGTATACTTTCCAAATTTTAAATTGTTACTCTTCATTCAATTAAATCATGTCTTATTATTGTAGCCACAGCATTTGTTTTCACAACCCGGTCTTTATTTAACTTATTTATTACTGGTATTTATAAAGCACCAGCAAATTCTGCAGCGCTGCACAGTTAGTGGAGAACGTACAATATACACAAATACAAAAGGTAGAGAGAGGCCTGCCAGTAAGCTGACATTTAAGCTCTTTTATACAAAGTGCTTAGCTACATGGCCCGTGAGCTTACAATCTAAAGGGTACTGTGGGAATTTGAGACAAGAGGTAGCATGGGCTTAAACATGGGAGATACCTATATTGCCACATATAGTCCTAGGTAATTATTGCCATGCTAGGGCAGAGTTGATATAAGAACATCCCTACTGCTCTGTTCAAAGGTAGCATATGCATGTTGCCAATGCATCACACAACCCTACAGTAGCCAAACGTAAGTAGATCAGGTTGGTTTTTTTCCTCCTCCTTACAGTTGTCCTAAACTGGAGTATTGTGTCCTCATGGTTTGTCCCTGTAGGTTGTGGATAATCTTGTTTTGATTTATTTGTATGTGTGATTACATTCATGCTAAATCTTCAATTCAGCTTTGGAAAGACAAAAACATGGTTAATGTGAGCTCATATTCTGGTTGGTTGTCTTTATTTTTTTGTAAAATTTTCTTTTCTTTCTTCATTGTACTGCTCTGCATTAATCCATTTCCTGCTTCGTTGTTAAGCTACCAACTCTAAAATACTTCCTTTTCACTCATGACATGGTTGCTGCCCACAGAATCAATACTATTTACTATTTTCTGCAGTGTTCAGCTTTTTTTTTTTATCCCCCTTTTAATCTGATGTGGGGCATCTTCCTATCTGACTTGTATTCCACAAGCCTGTACTATCTTGTGCCACATGCAAAATTCAAAGCTGGTATTACTCCTAAGTTATAGCGTCTACACGTTACAAAAAAGTTTTACACAAATAGCTTTGTTTTAAACTGGGGGTGATTTAAGCCAAGCATTAGTGCTTTTGGTTCTGCTGCTCCTCAATTGGATTACTCTTGAAAGCTAAAATTAACCACATTTGTAGTTAATTGTAAGCAAGCAAATTAATACCAATTACATGCAATTTAACTTTGTGCTGTATAATTACAAACACACTTTTTATTAGTTCATTGTCTTCACTTCATTATGCATTCTGGCTGTAAAAGGTGTTGGTGTGTTTTCGGTGAATATAAGCAAGGGTTATGTTTCACATTTACAAAACTCCAAAATATCTACTTTTGGAAATGGCAGATTATAGTGAGGTGCGTACAGCAGATAGTGTTTTAGTGCATTATTGCTGGGTGAGGCAAATTGTTTGGATTTTTTTTTTTTTTTGGATACTAGTTTACGGAACACAAAATGGAATTGTGCAGCAAGGCTCCTGTTTGGTATGTGAGATCCTATGGCAACATTTGCACTGGATTACTGTTAAGCACTGCACTTCTCCCTGATCCTGCCATACAATGCACAAAGAATGTGTTTGGACGAGCCCATCCATAGATCTTAAAGCGTTTTATGTCGTGTTTCTAAATGGAGATGTTGTCTTTTGTACAAGCAGAACCAGAAAAATGTAACACTTTTTTTTGTTTTTTAATATTTTTGAAGGGAATTGTGTAGCAAATTGGGGCTTTACTAAGCAGTTGTATTTCTACAAATGTAGCAAAAGGGTTTATAGGACTACAAATAAACATGTGGGTGGTTTTACTGTTGTAAAAGGAAAAACAAATTACAAAAATACTCTTTTGCGAGAGGCTCAGGTCACACATATCCAGATGGTCTTTGTTTTTTAAGGAAGAGAGGGAATCCTATCTATTGCTCTAGGCGTAGTAGCCCTCTGTTTTCCTCTCCTCCCACACCCCCTCCAGCACTGCTATTCTGCAGGGCAGCTGGGCCATTGCAAATGGCAGCAATGCCCCTCCCAGCTCAGTATTCCTCAGGCAATAGGAATGAGGAATGTGAAATTTGAAGTAGGCATTCCATTGCCTTCCCGCCCCCCATCAATCAATGAAGGGGATTCTCACTTGCATGGAGACAGAACTGAGCTATTCAGAAACCTGACCCCTTTACATTTTCAGCAGCTCAGAATCTCCCTCTACAAATTGCATTAAAGGTCTGTGAGTGTATAAATAGGAAATGGATTTACTTCAGGGCTTTGATTGGCATTATTTACCAATTGTAACTGGTGTACTATATATATTTACAAGGATTTTAATGGGTCACGGTTGCCTACCCCTGATCTAGATAGTGGTGCAAATATGATGGCACTTGTAAAGTTTATTCTATTTTATAAGCGGTTATAGTGAAGACCTTTTGGATCTTAGACTGCTGCTTGACTGTAAAACCTTTTTATTTTGCTCACAATGATATGGTGTTTTAACGTTTCTGTGGGATGTAACGTATCATTGTAAATGTTTGTCAATTTGCAATAAAACAAAAATTCAAATTATATGCTTAATTAAATTTCATATTTTTTTTATTTTTTTTTAACAGGTCTTGGACAGTCTTTTAGCGCAGTATGGAACAGTCGAAAACTGTGAACAAGGTACACAATCTGTTAAGATCATTGTTTATTTTAAAATCTATAAATTCGAATGTGTTAATACCATTCTTTTTTTTTTTTCCTCTCCGTAGTGAATACTGACACAGAGACTGCTGTAGTGAATGTAACATATGCCAATAAGGAGCACGCAAGACAGTAAGTATATTATGGTGTGCAGAATGCTTGATGATACCATTGTGAAACCTGTTTGTGTATTGTAACACTTTAGAAACCAGAGTATGACCTTTGTCTTGTATACAACCGCCCTCATGTGTTCATTAATTATTGTGAGCTGCAGAGCCAGATAAATTGGCAGTGTGATGCAGGATGACTATGGCTGTGTGTCATGTAGAACAGTGAATTTAAAATCTACCAGTATCCATTTTCTCGCTGTACACAGTGCTGGATCTGTATGGATGCTGTAGCCATTCCACTCTGCTTCAACACATGGCTGAGAGTATTTGTAATTTTATTCCCCACCCATTTTACCACTACATAGCAAGGATGCAGTGCTTGTGTGTAAAGCAGGAACGCACTTGGCTTGGAAATTCCTGCCACCTAGTGGCTGTCATGAGTATTGACAGCACTCGCATGGAGGTAATATGGAATGGTTTGGTGTCAGTGAGCTTAATGAGCCGCCTTGTCCTGCTTTAAATCCAAATTTTGCAAATGTATTTTATTTTTGTTTAATCTCAAAATGTCTCTTGCATCTTTGAGGAACAGCTGGAGACAGAATTGTTGCTTGATGGAGAACTATTGCTAATCATTTCAGAAGATAAGTTTACACCTGAAAGCCCTTCTAGCTGCTCTGCATGACTTGCTGGGCATCATGCAGTCCATATGAGAGGTTACTTGTACAACAAATGGTGTAACTTTGTTTAACTCTGGTAAACAGTGAGCAGCCAGAGTAGGGGTATATTATTTACTAATACTAAGTAATTTTTACTTGGTATTAGTAAATGTGGCTGAAAGACAAATTTAGGTCTTTCAGCCTTTTAGTAGATAGCTCCCTGATACCGTGGGAATTAGGGAGTTATCTACTAAGCGGCTGCAAGGTGCAGCCACAGCATGAATAGGATCAGTTTCATTCATTCGCATGAAATTGCGATCCGAATAAAGTGCCGAATTGCGTTCTAAAAGAAACGAACATACTGTTCTCATTCAGTTAGAACGCAATTCGGCAGTTTCGTGTAAAGTGACAGGAAGCATCGCGGGAACACAGAGGGAAGGTAAGGATCATGGGAAAATTGCTCTGACCAGCGGAAATGAAGCACACTTTGCTCCTCTGCTGGTCAGAGCTGGTCAAGCGGAGGAATCCTCCATAAGGCAAAGAGTCCCTACTTTGTCTTATGATTTTAAAGAAAACTAAAGACAGGAAGAAAAGAACAGATCCTGAGAGAGGGGGAGAAGAGGAAGAGTTTGAGGAAAGGTAAGTTTGGCATGACAGTGCCGCTTTAAGTATTGTGCTATCTCATTAGAAGTGCTTACACTCTTGCATCTGGACATTATGCCGTCTGGGTGCAAGGCTGATGAATTGCAGGATTGACCAATAATTTGACAGGGGTGGGTTGCAAGGCTGACGGATTGCACCAAAGGGGAGACAGACCACAACAAACTGCAGCGTTAGAATAAGCATGTTCTAATCGTGAGACTTGAATCCAGGGTTTCATAAGCTCTGCAAAGGCTGCTTGGAGAAATAGCCTTGGAGGTCACAAATGGAGATAAATATATTTTATTCTGAGTTGTTGCCACTGCATCTAAATTAAAGCACTGTCAAATGCACGCCAAAGATCGGAGATCTGGCTCTTTGACAGCTGGCACCAAGACCGCTATGGAACCAGGTGGCATGCTTGGCAACCACCAGTAAGAGTTCCAGCTGCAGCTAACTGCACCAAAGCAGAACATTTTCAAGTTAGACACCTCTAAAGGCTGCAGTACATGTGACAGTGGTGTTGGTTTTCTGCCTAAGTTATGGAAGTAGACGTGTGTGATCTAAAAGTACAGTAGTTTAGCAGTCGAGATGTCCAATCCATAGCTGAAGTGCTTTCAAGTTATAATCTTTAATACTGCTATAATTTTGAATATCCTTGCTTGAATCTGTTTTGTTCAGTGAAGGAAAATGTTAACAGGGCTTAAAATTTAGGTCCTGTTCCTCTAGCTCTTCTATAATTTGTAATCCACTGCAAGCATGGAGATTCTATTCACCAGGGCTGATTTTTCACTCAAATAGTGTGAAGTGCGAATTTTTGAGCCCTGTGTCAGTATAAATTCTTGTCCACTGTGTAAATGACCTATTTGGCTAGGGAGAGACCTGTACTGTAGTGGTTATGGTGCTTGGGGTGTTCCTTTTGTTTTTATCTTCTGGTAAAATATATAGCCAAAATGTTATACTGAAGTTGAGGGGTATTATCCCTCTGGCCAAGTGTACATGTTATGGAATAGGCTTTATATCCAAGTTTGAATGCTTTTCTAATCCAACTACTGAATGCATAATATCTTAATTTCTTTAAATTAGGGGACTCGAAAAACTGAACGGTTACCAGCTTGAAAATTACTCACTGAAGGTAACTTATATTCCTGATGAAATGGCCACACAACAAGCACCCTCTCAGCAACTACCGCAACAGCCGCAGCAGCAACACCCACAAGGGAGGCGAGGGTTTGGGCAAAGGGGGCCACCCAGACAGGGGTCCCCTAGTGCTGCTGCAAGACCTAAACCTCAGTCAGAGGTTCCACTGCGAATGCTGGTCCCCACTCAATTTGTAGGAGCTATTATTGGAAAGGAAGGAGCAACAATCAGGAACATCACTAAACAAACTCAATCAAAGTAAGTATCTTTCATTTGCTACACTGCTTAATAACCCAGCACATAAAATGTCTCCCGGATATATTAAGATGGCTATTGGTAAAATATACCGAATAGAACTACCTATATTAAATGGGAGTAACAAAATAGGAATTCCTTTTGAGTGCCTAGTTGGTATGACACATTTTACTTGGTAGTCAATCGAGCCAGAATAGCTGGTATCTTGTACTTGTATATGGGGAAGGCCGGGAGATACACAAGAAGTCTAGGCTTTAATATAATTGTAATATAGAAATTTTGGAGCAAAGGAAGCGTAGCGGTTTAATTCCTTATAGATCAAAACCTGGTCTTGAACTCCTTAAAACCGGAGGGTGTACTATTACGCCCTATTCTAAGCGGCTCTAAACACCGGAGGGCGTAATAGTACGCACTCCGTTTTTTTATTTTTTTTGTGTGTTTTTTTTAACTTACCCGGTTGACTGATTCTGCCTCCTCTGGCCCCACCCCCGGCCATGTGGGAGGACCTCACAATCACATGGTCGGGATAGCTGGCTGCTGCATTGCCAGCAGGGGGGACTGCCTGTAATGACATTCCCTCTGCTGGCTGCAAATCAAATTAAAATCAGTGTAAAAGATAAATAAAAAGTTATATATTTAGATCATATATACAGACACACACACTGTCTAGGTGTACTTTACTATTAATATTTATTAATATCAAATTACACGTAGACTGATACTGATTAAATATATATAATTATTTTTATATATAATATAAAAAAAAATGTAAATACGTTAAAAAATAAAATGTGTAAAATTATTAAAACTAAATAATTAAAAAATCTATAGATGTTATTTCGTTCTAACTATTGTGATATTAATATATATTTATATCAAAATACACGTATAACAAAATATATCTATATACATAAATATATACGTGTATATATACCTATATATCCAAAAAAATTTTTTAAATTATATATACATATATATATATACATACACGTGTGTGTGTGTGTGTGTGTGTATGTATGTATGTATGTATGTATATATATATATTTTTTATTATTTTTATGTAATATTTTTACATAATTAGGTATCTTAATTAATTACAATTAGCGGGACCTGCCTGACAACCCATGCCGAAAGTATAGGGAATTTAATTTGCTAGCACTATATTTAACCCTATAACTTTCCAAGACACCATAAAACCTGTACATGGGGGGTACTGTTTTATTTGGGAGACTTTGCTGAACACAAATATTAGTGTTTCAAAACAGTAAAATGTATCATAATGATGATATTGCCAGTAAGTGAAATTTTTAGCATTTTTCACACACAAACAGAACTTACACGGACGATATTATTGCTGTGATACTTTTTACTGTTTTGAAATACACAAATTTGTGTTCAGCGAAGTCTGCCGAGTACAACAGTACCCCTCATGTACAGGTTTTATGGTGTTTTCAAAAGTTGTTTCATTTATTTCACATTAACATTTGCCAGATTGGTTACGTTGCCTTTGAGACCCTATGGTAGCCCAAGAATGAAAATTACCCCATATGATGGTGTTTGTAACCAAATGGCTACTAAAAATAACAGCTTTAAATAGCTTTAAAAAAAAATAATAAAAATTTTCCAAGGCATTTCATTTTTTGTGCATCTCTTTTAAAATGTGACTGTAGCAGGCTGCGATACACTAGTTCTATATTTAGAAGCACAGTGTAATAAACTAGGAGCATAGTGATGGAATCTTTAATTGAAGGAACTTCATAGAGAAGGTTTTTGTCGTCTTGCTGCCATTTACAACTTATTTATTAGCAGTTAATCTATTGTTTAAAACTTGCATTTGATAAGTGCAACAATTCTAAGTGCAAGTTACACTTGAGTAGTTATTTATTTTTCTTCAGTTCGGTAACCCTGCATTCTATAGACCTTCATAACTACACAAAAATGCTACCCTATTTCACTAAATGAAGTACTTCAATAGTCTCTCTACTGGTCAGTTCCTCCTCTTTCCTAATTACATTATCTGTTTCTTTGCCAGTGTCTGACACTCCCGCTTTCAGTGTGTGGTCTCTCTCTACCTAGGGGCGTGAGCCTCTCCGTGTGTCTTTCAGTTTACCAGAACATGAAAATTTAAAGGACATAGTATATAGAACTGGATAGACGAGTCAAACTGTGGTCTTTGTCTATAGTTCCTTGCAAGATATAATTCGGTAATAGGATGGCTGGTATTTATGGGATTTGTCTGTGACTGTAGAGTCTTGACTCACCGGTTCGAGGAAAATGATTGGGTCGGTATACATTTTTTTGATAGGAGTTTAGTAATTTATGATTGTTCCTTCTGCTAGAATCGATATACATCGTAAAGAAAATGCTGGAGCCGCAGAGAAGCCTATTACAATTCATTCGACTCCCGAAGGCTGTTCAACCGCTTGTAAAATAATTATGGAGATCATGCAGAAGGAGGCTCAGGACACCAAATTGTAAGTAAAGACCATGTGAGGTGTAAATTATCATAACTATTTTGCGGTCCCCTCTATAGTTCAGTATTGGTTACTGCCTGGGGACTGAAGGTCTGCCATTTGCTAAAATCCGCTTAATTTGTTGGCAGACTATAATATTGCATTTCTCTCCAAATCTACACTGGACCAATGGAATTTGGTTTCAGCACAGGAGTTTGTGCAGTAATGTGCATTGTAAGAGAATCTATAGGGGGAAATGCTTAAGGAACTTAAATGCAGTGCTTCTAAATTGGATTGTTTGTGTGAAACAAACTCTACTTTCAGTCCTCTTCATTACAGAAATTCCTTTTTTGCCTTGACTGATTTTCATCCCTTTATATTTAAGTCAATTCGGCATCATAAATTACCTACCCCTTCTGTGATGCCACTCCACCGCTAAGCAGTAATTGGTGTAGAATTTTAAAAATATCCAAACTATCTTCATGTTCCACCATAGACTGTCTAAGCTTAAAAAATGTTTGCCGATGTGTTTACCACTACTAGCTGTATATCAATCTGTAAAATGTTTCCATCAAATATAGGAAGCTTATTAGTTTAATATATTTTGCATTTTTGAGTTAAACTTTCTCAAGATCATGTTCAAGTTATTTGGCAGCTGAATGGACTAAAGCCATTAAAGGAACACTATAGTGCCAGGAAAACATATTCGTTTTCCTGGCACTATAGTGCCCTGAGGGTGCCCCCACCCTCAGGGTCCCCCTCCCGCCCGGCTCTGGAAGGGGGAAAGGGGTAATAACTTACCTTTTTCCAGCGCTGGGCGGAGAGCTCTCTCCTCCTCTCCGCCCCCGACCGCCGCCGTTGAATGCGCCGCTAAGAGCTGCGCGCGATTCAGCTTCGTCGCATAGGAAAGCATTTACAATGCTTTCTATGGACGCTTGCGTGCTCTCACTGTGAAAATCACAGTGAGAAGCACGCAAGCGCCTCTAGTGGCTGTCAATGAGACAGCCACTAGAGGATTAGGGGGAAGGCTTAACCCATTCATAATTATAGCAGTTTCTCTGAAACTGCTATAATTATGAAAAAATGGGTTAACCCTAGAAGGACCTGGCACCCAGACCAGTTCATTAAGCTGAAGTGGTCTGGGTGCCTAGAGTGGTCCTTTAAGCAAATCATTGCACATCATGGCTGCACAATGGCAGCCTAGTTACATTGCAGGATTAGGGTATGCCAAGATTTAGGAAAACCAAAGGTACTGCTCTCAGTCTACTTGCAGCACCACCGCTACCACAACAACCATACACTTTAGGACAGGCCTGCACAACCTGTGTCCCACCTTCCCCGATGTATTGAACTATAACTCCCATGATTCCCTGGCTCTCTGTTTCATTTAATGAATCATGGGTGTTGCAGTTTAAAACATTTGGGGTTGCTGCAGGTTGTGTAGGCCTGCATTAGGGTGTCTGCTACACAGATCTTACAGTGACACCAAGCACCAAAGTGTACACCATAATACCTGTAAATAGGCATCAAAGTCTTTAGCTGCACTACTCAGTGGTGCATCCTGGTTTTGTGCTTCCCTAGGCAGGACAAAACTGACGCGCGCACGCACTGACGCGCGCACGCACACAAACACTCACTTAGCACAAGGCTAACGACATTTGCCTGGGCATTTGGGGCGGCTTTTTTTTTTGCCGCCCAAGGCAAATGCCTTGTTTGCCTCGTGGCTAAAACGTCCCTGGCACTACTAAAGTGTTTTTTGTAAGACTCTTTTCTTTGCATTTGCTTAAGATTCTATAAATAGTGGCAGCATATTGATAGCTTGATAAGATGTGCATTTGATTGTGCTGTTGGCTCTGTCAAGGACTCTGCAGCTCAGTGTAGCACTTGTTTGCTTCCTTGTACTAAATCTTGTATTTATTTTTTAGTACTGAAGAAATTCCTCTAAAAATATTGGCACATAACAATTTTGTGGGTCGCCTCATTGGCAAAGAAGGAAGAAATCTGAAGAAGATTGAGCAGGACACAGACACAAAAATAACAATCTCTCCGTAAGTTTGCATTTTTATTGTTCTTTCTCCACTGCATTGCATTGTGTTCCACCATCGTTATGCATTTATAATTTGTTTCTGCTTTTTGACCTCAGTTTGCAGGACCTAACACTGTACAATCCCGAACGTACCATTACGGTAAAAGGCAGTATTGAGGCATGTGCCAAAGCAGAAGAAGAAGTAATGAAAAAAATTAGAGAATCCTACGAAAATGACATTGCTGCTATGAATGTAAGTGATTGTTCTGCATGTTCTGAATGGGTGGGAAGTAGAAATGTATTCCTATAGCATTGTACAGCCTTTAGCATAAGGCTGCAGAGGAAATGATCAAATCCAAATGGAATGATTGCTTCAGAATCTTTAGGACTCTGCAGAAAGTTCAGCCTTGCTGGAAAGAACTGGATTTAACCCTTTGTGTTCATTTCTTTTAATGTATTACAGCATATGTGCTAAAATTACAAAGATTTTATACCGTTTGCAATAATTGTTACAAGAAAGCTATAGGTGGTGTACAAATGTAGTAGAAACATACTTATTTAAAAAAAAAAAGTGTGTGTGTGTGTGTGTCCTAAATGTTAACCCCAATATGAAACCTTATTTCCTTTGCCTTTCTATATTCAAAAGTGTGTTGGTAGAAATCCCTAAGCGGATCCATATCATGCATCTTGTGATTTTTAAGATGCTCTCAAAAATGAGTCGGTCCAGCTGGACCATTCCTAGTGTATGAGTTTAGAAACTAGACTTGTGGGCAGAATCTCTAGCAATATTTAAACTCTGATCTTCCCTCGAAGAATCAATTGTGGTGAGTGAGCTGTGAATGGGATGTCTTGAAGAATCCATTGCTTCAGTATGTCACAATGGAAGAATTCTTTCAGTTTCAAGATTTGACCAGTATTCATATATGCAAATGGTGCATACGCTTCCTATTTTACCACTTTCTATCTATGACTTTTTGGAGATAATCTGTACGTTTCATAGTAGCAAAGCCTAGGCAGTTTTGTGGCCTGATACCATAGTCCGTAAAACTGTTTTAATATTGTGTTGATGCATGTTTAAACATTTACAGCATATTATGTTGCACTCTACAGCTGATGTAATTTAAACTGTTCTAGGTTTCAAGATAATCTACCATGATTTAATTATTTTATATTCCTTAACTGCAAAATTATGAATCTACTTAATGGTTTCTAAAGTGCCAAATCTGATCTTAATTCATCACCATGTTCCCATTTATTTATTTATTTATTTATTTTTACAGTTGCAAGCCCATTTGATTCCTGGTTTAAACCTAAATGCGCTGGGTCTGTTCCCACCATCTTCATCAGGAATGCCACCTCCCTCAGTTGGTGTTTCCTCACCAACCACATCCTCTTCATATCCACCATTTGGGGTAAGTGGTGTTGTCATGTGTGGTCCGCATCATAAAAAGTTAACGTTATTGCAAATGGCACGACCACCGGACAAATCTAAACTGGGGGATGTTGTGTTTAGTCTTGTACATTGTTAAACAGAGATCTGCACGCCACATAAATGTATTGCAGGATTTCTCCGCTCCCCTACGGGGTACAGGTTGATTGCTTATCGTCTCTACTAGGAACTGGGTTGTTCCAGATAGGCCATAGAAGGCTCTGCAAATAGACTAACTACAGCTAACTTGACACATTAACATGTATGTACTAATTCCACTAAGAGCTGGTTGATTGTACCTGTTATATTTTTTTTTGTATGTTTTACCTAGAAAATCAATAAAAATTCATACAACGAAAACAATTCAGTGTAGGTTGCCTCTATAGGGTCCTATCTATCAATTCCACATACAAAAGTCACTAATTTTTACAACACTAGAACAATCATAGGTCTCCATTCTGATTGTAGACTTATTGACCACAACATTAACTTTCATTTCAGCAACAGCCTGAATCGGAGACTGTTCATCTTTTCATCCCGGCATTAGCTGTAGGAGCTATAATTGGCAAGCAAGGACAACACATCAAGCAACTTTCCCGCTTTGCAGGAGCCTCAATTAAGGTAGTTTGTTTATTCTAGAAGTACTTCGACTGCAAGGACGAAGATCTGTAAAATCTAACAAGCTGATTAAACATTGGCTAAAATACTGTATGGAGTCTTTCCATTTTCGTGATTTGGTTATTGGTGACTTCTGCTCGGCTAATGTGCATCTATTTTCCAATTCTAGTATTTTATTGGTATTCCTCACTTGTGTGTGTGTGTGCATGCTACCTACCTGACCTACTACAGACAGGTGAACTTCTTGGGCTGCAGTAGAGGAATTTTAATACTTAATTATGTACTAAAGTATATACAGGCCTGATACATTTCCTTTTGAATTCCAAGTGATGAAGCTTTTGTGCTTTTTCCTAATATGACCTTTTAACCCTCTCTTTAACTCCTTAAGGACACATGACATGTGTGACATGTCATGATTCCCTTTTATTTCAGAAGTTTGGTCCTTAAGGGGTTAGATGATCACTATAGGGTCAGGAACACAAACATGTATTGCATTGCCATTTTGGCCAATCAGGACCTCCTCATAGAGATGCATTGATTCAATGCATCTCTATGAGGAAAATTCAGCGTCTCCATGCAGAGCGTGGGGACATTGACCGGCAGGGCATGCATTCTGTTCAGCAGTATGTCCCTTTAGTCTACAATTACTTTAGAAGCACTGCACTATAAAATCTTGGCTCGTGTCTAGTCAAGGAAAACTCTTCATATTTTCCATGTGTATAGACTGACCCTGCAGTCATGAGTGTGTTCGTATTAGTCTGATGGTCATAAATGCCAGCCAGGTATATTGTGTTGGTCAGGTTACCGTATGAGAATTTTCTTTTGACGTGACTTCAATTTTTATAAACCTATGCAGACGTACATACATTTTGGTCACATGATTTGGTTTATACAAAAAGACTTTATGTACTTGCTAAACAAATGAAAATCCAAAGTCACCTGTGATATATTTTCAGATTGCTCCTGCCGAAGGACCTGATGCCAAACTACGAATGGTCATCATCACTGGACCACCGGAAGCCCAGTTTAAGGTATTGTCCTAGTGAACAATTTTCTTTAATTGTGTAACCCTTGGGATCTAGCAAGATTCCATTCTGATACCCCTTTAGAGCAGAGTTTAGTTTTCCATTTCGTTAGTTAAAAGGGAAACTTTAGTCACCAGAACTACAGCTTATTGAATTTGTTCTGGTGAGTAGAATCATTACCTTCAGGCTTTTTGCTGCAAACACTGTCTTTTCAGAGAAAATGCAGTGTTTACATTACAGCCTAGTGATAACTTCACTGGCCACTCCTCAGATAACTGTTAGAGATCCTTCTTGGGTCATGGCTGCCTAAAATGCATCCAAACATTCAGTGTCTCCTCCCGCTGCATGCAGACACTGAACTTTCCTCATAGAGATTTATTGATTCAATTAATCTCTATGAGGAGATGCTGATTGGCCAGGGCTGTGTTTGAATCATGCTGGCTCTGCCCCTGATCTGCCTCTTTGTCAGTCTCAGTCAATCCTATGGGGAAGCATTGTGATTGGATCAGGCCTCCACTTCTGATGTCAGCAGACTGCTTGTTTGGTTTTTTTTTTGTTATGGCAAACCTCATGCAGAGTTACAGCTTCTGGCTTGAATACAGTAAGATTTTGCTATGTTTATGGAGTTATGAGGGGCTCAGGGGGGCTAGATGGTGGTGTTAACACTATAGGGTCAGGAATACATGTTTGTGTTCCTGACCCTATAGTGATCCTTTAATAGTTTGATATTTCTTTAATTTAGTGAAGTTGTGTTTGCATCTTGTTTTGGTCCCAGTTTAGGTATCTCAGCCAGGATATTTACACATTATCATGTGTTCCTTGGAGGTTTAATTGTAGTAACTACCAGTATAGTGAGATCTTTAAGAACATGGTTATCTTCATCTGATGTTGGGGGTAAATTGGGCATTGTGATATGCAGATGTTTATCCAGAACTGTTTTCCTTGAAGGAAGTTGTCTAAAGTGTGATTTGAGAAGATCATACTACACAAGCTAGCCATCTTTTTCTTACTTTTTCAACCATAACAAACATTCCTCTTTCCCTGCAGGATAACGGCACATTACGATTTTGTTTTGTAATGAGAAATGTTACCTTCCATTTCTATATAGAAATGTAGTCGCATCTAAGACTGCAATTAAAAGCCACAAGATGGCACCCTAATGTCCGGATATACAATACGTAGGCTTCATGACTTTTAAGAAAGATTCCCTTTTGTTTTTTGTTTTTTTTAAGGAATCTGATGCATTTAGTGTTGTAATGTATGGACTAAGGTTTACAAGTAGATTTAAACAAAAAAAGTTACAACGATCTATCCGCTCTGACCAATAGCTGGTTGGTTGTTTCTGTTCCCCTTTCCACCTTTTTGCTTTTGTACATAATTTCAGTAGGCAAGAATTCTTGGTGTGGAAGCCTGGCTCACTTCCTATTACGAGCCTTACTCTTTTGCTTGCACGAAGTGGATATATTTGTGACATCTCTGAATGGTAACTAGCTTCCAGTCTAGACAGTCACATGACAAGAAAATCTCTGGGGCAGATTAAAAATACTTTGACATCACAAGTTTGGACAAATACCAAATGAAACGAGAAGTGTTCCAGCAATATGTAATAGAAGCCCTCTTTTAACATGCAGCTTTATGGGAAATGTATGTTTAGAGCTCTGTAAGAATGATGAAGAGCGACTGGCATTGGGGTTGGCTGTTCTAGATGCACAGCACTTGGGAGGGTGGAGGGGAAACGTAAGAACAGTATATATACAAAAGGTTAAAATTGAAGAATAATGCTCCAATCACCTTCTGTGTTACTCAATCCACACAGAGTGCAACATATAAAGTGAATAAACAGGTGAGGGCATAGAAGATAGTGTATAATAGCACACACCTGCAAGTTACTATATTTCAGGGTACAACCTTAAAAGACAAAGAATAACAAATCATAGTATAACCTGTATAAGTAACTGAAAAAATAGAAGAGAAATTATCCCACTCATGTGGTGCTGTGCCGTTTAAAGTGGGCTCAGACTATAAGCGCCTTTTGGGTATATAGAGATGGTTGCTGAGTTCAGATGCTGGAAATTGGTAGTTGGATGTTCCGCTGAATGTTGCCACTTTCCCTTGGTTCTCATTTTGATCTTTTGTATACAGAGAGGGGCTTTCCGCTAATATCTATTAACCACAGTGCATCTTTGCTATGCAGGAGTTTTGTTTTTTTAACTCTGCCAAAAATTTAAACTTTTCTTTTTCACTCACTTTGTACTGTTTAGCTCTGTTAACCCAACATACCCACAGACTCCTAACAAGTCTGAATTATACTTATGCATGCTGTGCTATAGATATTGTGCAGGGTTACAAATAGAAGGGAATAACCCTTCACTATAATGCAAAAGGGACAATCGAACAGGGTTATCCACTAAAGTAAGAATTCAAAGTGAATTTCAAATCGAAGATCGAAACAGACAAACTGAAAAAATTCCAGCTCAGCTGCTTTTGCCTTAATTTCACTTTAGTGAAATACCCTGTAAATGTGTAAGGAATACTCGATTAATGTTATGTTATGTTACCCTCCATGTTGTGTTTTTATAGCTTAAAGGGACGCTATAGTCACCTGAACAACTTTAGCTTAATGAAGCAGTTTTGGAGTATAGAACATGCTCCTGCAGCCTCACTGCTCAATCCTCTGCCATTTAGGAGTTAAATCCCTAGTCACACCTCCATGCATGTGACTTGCACAGCCTTCCATAAACACTTCCTGTAAAGAGAGCCCTATTTAGGCTTTCTTTATTGCATGTTCTGTTTAAGATTTTCTTATCCCTTGCTATCTTAATAGCTTGCTAGACCCTGCAAGAGCCTCCTGTATGTGATTAAAGTTCAATTTAGAGATTGAGATACAATTATTTAAGGTAAATTACATCTGTTTGAAAGTGAAACCAGTTTTTTTTTTTCATGCAGGCTCTGTCAATCATAGCCAGGGGAGGTGTGGCTAGGGCTGCATAAACAGAAACAAAGTGATTTAACTCCTAAATGACAGTGAATTGAGCAGTGAAATTGCAGGGGAATGCTCTATACACTAAAACTGCTTTATTTAGCTAAAGTAATTTAGGTGACTATAGTGTTCCTTTAAGGGTATTTTAACAAATCCCAACTGGCCCACCAGCTATCCTGTTGACTGTTTTGGGAAACCCCTTGTCCCATAACCCGTTCAAGGAGCATATGTGGTTAATGGAGAAATAAAGACAATTACCTTTTATTTTTGTTTGCGGGGGTTCTTCAAATTTCACTTTGCCTTTTACAGTTTTTGTAGCATGGCTGCGTCTTGCTTGGAGGAAGCGGTCAATGTCATTGCTGCTTAGTCTTAGTCGGAGGGCAGGTAATGAAGGAAGAATTGGTGTGGGATGGGGTGGTTTACAGGCTTATTTTGCCACTCGTATGTTCTCATTTAACAAGGTAGCACTATGCAAGCTTGCATCAACATACCAAGGGTGCCACTCTTTGCCAAATCATTGTACTCTTCACACTTATTACCCGACTAAAAAAATAAGTACTAGGGGAGCATTGCAGTTAAGAGCTTCTTAAATGCAAGTAATCTGCAAAATTTTAAACCTCAAATATGTGATGTAGTATAGTGTCATAATTTGAAAGGAACACTTGTACACATCTTATTTGTTTATATTCTATGAATAGTTCTTGATGGAGGGTTCTTTTGGCATGCCAGCATATTTTATTTTTATATATTTTTTTTTAATGTATTTTTATGTAAATAAATAGTAACTGCTTTGTCCAAAATATTTTTTTTTTTTTTTTTATCCTGGCATTCTAATTCATTAAGCCCATTATTGTGAGCTATTTTTCAAGCAACCAGTATCTTTATAATGGATGGAGCAGTAAAATATACATTTTGACAATCTTCATTTTTCAAGATTTTAGAACGGAGTGTAAACAAGTTGGTATAGGTTGAAAAGATAAGATAATAGTTGTGCTCTGTTGCAGTTTGACAAGTTTCATTACAGTACAATTATTCATATCCGGCATTTCACTAAAAGATAAGTCCTAACTTTAAAAAGTACACGGCTACCCTTTGTACCAAGAGTGTGCTACGAATGTGAGTAGACTTAAGTTTTAATGGTAGTTAGGGATGGAGTGGAGAAACAAAAATGTTTTCCAATCCAAACGCCTACATTTCCTGACCGAGGTCTCATTTATTCTCAAAGCTTTAAATGTGACAGTTCTAGAGTAAAATATTTCTCACCAATTGGCAACATAAATTTTTCTTTCTATAGAATTATTCTAGTGTTAGCATGTTATTCCTCAGTAATTGTGTGTAATATAGTATAATAGGAGGGCTACTTGGTCCTAGTTGATTTGGGGTTTTGTAAATTTTTGTATTTACTTGATCTCACATTATTAGTGGCACTCTAGGCACTGTTATCGTGCTTTGCATAGGCGTACTCAAAATTGGTACCATGTGATTAGGTAATTTCTCTTTCCCCATTGTTTTAGATCAATGAAAGTATTGCTAGTAATGCATGGTTTTGGTAAAAGTAAGGTGTGTAAAAACATAGCTACATTATTTTTTTTATTTTTTATTTATTTATTTTGTGTGTGTGTGTAAATCCCTTAGGCCCAAGGAAGAATCTATGGGAAACTTAAAGAGGAAAACTTCTTTGGACCCAAGGAAGAAGTGAAGCTGGAGGCCCATATTAAAGTTCCCTCTTATGCTGCTGGACGTGTTATAGGCAAAGGAGGCAAAACTGTAAGTGTTTGGGTTTTTTTCGTTTTTTTTCCTAAAATTAATGATCTACTCATGACTTGTATAAGAACAGTATTAATGGAATTAGATCGCTACGTCTACATTGCAAAATAGGGCAATATGCATTGCTCTGGCATAATAAATGCCACATTAGACATAACCAGTCCGGAGCATAGCGAGTGAGGTATGACCAAAGATAGTTCATCTATACGATATTCATAGTGTTGGGGTTGCCTGCTATGGAGTCAGTCCTAGGGCATTGAGTAGGCCACATTAAACGTTTATGGGAGAGCTGTACTCCTATACTAGTTCCTGGAGACCAATATTATGAAATTGTATCGCTCACTAGCCTTTGGGCATGTTAAACTCCACTACAGGAAGAACTGTTGGAAATTCCCAATGTGTACCGTCTAAAAACTGACCAGTGAAGATAGGCATGCCTAATGATTGGCTTCCAAAATACTTACAATTGTCAGAGTTCCATACAGCTAAATAATTTAAAAAATTAATGATCTCAAAAAAAAAAATTCCAACTTAAGGCATTCAGTATGGATTAGCATAAATAATGGAAATATTAGCCCCTAGTAGGTGGAAGCTCTCCTGTTAAAAGATATTTCAATTTACTCTAAAAAGAAGCATTAGGAGAAATGTGTTCGCTTTGTTATATATCAAGTAATGGGACGTTTCAAAGCAAGCACTTTTAATAACGCTAAAGGAAATTTGCTACAATTGTAGTGCGTAAGAAAACATGCACACAAAACACCAGAAATGTGTCGTATACAGTGAGTTAATCACCTGACCAAATAATAAGATCCCTGAGGATCCATACACAACAATACTGCCAATATCAAAGTATGGTTTACCCATCTGGGATGTATGTTGTCCGTCATCAATGTCCCTCTATCGTGAGGGATTGTGTTGATGACAAAAGCTACTAGAATCAATGAGCTATTTGATGTAGTCAGTTTGGAGCTAGGTCAATCCTAATGGGGTAAATGATCACTTATTCATTAGTGTCACTGTTATGTAGTCTTGATGTAACCTATATCCTCTTCTGATTGCAAGCTTTTGTCACTTTTAACCTCTAGAGTAGCTAGACTTATGCAGTCTGTTTACCACCGGCAGCATGTCACTGCGAGGGTAGCAGTAATTTTGCATTTAAACAGATGCCCCTATTGGGGGTCACAGCACCATTGTGTTTGCCTCTGTTTATTGGCCTTTGTGTCTTTATGATGAACAGTAAATGGCAAAATGTTTCACATAAAAACTCAAGTTAGTTGGCTACACTTGCTTGTCCCAAAAGTCTAACACAATACATAAAGCATGTAGGCCTCGTCATGAGGTTTAGTTGTTCAGTATAAATAGAGCCTTGAGAGAGATTCTTTTTGAGCCAAAATGTTGACTTTTATGGTTTAATAAATCTTCCTTGGGCCTCTCTGTATGTGCACAGTTCTAGATAAAATTTACAGTAAAATGATTCCCATAAACACACACTACAGTTTAAAAAGAAAGCTTTGATAACAAATTTTCTCTGAGAGACCGTTCCATTGGAGAAAAGATCTCATAGGCCATCTGCTTTAAAGGAACACTGTAGGCACCCAGACCAGTTCAGCTCATGAAAGTGGTCTGGGTGCAGTGTCCCTGTCAGTTTATCAATAACTGCAATAATTACATTGCAGGGTTATACCCCCACCACTAGTGGCTGTCTACCAGATAGCCACTAGAGGCGTGTCTGGCAATTATTGACCGCCGAACAGATGCTGGACGTCCTCTCTCTCTGCATGAGGACATCCAGCGTCGGCTAAAACCCCAATCTCTGCAGAGATATAGATCCGTTAGATCAGACTGCTGGGTTAGAATTTGCCATGAACCTTGTCAGTCATGGATGAATCAATCTTTGTGTCAACAGTGATTAGGCTGGTGATATTTCATCGGGAGAGTTCTTTAAAGGGTTACTTAAAGCACCATGACCACTTCAAAGAAATTATGTAATCTGGCAGCATGGCTTCCTTGTCCTCCTGTCAGCCCATCCATCCAGCAAGGGAGAGTGATGTTGGTGGAGTATGTTTAAGGTTGCAGTAAGGTTCTAGCTTAAATATTCCTGGTTTCTGGCCTATTTCTAGACGGATTTGAATTTCACTTACATGGGTCTTTACATACAAGTACTTCGTGCTTTCAATTACCTATACACGCATGCATACAATCTCCAGTTTTCTCAAAACATATCTGCAACACATAGTTATGTCACAGAAAACATATTTTATGCAACATAAGCCACAAGTGTAATTTTATTTAATAAATTTGGTTTTAGGTAAATGAGCTTCAGAATCTAACCAGTGCAGAAGTTGTTGTTCCACGTGATCAAACGCCAGATGAAAATGATCAAGTGGTGGTTAAAATTACAGGCCACTTCTATGCAAGCCAGGTATGTGAAGCTCAAATGTGTGTTGTGTTTTGTTTCCTTTTCTGTGTTTTTTGTTTTATCCAGATATTTGTTTTTTGCCTGGATAAGAATTTTTATTTTATTTTTTTTAATTTTGTTTTTGTCACATGTAACCATAAAAAGAGCAATGCATGTCCAAAGTTGTCTTGTCTTGTCCCAAAGGTTTCATAATATTGGAAAATATTTTGGAACCTTTTGGACAAGACAACTTTGGAAGCAAATGCACTTAGAGGAAATGAAAGGCTTGTTTGGTAAGCATTGTATTTAGTGTGGTGGAAGAAGCAATTGACAAGTTATACTTACTGAATAAGTTTCTCATAAATCAAATGTAAGAAATAAATAAATACAAGAGTGTTTACCTCTAACATTTATTTATTCATTTCAGCTTGCACAGCGAAAAATCCAGGAAATTCTCGCTCAGGTAAGAAGACAGCAGCAGCAACAACAGAAAACCGTGCAGAGCGGACAGCCCCAGCCAAGACGAAAATAGAGGTTCAAGAAAATGGCCCTTCACAGAGACAGATGCCAGACCAAAGACAGACTGAGTAAAAGACAAGTTAACCACACTTGTCAGTGCTACGTGGCTAAAGTTTCCACCTAGCTCGTCACCTGTTTGAGGACCAGGCAACCAGTCCGCTGTCTCTGAGAATGTATTCTTTAGGCTCTCAAACTTTTGGAATCCAGCTTTAAAAAAGAAAAAAAAGAAAAAAAAAAGGAAAAGAGAGGAAAAATAAGGACCCCTTCACTTCCCTTTTGATCTATTCTCACAAGTTAACATAAACCTTGTTAGTCTTTTTTTTATTTATTTTTTTTATTCTTATTCCCCAACAATTTTAGAACTTTGTTTAATGAAGCTTTCTCTTATGAGTTCTCTGGTTCAAAAAGAAAAGGCATTGCTCTTATACGTCCAGATGTATTAGAAAAAAAAAAAGAAAAAGAAAAAAAAGAATTAGTAGAAGGTGGGGATTATTGGTGGGTTAGTGTTGATGAAGGGTATTGACGAGATTAAGTGTTAGTCCCAGTGTTGAACAAGTGGCATTTTTTTTTAATTTGGTTGCATTTTTACTTAACACTGCCATGAATAACCTAAGGGAAGTGTAGAAAGGTGTTGGCCAGGGCATAAAAAGATAAATATGCATTTTACTAAACTACCTCAGGCATTTAGTACCTCAATGAGAAATTGTTCCTTTTTATTTTATTTTTTTCTTTGTTTTTGGTATTTTGTATACTTTATAAAGCTAATAGTTCTTGAGCATTTTATTTTTTTAATAAAAATAAAAGATCAGCCAGCAGTTAGAAGCACAGATATATTTCAAAATTATTAGCAGAATGGTGCTACTTGCTGTTGGCTGATGGGAGTAAAAGATGGAGTGTTGCCTCAGATTTCGTGAGGCCTTCCAAACCATCATTTTGCTAGAAAGTTCAGTGAATGTTCAAATATAGATCCTGAAAAAAAAACAAAAAACCGCCACCATACTGATAGCAGCAATGCCGTTTATTTTTCTTTTACTATAGGATAAAAATAGTTTGACGGTACTTTTTCTGGGAACAGGACACAAGGAAGTGATGGAAAGAGGCCGGCTGGGTTTGGGAATATATTTTAATGGTATAAGACTGGATATATATTTTTTTTTATTTTATTTTTTTTGTGGGGCGGAAGGGGTCTTTTTGTTTTTCCATTTTATTTTTATTTTTATTTTTTAATTTATTTTATTTTGGGGGTGGGGGTTGTGCTGCTTGGTTGAATGCAATGAACCCTTTGTGCCTTTGACCATCACTACCTAATACTACATTTAAACATTTGCAGCCTGTTTGAACTTTGCCATTCTGTTCAAAGAGCAAGCTTCATCATCAGTTTGGTAAATAAAAGAAAACACTTGATCTATGGGAGCATATATAGATATATAATTATATATAAATATATATTTCCTTTTTTTATTTTTTGTTTGTTTTAATATATAACCTTTTTTTTTTTATTTTATTCTTTCCCCTCCTCCCCCACAACCCTACCATGACCATCAACTGATGCTTCCCATCAGATCAACACATTACGTTCAGTTACCGTGACTGGGGGGGAGAGGGAACTGGGGATGAATCAAACACATGTTTGATCACATGTAAGCAAACGACAGGTGTAAGTTTACATATCCAGCAGCAGTAAAAAAATAAAAATAAAAGGGCCACACAAAGCCACTTGGAAGGTTTAAAAGCTGAATACAACAGTCTATTCTGGCTTAAAATAGCTACAGCAGGGTTTATGCACATGTTTCGTTTTTAATTAAAATTTATTTTTGCAAAACAACCATTAACCCTTTTGCTGCCAGAGTTGCAAAATGAGTTTTTGCTGTACATCTCTGACAGCTCAAGGGTAATAAAGTAAAAACACATTCAAAAGGCAGGGATAAAAGGAAAGCTACCAAATTCTTTTTAATTTCAGAATGTAATTTGAATGATGATTGTGGTAATATTACACATTCAAGTTTCTACAATAAACTTCAGTCTACCTCAGTTTTGAAAATGTGGCAACACTTGGTGCATAAAGACTGCTGTGTGTGTGTATATGTGTGTGTGTGTGGTCTTAACAGAGCCATGCGATTTACCTCTGAACCTTTATTTTTGTGATGTTTTTGTGCATGAGATGATCAATCACCATGCTGCACTGATTTGAGGGGCACAACTAGCAAAACCATATGTTTCACCATTTTGTTGATCTACCTCTTAGATTCATATTGAAATAGAGGCATTTCTTCATAGAATAGATATTTTTTCCCAAAGATCATTGTTGTACAGCTTAGAGATCCTTTTTTTTTTTCCTTTTTTTTTTTTGCCTCCTTTCTTTCCCCACCCACCCTCCTCCCTTCTTACCTTCTTACTTTCTTACTCTATTTTTCCTCCTAATTTTGAAAATAGTCTGAAGTGTTTTTTTTTTTGTTTGTTTTTTTTCCTTTTCTTATCCTACATCTAAATTACTAATTTGGTTAAAATAAATAATAATAAAAAAAATAAACTTGGAACCTATGTTGTAGTTTTAAGAAAAATAAGGTTTTTTTTTCTTCTTCTTCTTGACGAGAGTGACTTCATTTAGTGTTTAGAATTTTTTTCTTTTCCTACATTGATTAAAAAAATACTGAACTATGAAAGTCATTAAATAGCATATTGAACTTTTAGTTGAGTCTCGAATATAGGCCCAACTTTCTTTTTCTTAACATGTTGAAGCAGACATAACTTGATTTATTTTCCATAAATTTTACTTTACAGATAGGTGCTGCATATACATCTGCTGATTTAAATACTGTCATATCTCTTTAAATTTCTAGACTGTTAGTGTGGTAATCATGTTATTTTCAATTGAGACTTGGTAAATTGGAGTATTTTGGCAATAGATACAGTAGAAAGTAATACTGTAAATGAGTTTAATATCTGCAAAGCATGGATCATTTTTCATCTGTAATGTGCCCCCAACGCAGCTCCACTTGCCAGATGCCTCTGAATGGAATAAAGAGTTTAACTCCTATGTTTGAGCCTCTTGTGATTTTTATTTATTTTCTTCTGTTTTAAATGGACATTTTAAGGGGAAATCTTCAAACTTGCCTTTTTAGGTTGTTCATCCTTATCTTGTGGTACTTTATGTGAAAGGAGTGCCGAACGAGAAGAAAAACATTATAGGGTAACTCACTAAAGTGATAATTATTGGGAATTCAACATAAATTTTTATTTTCTTTGTAATTTTTACAGCAAGTGCAGATTTCAAAAGAGATTGATACTCTTATGAATTTAACTTGTTACGCCTCCGGACTGTCACGCAATTAGCCCTGTTACTTCTGCCACAAAGAAGCCACAATTGTCCAGAGCACCTGCCTTGCAAAGACTTCTCATGGAGCTGCACTGGAGAGTCTGTGATTGGACAGCCAGAGAGTCTGGGTGGGGTCAAGAAGGGGGGGACTTGCAAAGGCTTCAAATAAGAGAACTGCAGTTTTTGCAAGTTTTTATTTATTTTTTTTTTTTTTTAAGGTTATACCCCCCAATGGGAAAATGTGTAGTATTTCTACTGAACAGAGATTTGCATTTTTATTTGGTTAGTGAAGTGCCCATTTGAGGACAAAATAGCTAAACTGAAATGATAGCTGACTTGGATCATTTCCCTGTTACCCAGCTGCGTTGGCCTGAAAGGATTACCCAAAGTACAAAAATGTATATTAAAAAGGTTTAATAAAATACAATTCATGGTTTGAGTAAGCCTTACTGACTGGCATGCTCCCCAAAAGAAAAGTAATCTTGCTTGAATCCTGCGCTCAGGCAAAGTTCTCCCTGTAGCTTAATCCTCCCCCAGTGCAGTCACATCACCTCACTACATTGGTAGGCACATTCCAGAGGACAGACCAGGGGAGGACTGAAGCAGCACAGAGCAGGGGGCCACACCGCTTCCCCATTGGTTATCAGTTTCAAACATATGCCACATGCACATAATTCTCATTAGCTAGCTAATGAGACTGCATGAGGAAGAGTTACACCTCTGGCAGCAATATTTTTTTTTTTTACATTCTTTCTTTATATTTGGAGCTCCATTTCCGATACATGCTTATTTAATGGCCGTTGACAAGTGATATATGATATAACAACTTATAGGTAGAAGATTTGATTCACTTCTTTCTTTGTGGAACATACAGGCACTTGTCTAGGTAAATAGAACCATCGAGGAGACACATTTAGAGAAACACTAGACTTGGGTAGAAACAGGCAAATACATGCCTTGAGTAACAGACTAGTCAAGACATTCATAAATCTACTGGCATGGAATAAATACTGTAAACTATGAGAAAAAGGAAAAAACACTGGTTGCTAGAAACTAATGTCAAAAAAAAATAAGGATTTTGCAAACATTGCTGTTGAGATACAAACAGGTGTAAGGAGAAGTCGGCTAGGAACCTGGAACTATTTACCATAAGTGAGCCCATGCAGGCAAGTCAATCTGCAGCCAATGTCCAGCTCGGGGCCTCACTATTGTAGTTGCAAGACACCGCATTATCCAATTCCTGGGCCTGAGAGGCTGGCTGCCAATATATGGAGGTTGCTGAGGGAAATGGCACAATTTGGACGAGGTAAGACCTCTTTCCAGCCCCAGACCTGTTGAAGACCGGCATTTTGATACCACAGACTTTGCTGTGAGAGTCCTTCCCATAGTGGGAGCTTCGGAAGGCTAAGGTGTTAAGTCGGCGGGGTGGGCGATGCTGTAGGGATAAGCCCCTTGTGGCCTTCGGTGCAGGCAGGGAACAGAAGTGACTGTAGCTGGGGAGAGGCTGCTCCCAAAAAAGGCCCGCTTGGCACCCCTGCGTCGATCGATTTGCACCTATAGCTGAGGTTGTTGTGGCTCTGGGACCATACGCATTTCCAGTTATGCCCAAAAACGTTGGAAAATAGTGTTAAGGTGTCAGTGCTCCACCAAGCTATGATGTTCTCCAACAGCTTGTATAGGAGGATGCCTTAAGAGGCGTGTCCGCCATTTTGCTAAGGTCCTTGTTTCCAAAGCATGTGCTAACGTGTTCATCGAGAACCAATAAAGGGGAATGCTGCAAGCCAGTGGGGACCGGGATAACCGGCCGAGGGCTCAGACTGTATGCATCGGCAGTCTCTCCCATGTCAGCCATGCCAATAGACCTCATGAAGATATCAGGTATTTCTGTTAGGAAGGTCAGCTTAAAGGGAAACTCCATTGCCAGGAAAACAATCAGTTTTCCTGGCACTGCAGGTCCCTTCTCCCTCCCAATCCCCGGTTGCTGAAGGGGTGAAAACCCTTCAGTAACTTACCAGAGGCAATAGGATTTCAGAATGGCCTTGTTATTGGCAATTATAAAGCGCCAACATATTCCGCAACACTGTACAAATAGGAGGGTAAAAATACAAAAGGTAAAGAGGGCCCTGCCTGTGAGCCACTGAAGCTCTTTTATACATATATACATGTACAGATAGGTATATTTCTCTTGTGTGCAGACTCTTTCCACACCTGGATGAGATGCCCACATCAGGTCAGATCCAATAATCTTACCGGACAGGTATTTATAGGATATGTAATTTACTCCAATTCTTTTTTGTCGGATGATTCTTTAAAGGAAATTATCATGTCTCTGGAAATTGTACTTCTTATTTTTTTTTTTAATTAAAAAAATTAAATTAAAATCACGGATTCATTTTTTAAAAATTCTTTATTTTTGTGTGCATATGATTAACAGACAATCCGACAATGCCTCAACAGCATTGGCAAGACTGTGAATTGGACAAGGCATTAGAGTATACTGCACAATTTTTCAATGTAGCATAGAGTAAAAGCTAAGCTGAACATGTCTAGATGCAAAGTCATGGACATGGTGATAAAAGTATTAAAGTAGATTGTGTAACACGCTGATGTTACTGAGATGTAGTGTTCAAGATCTAATTGATATGATGTACGAATAACCGCATAGCTTTTCAAAAAAGTTATAGTATACTATAACGTGGCAACAACGATGATTACTGTCAGGATGGACTTCGTATAATAAAACATGCGTATATTAATAGCACACTGTGGTATGCTAAGCTACACATTTTAAACTATGTTCCTACAACGGTATAAGATACTAGGACAAGCAAGCGGAGCATATGTCTGGAACACTAGTTGAATAATTAGACTGAGCTAGTCTCATCATTAATTATTTTTTTTTCCCCCCCCTCATTTGGAGTTCCATCCTGTTCAGTCATTGCACAGCATTACACCATGCAAATCTTTCTCTTCATGTTAAATGGTAAGTCTTCTAGATCTCACCAAGGTAACCACAATCAGATGATGCAAGAAGTCTTCTACAGTGAATAACTGCAAATCTCAGTGCACAAGGAAACTTTGGTCCAAATAGGATTAATACCTTTTCAAGCAATTTCATAACACATGGGTATAATAAGGGATTCTTTCATTCCCAGTAAAAAGCAGATTTTCATCTTGGTAGTTTAATTGTCCATTCACCATGAACTCTGAGCAATCTCTGTCAAACTATTGAACCTTCTGTGAACAGCATGTTCAGTATTGCAGAGAATGCTTTGGATGATCTTGCAATATTTGTAACAATGCCTCACAGGCCAACAAGGATGCATCCAGTTCCAAGATGGATAATGCCGTAATATCAATATGCAAAATCACTTTACACAAGGTGCAAGCGACAAGGTGTAAAAAGTGGCGCCAGTCAGTAAAATTAGTGCAACATCCCCAGTGTCTAAAACTACAGACGACTCCAAATCTAAACAGTAAAAAAATACAGATAGGGGGTGCAAATCATAAATGAGTGCAATAACAATATTAAAACAATACTTATTCACTCTTGATCCTCAGCGAGTGTTAAGTCAACTTTTCCAAGTCACTCTTTTTGGCCTCACGTAGAGTTAGACATTTCAGACTATTTTGTTCTTCTGATCCTGCTCGGGTCTTTGTAGGAACGTGTACCAGCTCCTGCTACTCACCCAGAAAGCTGAGCTACACTTTTGGACAGTGAAGCTGTACACATGTCATTCACTGCCTGTTTATGCGAGATCTGTAGTGCAAAAAGACACAATTTTGGCAGGGCTGTAGAATTATCTTCTACAATTCCAAGACTTGCTCTGTTTGACAGCAATAGTACATATCAGTAAAAGTCAAATCTGCAGGATGTTTCAATGCTAAGGGTATTTACAAAAGCCAGTTTAAGGTCCTTCACAGTATCATTTAGAAATGGTCTGAAATGTCTAACTCTATGTGAGGCCAAAAAGAGTGACTTGGAAAAATAAAAGTTGACTTAATACTTATTCACTCTTGATCCCCAATGAGTGTTGTTTTAATATATTTATTTCACTCATTTATTTATGATTTGCGTCCCCTATGTGTATTTTTACGGTAATCAATATTTAATTTTATTTGAGACCTTACAAACAAGATTTGCTTAACATGGCAAAAATAAACATAAGATAAAACAATCAAGAGAAGAACCAGGCATTGTTAGTCACGAAAGGGATTTACCTGGAATTCAAAGTTTAAATTTTTTTTTTTTTTTTTTTTGTGATGCATATATTTAGCATGTGCTCTTTCCATGCCCCAACAGCAGTATGAAGAATTGTAAAATACATACGATGAGGAATACAAGGCATATAAGATTATTGCACGCTTTTTTTTTAGTTAAGTAGTTAGGTCACAAACTAGTCATACATGTCCAAATATATAGTAATACAGATTATACGGTCGAAGTGAGTAAGTTGGACATGTGCGTTGCTATATGAAAACAAGGTTTAAAACATGTTTGAGATACGAGTATGAAAAGGAGAGGAAGCAAATAAATTGCTAGGCAAGCAGACATGTCAGCATGAGGTTGGTAGGTGACAGGCTATCTGGAGACATGTCCAGTGGGAGTAATAAGACATTTTAAAATCATGAAAATAAGCGAACTGAGCATATAATGCAAATGAGTGTCATAACAGTGACATCAGGAACAATAGGGTAGCAGGTCAGAGGTGATAGCCTGTCT